AGGGGTGACAAGAGTGACAATAGTGACAAAAGTGACAATGGTGACAACAGTGACAACAGCAACAACAGTGACAACAATGACAACAGTACAAACGGTGACAACAGCGACAGTTCGCAAGTGAAGATGGAGGTCAGTCTTCGTTTATCTGAATGTCTGCTAAAACAAACAATTTGTTTATATCCTGAAACTGCGAAGGAAAAGGAAAATGCCAGGTATTGAGATTGGAAATATTTTGAATGTATAAGAAAACAATATTATTGGTTTCAGCCTTCGTATGTTGCAGGAAAATGACATTACAGAATGTTGTCATTACCTCCTCAGCTGTTTGCTGCAGTGATCCAATCTTTCCTTCAGTGACGTCAAGAGTTCTACCTACCAAACAAAAGTTAGAGTACTTTAATTATTTTGGAAGGTAGAAAACAGTTTGCAACCCGTGTGGAAGTTTGCTTAAAAAATAAAAAAAAAAGAAAGAAAAATATGTTTGTATATTGACTGCGGTAGTTGTATTTAAACCCTTCATAGTGGCCACCTGGGAACAGTGCAAGGGTAAGAGGCTGTTTTGAGGAGGTAGGGGTTAAAAGTGACACTAGTCTTCAGAGGATTAGGTAGCTTACGTTTAGTTTTAAGAAAACTAGTAGAGGACTAAATAGATGATTAAAAAGTGGAACTATTTGAAGATGACATCACAAGGGCAGCACTTTTTCCACAGTTATTTCAAGACCCTGAGTGTTGGTCGAGCTGGTGTTAGAAGCCAGTGACCCAGTCTTGGTTGGAAGTAGCTGACGCTAATCCAACTGAGCTGAAAAGAAAACACCAGGTGAAGGATGACACACAGGGATTTAACTTTGATTAAATTCTACCTGTGGAAAGGTTTGATGGGGGAAAGGGTAATAGAGATAGCCTCCTCACTGACCCTCTATTTTCTCTTTAGAGAACGTTGAGCATGCGTATGAAAATGGCTCATCGATTTTCAGAAAGACAACAGTGACAACGGTGACAACAGTGACAACAGCAACAACAGTGAAAATGGTGGTAAGAGTGACAACGGTGACAACAGCGACAACGGTGACAACATTCACAACAGTGATAGGGGTGACAAGAGTGACAACAGTGACAAAAGTGACAATGGTGACAACAGTGACAACAGCAACAACAGTGACAACAATGACAACAGTGCAAAAAAAGAAAACAATGTCTGCGCACAAGCTATTATTGGAGAAGGACAACTAAACCCTATAATTAGCTCTAATATCCACGTGAAAATTCTCCATACTTCTCCTTTAAGAAAAAAGATTTTTAGTTGACAGAAACTGACCTGAAATATACACAGTGGCTCCTGCCTTGGCCAATATCACAGCAATACCTTTACCAATCCCCCGAGATGCTCCTGTCACAAGGCACACTTTTCCGGACAACGAGGGAAGCTCTGCTGTCATGGTGCAACTTGGTGATCTATTGCATAACAATGGAAGATTAGAATTATATTATTATGCATTGTACTCACAATCTGTCTTCTCATAAGCTAAGAACTTACAGTTAATATTGGGAATCAGCTCAACCTACAGATTAGTTATAGTTATCTGCTAGCAGATTAGTGACTAATCTGTAGGTTGCACATGCAATGCATGATTTCCAAGATCGAGCAATGTCAAACTGCAACTGTGTTCCATGCGATGCTGTGTGTGTCCTTATTTTCTTCAAAACAATTGTGTAATAAAACTAGATCTAATAAAATTCAATTTTTTGTGATTTCTGATAATCAAGGTCTTCAGTAAGTGTCATCAGCCTCGGCCTTCGGCTCGGCTGATGACTCTTACCTGGACCTTGATTATTATGGATATCACAAAAATCTCACCCAATAATTCTTTAAAATATAGCTTTGCCTGAACGCAGCAGGATGGTATCAACATTTTGAGGTTAGCATTACACATAAAGAAAACCTTACAGAGCAAGGCAATACTTAACTGAATTGTGTTGTTCAGAAAAATTTAATATCGATAGTCGTGGTTAAATCTGACCTTGAAATGTTTGTATAAATGAAGTATGGCTATGTGGTGGGTATACTGGGGATTGAACAAGAAACTGTTTTCTTCTTAGTTGATCCCCAATACTCTCCTCATAGGCATAATTCATTTATACAAGCGTTTTAAGAGGTCAGGGCTTTGGCATTTTTCCATTTTAGTTTCTTTAAAATCACTTAAAGACTCTTTCACATGAAAGAAACATTTTGCCTCAGAGAGAATTAACTCACACCATTTTTGTATCTCAGAAACCTGTGTTCAGCTAACTTAGCCACAGGTAGCCCAAGCTCTATGGTTTTATTGAACTTTGTAATGTTGCAATATTCACAGGAAAAAATAACGGATTCCCAACCACAGGTAGCCCAAAAATCCCAAATTTGGAAGAGTGAGACAAGTCCCAATCATGGTTTTATTGAACTTTGTTTTTATGGGTGTTGCAATAACATTTTCCTGCAATAACATTGCATAACAGTGAAACTTATAAATACGAAAAAATATTTGATCTCATGGCAAAATTAAGACATAAAGCTATATTCATTAATATTTTCCAATAAAAGACAATCAACAAAGGACTCAAGGTAAGTGATATTTAAAGATTTTCAAAACAATAATTACAATAATAATGATAATAATAATTAATAATTATTAATTAACTAATTAATAAAAGTTGCAATAACAAAATTTTGGACATCAAATCACATATTTTTTCCCACACACAAATTTTTAAATTTCACAATTGCAATTACGCAGTGTTATTGCGACGCTCACGTGGCATTACAACATAACAAAGTTTAATATATTTATGGACTGACAGTCAGAGCTTGCCCTACCTGTGCCTTATTAACCTCTCGCGTGATCTCGTCACCAAATTTGTTTGACTTGTGTTTTATAAAAACACTCAAGAATCAGCTACCTGACCCGATCAGATCACTGCATTAATGACAGCAAAAATCACTGGGTCAGCCAGGAGTTTTTGGGAAATGTAAGAGAGCAGTGATAGATCTGGACAACTAAAAAAGTTCTTAACCTTTAATCAGTTTAGAATCAAACCGCCGGCGAGCCGAGGATCGGGGGTGCAACTACGAGTACGGTTTGACTCTTGATTTTGAAAAACGAAAATCGATCGCTAAGAATAAAATTAAAAATTGTTTAAGAGAGTGGTGGCTCAATAAATCAACTGCATGCAAGCACAGAAAAAAAACAGTAGGCTGAATGGCTTACTTGAAGTTATCCCTAGACTCTTGATGATCGAAAGACGAAAATGAAGAGTATCTGCATGGACCTCACTTGAGTCTCTCCAAACTATACGCTGGAGACGAGCAAACAAAAAAAGCAAACGCTAAGGCGAAGTCCAGTTTACATCAACTTTTGTAAGACTGTTACGATGATCGCCCGGCAAAATGTTTATTTTTCGTGCGTGATCCTCTATACTCTCCGGGGTAGAGTCGGGCATAAAGTCGGGCAAGACGAAACGACAAGGCCGAAAGGCGGAAACTCTTAAAAAGATGGTACATTTACCATATCTTTATCATTTTCTATCTGTGGATTTTAAACACTTTTCATGGCTTAAAATTTATCGCATTTTTTTCGAAAACATCTGTCACGATTCATTTATTACGGGCTCCCCAAACTTCTCCCCCGTCCTCCTACCCGCCCAGTTTCCGAGGAGTACTCATTACCAGTTTCCTTCAGAGCATGATGAGATGACTGAAACATGAGACAGTGGTCTCGATAAATCTACTTTTAAACAGTCAATAGTTAAAGGACATATTTTTCTTTAGAAGACGCACTTGAGTTTTGCTGGAGCTCGTTCGCAGAAGAGCACAAAACTTTACCATAGTTCACCAGGCCAAACATAAAATCAAACAAATTTACATTCGGAACACCGGTCCATGACTACCAGATTTGATATGTAACGTGATTTACATCATTTTTAGTATGGAATTTCTTTGGCCGAGGAACAGAGGTCTCTCCTGTGAAACGTCCCTAGCGGCGAGGAGCAAGGAGAGATGGCTGTATTCGCAGGCTAATCAGCGTTGTGCTCATAATAACCCAGCTGTGCTAGCTGGGATCCCCACATGGTGATGCCAATTTGATCTAAGCTAACCTGGCTGGAGATTTTCATGTCACGGGCATCAGTCAATTCCAGCTGCGCCCACCCCCCTCTTCCGGGCAGACACCGGGCATTAGCATTTTTTTTGGCCTTGGATGGCAAATTCACTGGGGTGGGGACTCTTGAGCCGTCAAATCCACCGTGGTGGGGACGATTAAATAGGGCAAATGCCCCATCCTCCGTCGGCCCACTTCTGCAGGTATTACTGACTAAAACTAATTTTGCTGTTAGAGCGTTTTTCACTTGACTGTCGAAAGGGATTGGTTTTGGTTTTGGTTTTGGTTTTACTACGCCCTTTGGTTGGCAAGTGTATTTACTTTGGTTTTGGTTTTACGACAGTCAAGTGAAAACCGCTCTAAAAGTATTTACAAAACACTTGATTCTATAGATTTATAAACAACAATTCAAGTTTTCCATTCATATCCCCGCCCGATTGGCCAGGTCGCGGGTTCAAAACCTGCCCGGACCAACCAGGGTCTTTAAAAAACTAGTAAGATCATGCTGGCAGTACGAGATCTTGTTCAGCTAAGATAATTGCATCATTGGACGGTGACGATGAGCTATCAGGGGCACCCAACGACTGTTTACTGTAGAACTGTTAGGAGAACCAAATATTACCTAGAATTTTTTATTACTTGAGGAAGGCTAAAAAGCTCTAGATGACCGTTCCCTTCATGTACAATTTTCGAGGCTTTCGTAATAAATTCCGTACGACTTTCTGAAGTTTCACATTTTGCTGCCTAGGTTAGGCTGTTTTTTGTTAATTTCGAAAAGACTCAAGTTCCCCTAGGACGACAGAACAGATACAAATTTTCTAGCAACGTTTTGAATGCATTTCTAAGTATCTAAAAGTACTCTGGATAGCCTAAAAAGTGTTTTCAATGTGTTTAGGAGGAAACAGTCTTTGGGTGCTCCTGTGTTCTGTTGGTACGCGGTCTAGAAAAGTCGGAATTGACTTCCTTTCGTTGCTCTTTATCCAATCAATCAATCAGTCAATCAAAAAGCTTTATTAATGGTATCACTTCATTAAAAATGCTCTTTCAGTGATCCATTTACATAACAAGTTTTAAGAGAAAACTATGCAGCTAAAAAAGACACAAAAGCCATTTAAGGTTATCAAAAAACTAAAAGAAACTATTCTACAGTTAAATACATATAGACTAACTTAAACTAAGTACTATCGCAGTTCCAGACAAAGTCAGAGCGGACTTGAAAGAGCTTATCATCTTGAGTTCGTTACCAAGGCCATTCCACATGGCCCCTTTTGCTAAACGCTCTATTAGAGAGAGGCGAGGTGTGACGTCAGTTACCATGGCAGCACTATTTCTGGATGAAAACAAAACCCACGACGACGGCGACAACAAGGAGGACGGCAAAAAAAGTAATCGGGTTTTATTAACAAAACATCAACTTTGCACGTGCATCACGCTATTTTGTACATTTCTTTGCCGTCGTTGCACCACTGCGACATAAAACTTCCTAATTTCACACGCTCACTTTATGGATTAGGTGAACAAAACATAGACGTTGTCTTTTTCTTTTTCTAAACTTAGCTACGGTTCTTTCGGATTCAACCCGAGAAAATTTCGCCAAATTAAGCGACACTGGATAAGATCGATGAAGTTTGAAGCAGTGCAAAATCACTTTTTAAGTGACTTTTTCGGTTTGTTGTCATCCAAAAATTTTGCTACCACGGCAATGTGACATAACGACTTCTCCTGTCTATTATCGCCCCATGTATTAAAGGGAATCCAAGACAGTTCTGGATTCCACGCCGTGGATTCTGGATTCCAGGTATTCAATATCAGATTCTTTGTCAGTGGAACTTGGATGCCAGATTCCAATCGTTAGATTAGAGGGATACCGGATCCCTTGAGCTGTATTCTGGATTTCAAAGCCCAAGATCCGGATTCTACTAGCAGGAATTTCCCTGATTCCCGATTCTACAAGCCGGATTTCCTTACATGGGGCGACTATCAGGGAGTTTAAGATGTCACTGCGGAAACGACAACCAGAACGTCACAAACACAATAGCTTTTACGTTAGGAAAACAACAACTTAGCACGTGCATCATACTTTTTTTTTACATGTCTTTGCCGTCACTCCACGACTACGACCTGAATGGCCTAATTTCACGTTATATCGAAAACGTGAACATACGACGACGAATTTCTCTTTCTCTTTTTAAACCTGAATATCTTTCTTGACAATTCAACTCCAGGAAAATTCGCCTACATTAGACAGAGTGAGCGAGTTGGGATAATCATGGATGATAAAAAGACCCAATCTTTCTATTATCCATGGGATAATCGCGCTCAACCTTTTAAGTGACGTTTTCGCCGCCTTCGCTGTCGTGGTAGGGACCTTAAGATCCAAGGACGGCGAAGGCAGCGAAAACGTCGCTGAAAAAGTGAATTCGCGTTCTTTCAATGTAGGTGAACCCTCCTAAAGTTGAATTCATAAGAACCATATCAAAGTTCAGAAAGGGAGGAAATTTCGACGTCGCTTGTGCACTTCCTCTGTAAAACGTGAAATTAGGCATTTTCGCGTCGTAGTTATGCAGTGAGGGCAAAAGAATGTACAAAAAAGCGTGATGCTCGTGCAAAATTGTTGTTTTGGTTATTAAACCTATTGCTTTTTTGACGTCCTCGTTGCCGTCGCCGTCGTCGGATCTTAAGGTCCCTGAGTACGGTGGGGTGGACACAAAAACATTGTTAGAGGAGGAGCCTCCTACGTTACCTGAATGAACCCTGGAGGTTGAGTATCCCCTTGATTATTTTCCGGTTTACTCGCTTCGAGAAAAATAACATTTCTGTAGTGGTTTCTGATTTACAAAGAAGAAAAATACTTGGGATTCTAAATTGAAAAGAGAACTGAGTCAAGAAATTACTCTTATCGAAAATAAGCCACGGTGGCAACAGCCTCCAAATTGAGTGAAACATAAAAATAACCCCTCAAACAATAAGGCCCCGTCCACAGGTATCCGGATATTTTTGAATCCGCAACTTTTTTTTTCCGGATTCAAAAATTTCCACGTCCGCACGTGTCCGCATTTAAATTCCCATTTTTTTTGTATTCGGATTCATTCTAGTACCCAGGACTCCTCTGGGAATATTGGGAACAGAGCATGCGTCCTAAAGCGCACGAAATTTGCATCTTGCTCTGCCTTGTGTTCAGGGGGCCGTTTAAGTCCCGGTAACTTTTCGGGCCGAAATCAAATATTGAAATCGAAATATAAAGAATAAAGGCGTGGGTCCTGGCTAGCAAACTACTCCTTTTGTTTCACTAGCTGATAGTTTTATCATGTTAGATGCAAAACTATTGAAACCTCGATCTTTAATGTAAACGGCAACAGCTTACCGGGCCCGTTAATTATCGGGACTTTCGAGAAACGGGCCCCGGCAGATTCGCTATACCGTAATTATCATATTATCATATTATTGTCATAGCTAGGTTGAACCGCACACACGTTTTAGGACTTGAAACTGAAGTCCAAGAAGCTAAGTAGAGAAGCGAACAAACATCGACCATCCAGTGATAGGCATTTCTCACCATACGTTATCAAAACTTATGAACGCCCGCTGCCAGTAACCAGCGAGGAACATAAACAAACTCAGGAATCATCCACGACACGGAAGGGTAGAAATAGGAGACGAGTTTCTTCACTTGTCGAATCGACAATGGCTGGGTTCCTAAAAGAATGGAAGGACATTAATGAATAAGTCTGATGTTCACAATTTTGGAGTTACACCAAGGGACTTGCTACTAGTAAGATTTTGACTACCTCTTGAAAGAAGGGGGAGGGGGGGGGGGGTTATCCAGACCTAAAATAAGGGAGGGGGCCGGTCTCAAAAACATTTTTTCGGCCCTTCGCGCCTCAGTTCGGTCTAAAAATATGGGGGGAAGGGGCGGGCCTCTCCTGGATCCGCCACTGAAACCAATGTGTGACCCTCCACGGGATTTCAGGGAATATGGTGAATGTACGAGCACGCGTGTCATGACACCAAAAACCTAACAAAGACGTCACTTTTAAGCTTTATACAAGTCAACAAACAGTTAGTTGTTCCCCGTGACTCCTCCAAGAATGGTATAATATGGACCTTAAAGACATCAAGAATTATACACCGGCTATGCTAGCGCCACCCTACGGGCAGAGCGGCTCCTTTTCTCTTCTTCTTGATCGAGGGGGAAAAAAAGGAGGCTCTTTCTCAATCGTGTCAAGTCTTTGACGTCACCGCAACCGGAACGTTCGGACTAGTAAATCTGTTTTCTCTCGTCAAACTGGGTTTTTGAGTGCGAGTATCCGTCTATTGATAAACCGATGTTCATACTCAAGCCCGCTGTAACGAGCGCACTGCTATTAGGCCTGGGTTTGAAACTGTATCCTAGCAACATGCAGCGCCTGCTCAACAAAGATCTTACTCGATTCACGCAGAGTCTTTATCGAGTACGCCAAGGGTGCGCTGGCGCTGATTGGATACATGTGGGAAGTCTCCTGCCATATTTGGTTTGTGCATACAGAGTAGAGTACATGAGCAAAAAAGCCCAAACCCAAACAAGACTAACCTCCGACATCTTTGAAGCCGTATTCTCGCCCCAACTCAGCTGTTATGAGAATCCGACCGCTTTTCTTCATTATGCCCGGATCTGAAAATGCAGAATTAAAGGGACTATGTCACGAGGATAATGCTGTTTTAGGACAATTTGTTTTGTGCTGACGTCATTACTTAGTGTCTTTACCCATACTCAAAATGCTCCTGTAGAGTTATGAAGAAGACATCAAACAAATTTTATCAGGGAACTCTAACTAATACCCTAATAATTTTTCTGGTGATCTTTGCAGGTAGGGCATTAAAATTTGAAAAACTTGGCCCAATTTTTTGAAGTTTCAATCCATGTCCATCAAATGCCATCCGTAGCAACAGACGACAGAAAACAGTTTCAATGCCTAAATATAGTATAAAATAAAAAAACACGGCCATTATTTTTGGAATTCAACTGATGCAAAGACACCTTTTGGCTTACATATCGTGACGACTAGCCAGTTACTGTCAAACCCAGCGCGTAATGGGATAGCCTGAACTATCTGGGCCGTGTTGTTTAAAGGACGATTTAACAGCACAATTTATACGCTCTGTTTACACTTAACCCAGAATTAGAGATAACTAGGCTTCGTTCATGTTATGCCGTATTATGGTATTTTGCCTTGGTCTTGAACAACATGGGCAATGTTTAAAATCAACTGTAATAATACCTGCTGCCAGCCAAGCCACGGCCTTGCCTGAAAATGTTGGATCCTCGGCATCTTCGAAAAGTTTGGCTGTTCTCCTTATCTACAAAGTGAAATATTACTCAAAGGTTGGTTTTGCTCATCTTTATTATTTTCTAATTAACTCGAGTTTTAACTTATGTTAGCCGAGTAAATCAAAGTAAGAGTCGTACGCTAAGTAGGACACTCTTGCATTAAGACTACAGGGGCACCCAACGACGGTTTCCTCCTAAAAGCATTGAAAACTCTAGAAATGTATTCTACGCGGGGCTATAAAATTTGTATCTGTCCGGTCACCCTAGGAAAACTTGAGTCTTTTCGAAATTACAAGGGTCTCAGAATTATTTTCTCGAAAATTTTAGATGCAGTTTTTAAGTCATTGTTTTACGAAAGAGATGATTTTTCTGATTCCTCTCTCAATCGCATTTTCGAATCCGAAAATTTTAGCTTTCCTTTTCCTACTTAGAACATCCTAACCTGGGGGCTGAAATGCGAAAAATTGAACTTTAAGAAAACGTAGGGAATTTCTTAGATATGCTTCGAAAATTGTACATGAATGACTCATGAATGGAACTGTTATCTAGAAATTTTTAGCCTTCCTCAAGCTATAGAAAATGCTAGGCAATTTTTGCTTCTCCGAACAGATATTTCACAGAAAACAGTCGTTGGGTGCTCCTGAGACAATGTTCACACTATAAATAAATAAATAAATAATGTTTTCACCAAGCATATTCTCGCATTCGATGAAAAGTGAACAGAACAGGTATTCGGTCCGTAGCGGAAGTAAGTACTAGGGAGTTTAAGATGTAACTACGGAAACGACAACGAGAACGTCACAAAAACAATAGGTTTAGGTTACCAAAACAACAACTTTGCACGTTTTATCGACAACTTGAACATACCGAGGCGAATTTCTCTTTCTCTTTTTAAACTTGAATATCTTTCTTGAGAATTCAACTCCTGGAAAATTCGCCTACATTAGACAAAGCGAGTGTGCCGAACCTAATACCTGGTAACCGTCGTAACGCTTCTGTGAGTGCTGCCTGCACAGGCGCGAAAACCCACTAGAATAGCCAATCAGAAGCGCGGTTACATTGAAAATACGTTAACATAATTTATGCATTAGGTTCGGCACATGTGAAGTTCGACGTATGAATCGAAGTCGATCTTTTGTCGTTGTATTCGACAAGCTCAGTCGAATAGAACGGCAGAGTCGACCCAAATACAAAAGTCACCGAAAGTGCCGTTCCTAATTGATTCACACGTCGAACTTTACACGACCCGAACTTAATAATTAGGTTCGGCACAGTACGATGTTCGATGTGTGTGAACGACTGATTCCAGTTCTGTCTTGTTGCTGTTCATACAATACCGGATAGCTTTTCATGTCAGCACGAACAGCTATCCGGTATGTGGGCCCGGTTCAAACGTCGAACTTTACATGTGCCGAACCTAATAATTAGGTTCGACACATGTAAAGTTCGACGTTACATAACACACTCGTGACGTGAGCTTGGAAGGCCTGTGCATCAATTGACTGACTCATCAACACCATACGCCTTCAGCTGTGCTAACAATAAGCTGAGGAAGATGGAATCAAACGCTTTTAACAAGTCGATGGCGATTAAAACAAGTTTCCTTTTTGCTACTAGAGAGATTTAGAGGCACGTTTACGTTAAACGTTAAACGTGAATTTGCACATGACCAAGTTTCCCCCTTAATTGTAGTTTACTGTTTATTTTCTACCAACAAATAAGTAGTTTCACTCCAGTATAATCCATAAAAATTGTTCTAGACAGTTTTTATCTGCTTACTTTCTATTTTGGGAAATTCTCAACTTAAATCCTGAGGTTTGCCGTTTGCCGTGAACGTGACTCTAAATCTCTCTATTAAGTGACATGCGCCAATAATGAGTTAGCTTTACAAGTTCAGGGTAACAGGAGTGGCCACGTAGAGAGCAAGACATGTTAGGAGAGAGACACCCATTGAAATTCGGGAGTACAGTTCATGAAATTATATTTTCTCAAACATTTTCGGTACAGGAGATAGAAACCATATAGGACGCGCACGATAGTTGCAGTTATGGGAGGGGGGTTAATGGAGGATTTATTGTAACCCCAAACCTAAGTTGTTACAAAAGTACATTTAAGGGTGATTCTGACTTATCAGCGGAAGGAGGGTTCAAATTTTATGATTCCATTTAGCGCCCTCCGTTCAACAGAAAAACACGATAAAAAGAGGGCACGAATCAACAGATGTTTTGAAAATTTTATACTTATTAACTTGGGCCAAAAGAAACTCCTTGACACCCTCTATTTGTTTTTTTATGTTTATGTTTTTTTTCACTTGAGCGTTCTGTAACGTACAAAAAGTGGTGGATACATATGTTTTAGTATAAAACCTGCAAATTACCTTCTCATCTTGTGGTTGACTTAAATAGTCTCTGATATTTTCAGTCATCACAGCTCCAGGCCAAAGGGACACGCAAGCCACATTCTGTTCCTTCAGCTCCACAGCCATGTCTGCGGCCATTCGATCATTCTTAGAAAAATAGTAATGCAAAGAAATTATCAATGCAATCAAGATGATCTTGAATATGCACTTTTGAAAATTAAGTACCAGTCAATACTGAAGGACGAGTCTTCGAAAAGGACGGAAGTCGAAACACATCTTTTGTATTAAAGTACAAAGTTTTCGCTAAGAAGTCGTAATTTCAAGAACCCCACTAACACCCCACTTTCATTTTTAAGAGCATGTAAACTTGTGCGACTTACTGCAGCTTTTCCAACGCCATATGCAACGTTGAAAAGATACGTCATTCCTCCTGACGATGAAACATTGACTATAAGTCCTTGTTTGGCTGGAACCATCATCTTGGCTGCATGCCACGCGGCAATGTAATTCGACCTTAATGGAGAAAAGGGACACAAAGAACGCCGATGACGATGAACTCCTTGCTGCCGTAACCTAGTCATTAACATTTACTGACTATTATACATCAAGTTAAACGGTTGGAAGTGAGAGATAAACTACAGCTGTACAATACATGCCAAGAACGTTGAAACAAAAAACATGAAATAAAGTCCAGCGCTGGAATGAGCACGTGTGCCTAAGATCCACCCTGCGAGTATGCGACCAAGAGCTCTTCTCCTTTCGGTAGAAGCAAGTTGGTATCAACGTTTTTTATCTTACCAAGGCCTAACACACCATTGCTTGTTTTCCTTTCCGTGACAATCGGTCCTTTTAAGACATTCAATAGCAAAAAAAGCCTTGAGAGTAATCCACACCGCCACATACTTAGGAGGGCGAAAAGATTACAGCCGATTAACTGAGAGTAAAACAGCAAGGCTTACTGCACAGCTTTGAGAATATGCATATATTTTCCATTAACAATATTTCTTGAGGCACTGGCTGACTTCAGAGAATGACTATCTACAAAAAAATTGTCACAGTTCAAATAACCAAGAAACTAGGCGGCAGAACAGCCGTTATTTTGCTTTTTTCAGGCGAGCAAAGGCAACCGCGAGGCGGGGATTGCAAAAAAATGTAAGAAAACTATTTGGACTACAAAAGGGCCATTTGTTACCTCTCTTCAGGCGGCCGGTGAAAATGACCGCCTACACCTTTAATATCACAAAGTTACGCGCAGTAACGCGCAGTAGATGATGCGCAGTACAAAACAAGGGAATTACCTTACATACCAAAAATGTTAATGTGTAATACCATCTCTGAACTGAACAGACGGTCTTTCGATCTTCAGATATTCATTTTCTTACCTGAGTCCTACATTGTTCACCTCATCCCACACGTTTGCAGGCTAAAGGATAAGAATCAGTATAACACCAAGTTAATTGTGACCAAGCAAACCAAAGAAGAGGAAACAAGGGTGGATTCGTGCCCCCCCACCATACAAACGTCTGTAAAATTTCGCGACTTTGTGGAGCAATATCTTGGCTATCTTTGGACGTATCACCGTTAAACTTGGTAAGTTTCCTAATTTTGGGGCCCTCTTTCCAGCAGCGTCCATAGATATTCGCTTATTGGTCTAAATCAAAACTTGCACTTGAAAAAAACCGTGGAAGACGCACCTATTGGGCGGTTAGTCGCAACAACCGCAGGGAAAACACCAGCCAGTTAGTATAGGTAATAGCGGGATTTGTAGTGATATTTGGCATAACTACCACAAGTGATATTTGAAATTGTTTTTTTCACGTAATTTCACGAGCCGTTAGGCGAGTTAAATTTGAGACAATTTTGAAATATCACGAGTGGTATTTATGCCAAATATCACGTACAGATCATGCTATTATTTGTTTATACTACTACCCGCAATAGGTTTGTAATTTTCACATGTAGGTATTTCAAATCAAACTGAAATACCACTGCTCTAACCAATCAAATTGCAGAAATTTCTCATGCAGTAGTATACATAAATGTACTAACTGATGTCATAACAAGCATTGATGCATGGTGGACACTAACAAATTATGACATTAGTTTTGTATTAACAAAGTGCAAGAGATCATCCCTCTAAGTTACAAAAAGTTACAAAATGATGCATATTAATTAAATGTCTTCCAAGCAGAATTCTTCAACATCGACAATTAAATTGAGATTCTTACCTGTTCATAAAATGGTTTTTCTTCATTTTCATTTATTACCTAGGCCATAACACAAAAATTGTCAATAACACACAGTTATTATACATATATTTCGATATATTAATCACTTTTTGTCTTTTGAGTAAACTATAACACTGCTTTTAGGCCGGGAGCTTCAGCAATCACGACGGCAAGGGCAGCGAAAACGTCGTCGCTATTCGCGCTGTTTCAAACCTTATTTAATGCTCTTATTCCATTTCATATAATTTGTTTAATGTTAAGAATTTTCCGTGAGTTGATTGTAAAGGATTGTATCTAAATTCAGAAAAAAAATTATTGTTTTCTTGTGTTCACGTCCTCCATAAAACGTGAAACTAAGAAGTTTCACGTCATAGTCGTGCAACAACGGCAAAGAAATGTCCAAAAAAGCCAGCCTGCGAATACTGCCGTCTCTCGGTCCTCGCTTCTTAATATGCACAGAAAGTTTCGAGAAAAATAGTGCGCTTCATCTTTCCTACATAGTATAGTAAAGATGAGGCACAGGCCATTTTTCTCGAAACTTCGTGTGCATATTAAGGACAACAACAACTTAGCCTGGGAAAACATCCGTTTCTCCTCGCTCTTCGCTGCTAGGGACGTTTCGCGAGGAGGAACGTCTGCGACTCAGCGACAGAAATTCAATACTGATGACGCAAATCAATGTTTACATAATGAATCCGGTAGTCATGGGGTTCCAAATATAAATTTGTCCGATTTTGCGTGTCTTCTGGTCGATTTTGGTGAAGTGTTGTGTTCATCTGCCAACGAGCTCCGGCAAAGCTTAAATGCTTCTTCTAGAGAAGACTATATTCCAGAAATATTGACTGTTTTGTTAGAGATTCTCCGCATTTACATTTGACCTTTGTGGCCTTTTGTCTTTTGTCTGTCATTCGTAAACAATAGCTAAAACAATGTAACTACTCCGTCGACCAATCAGCGCTTCTGACCGGATTCCGGACAGATTTTACGTCATCAGTATGGAATTTCTCTCGCTGAGTCGCAGACGTTCCTCCTCGCGAAAAGTCCCCAGCGGCGAAGAGCGAGGAGAAACGGATGTTTTCGCAAGCTAACAACAACTCGCCACGTGATAAGTTTCATCGATTTTTATTTCCACTTTCTAGCAAATTTCCAGACCTAAACTTCGCCCTATGTTCTCTATATTTACTCATGTTATGAAACCCGTACGTGACACAGTGAGCCTGGGTAACCTGTGCTTGAACTTGGAGCGAGGAGAGACGGCTGTATTCGCAGGCGACAAAAAAGCGTGATGCACGTGCAAAGTTATTGTTTTGCAAATATGCTGTTTTAGACTTATTGCTTTTTCGCCGTTCTCATTGCCGTCGCTGTCGTCGTTGCTTAAGCTCCCCAATTTAAGTAAGTACAGCACAGTGTACCTGCCACCTTTTTTGAGTCAAAGGCGCGAGAATTTTGTCCTTAGAGTATCAGGATTTTTCGTAAAGGACCCGATCAAATCTGTAAGACGTCGTCCCAAGATTTCAAAGTGTTCCAAATGACTCAGTTGCGGTGCTTTCTTTTCAAAAACCACTGATTTCTGGGGAAAGTACGATCATTTACATAGACTTTCCTTTTCTCGAATTGCCTCGAGTTTATGTTACTTTGATACATTTTTCGAAAATGGGTCCGTTAAGGCTGTGGTTCATATTTTTCCTCCGGCCGTGAGAAATTGGTCCGCAGGCGTAAGATCGAAGTTTCCGATCCGCAGGTGTGAGACTCGCGCCAGGAATAGTGTGCCATTGTCTTATTATATGCCCCAGCTGAGGTAGCTTGGAACTTCTAAGTATGAAAGTTTTAAATTTTGGTTTTTTAACGGCATAAGTGGAGCTGTCCACTTCACAACACAAGAATGCCAGTTAAGAGAGCTTTGACTGTAGCTTTCGGCCATCCCTAACCTGTGCATCATATAAAATAGTTGACATCTGTTATTTGTTGCAGCCTGACTGTTGCTTACAGACTGTACCTTCACTCCTTTGAAAGCATTGTTCACAAGGATATCCAACCGTCCATTTTGTTCTTTGCTAACTTTATCGAACAACTTTTGGACTTCTTGATCGTCTCCATGGTCACACTGCACCGGTATACACTGTCCGGTACTCTCTTGTCCTATCTAAAAAGTCAAATAAAAAAGAACAACAACATTTTAAAATCGCTGCTTCATTAGATTTCTTACTACCTTTCGAGTCTGCCTTACCTCACTACCAGTTTCAACATAAATTAATACCATTTGACATTCGTGAACTCTCCATGGTTATCACACTACTAAAGTCACGATCCCAAAGTGTTCTCGTTGATAGTTCATTCTCTTCCTGGGTGGACGTAACATATGGAGTCCCTCATGGGATTCTCTTAGTACCATTCCTATTTGTCCTCTGCTGAGAACACTCTCGGTTAGCGTGGAAAACGTGACTCGTGCATGGTTTAATGTAAAACAGTTATTCGAAATCCTTTGTATTTTGATCCTAGAATTGAGTTGGCCGTGGAAGATCGTTCCGTAACACCGCATCGCTTGTGTCACGCAAACAATACCGTACACAACGTAAAATTTGTATCGCGTATTTATCCGTACCGAACACTAAAGTTTAGGAGAAACTACAGTTCAGAACATCTTCTTTGTTATAAACGACCCGCCTGAAGCGGTCATATGTAACAGTTTTCTTACGAGTCACTGAACACTTTACGGTCATCATTGGGCTGCCTGTGGCAGAGCCAATCAAGTCGTCTCGACCAAAAAAGACAAAACGGCGGATGCATACCCTAGAAATTGTGTCCTTGCGATGGGGACGATCATTTAACTTTTGGGGGGAGGGGGATGGTCGTTTCAGATATAAACTGGAAAAAAGGGTACCATCAATTCCACCAAGGAATATGAACAAAATCACAAATACCGTATTTATTTGATTAACCGCCCTGGGCGCTTATTAAATTTTTGGACCTTGAGGGTGGGCGCTTATTCGAGGCTGGGCACTTTAACTTTTTCAGCAAGTGTAGCATGTTTATTTTGCAACAAAACAATAAATGGTAAAAACAAAACGCGAAGATGTAACAAAGTAAGTTTCCTGTAAACTACTCTGACGAAAACTCCGTCTTCTGGGAAGTCTCTTATTAGTACTTATTCAAGTTTTTTTGCAGGGGGGAGGGGATGGGAGCTAGAAGGGGGACTGTGGGTGGGTGCTTATTTCATTTTGAGTACGAGGTGGATGGAGTGGGGTGGTGGTGGGCGCTTATTCGAGGTGAATTAAATTATTGTCGTTCTACGCCTACGCGACAGAGTCAACTCTTAGTGTTTTGAGTTCTGTTTCTTAAAACTCGCAAAGCAAATTAATTTTTGGTTTTGCTTTTGCCTGATATTGCATTTAAAGCTCTCCTATCCTGGAGAATTTGTTTCTACTCCACGGGCAGCAGCCCACACTGTACCCTCATTATGGGGGTCTTATTAAAACCTGAAAGACACTTAACCAGTGTTATTTCTACCGTGATCTAAAAAAATCGAATTCTTCACTTCAGATTACTTCCACACCCTACTTGTCACTTTTACGTAAAAGTGGACTTCAATCTCACAAAGCCACACTCTAGAATTAACCCTGGGCAGAAATACTGCTATCTCTGTTTCTTCTTTAAATTTATGAAATTGCTATTTTAACACAGCCGTGAAGCATAGCCATCAAGGACTACATAGGCTTTGTTCCTGGTTCTACTTGGAGTTCTTCGCCAGTATCCATTGGAATCTCCCCCCACCCCAGACGCTTTTGTACATACCTCGTTATTTAATAGGGACTCTTTCTTCAACCAGATTGACATTACCTGGAATACCTTACCACTTACATGTAATTTACGTCACACATCAGCAATCTCTCAAAAACAACTTTATGAGTATTCCTTCGATAATTCTACGACCATTCATTCGATATAAATGCATCAGTCAAACTCAACTTTCTTTGCACGCTGTTCTTGTGGAGACCTGAACTGGAAAACCAACGCTGAAAAATAATAATTTGTGGAACACTGTTATTACCTCCTCAGCAGTTTGCCGCAGTGATCCAGTCCTTCCTTCTGTAGCATCAAGGGTCCTTCCTATCAAAAAGAATTTTTTTGTGCTTTTAAATTATGTTCACGTAGAAAACAGTTTTTTGTTGGCCACTGTTTGTGGAGTAGATAATTTATCATACTGTAAGACAATTTCCTAAAAGTTGAACTGACCTGTAATATACACGGTGGCTCCTGCCTTAGCCAGCATCAAGGCAATACCTTTACCAATACCCCGAGATGCTCCTGTCACAATGCACACTTTTCCGGACAATAAAGGGAGTTCTGATGATGTCATGGTGCACCTTGGTGATCTATTGCTTTTGCATAACCATGGAATATTATATCAGATTAGCCTTTAAGTACAGCTATTAGTCTAGACTTCCACACAGACATACTGCCTTCACGCAATATTAAGCATTGCTTGACAACACTAAAAAATAGCTGAGAGGGAGACTATATGCAGCATGATAGCTATTATTGCGGTTATCATTACCAATAAAAAAAGCTTTACTATTGTATCAATGGAAGCTTATTATAATTAGCTGTTTAATTTTGTTCAGAAAATATCCAAACTAAACCCCCACAGGATGATTTTTTTTTCCTATGAACTCATGCACCAGCCCCTCCACCCCTCAATGTTTAACTTCAGAAATATCGTTTTAAATTTCTGGCCTCTAGAACTCCCCTACCCCTCATAACTCCTAATAGCCCTCCAAGAGGTTGATATGGAAATTTTCTGGAACTGCAATATAGAGTCATTTATACAGGAAAAAATATGACATGTCTCATCACATGAGATGTGTATTACACAACCACAATTTATTTTGAGCTGTGTCTTAGCTGGTGCAATATAAGTCACATGATGTGAAGACTGCATTGTTAATGTACCATAAATATACATTAATTCTCCCCTTGATGATTGTATCTTGTTTACAATGCATTTTCTGTAAGACGTACTTTGTGTAAATGGCCCTATTATTATATCATTAACCCTTGATGAAAGTTCAATCTACAGCCCATTTTTTAAGGGCAGATCCATCAATTTTGAAAGAGGGGCTCTAAGACCTAGGGGTAACAACTTTTCCTCTCCACTTCTCACTTAAAAGTTTCTGATAGCTGTATTAAAAAAGCGTAAACTTTTCTGTTATGTAGTTGGGATGTGTAATATGGAATTTCCAGCATCTGAGTGGATACAGTTCTGATGTAGTTTATCTATACATACATCCTTTATTGAGACTCCCTTCAACTGGGCTTTTCAGTCACAATGTTAATTATTACATAATAGTGGTTACATGTTTGAATGTAGTAGAAGTTGTAGTATAACGTACTGTTATATCTCTTGGTGCTCGGCCGAAACGGCCAAAATAAACCTAATGGTTGTACTGCGTCGTGGAGCCGAAATGGTCCATTTCTTAAAACGTTTTAAAGGGAACTGCTTTCATTGGGGTGTTACGTAACGATTCATCGCAGGTGTAAAGCTCACGAACATTTTCCAGCGAAACTCAGTCGCTGGAGGCTCAATGAATAAACTGCATGTAAGCATTGAAATAAGAAAAAACCCAGCCTGATCCGAGTTTATATTGAAAATTCTGAACTTAAGCTTAGTTTTGTTTTTCTAAACTATAATTCTATTACTTTTTGTACCATTACTGATAATAAGCTTAATCGAAAGGCGAAAAAGACAAATCGACCTACCTCGACTCTCGTCAAAATCTACGTCTTTATACTCTGAAGACAAGGAAACAAAACAGCAAACGCTAACTTAACGCAAAGTCCAGTTCCCATCAGCTTATGTAAGAACGTGACGATGCAAGTTAAAAAAAGTTCGACAGAAGAATCAATCACCCGCCAAAATGTTTGTTTTTGCCAGGCGGTTTCGTGAGTAGTCTTCTATACCCTCCAGGGTAGAGTCAGGAAAGACAAAGCCCAAAAAGCTTGGTTAGCGGCCAAGAAAAACGTTAAAAGCTCTTGGCAAATTTTATTATACCAGTAGTCACGAATGCTAACTATGATTTCGAGCACTTTTATTTGTCAAAATTTATCGGTTTTTTTTTTCGTTTGGACGGGGCAGGGGGTAGGGGAGGGGGAATATTTGGGTCGTTTACCCACCTCTCACCCACCCCGCCGATCGGGAAGAAGTTTCACTTCTTTCCAGTTTCTTTCAGAGCATCAACAGATGCCTGAAACATGAGATTGTGGTCGAATGTAAGAGGATTTTGTGCAACAATTTGGTCTTCAAGAATGAGTTCTACTGCAGCTTCAAACAGAAGACTTGAGGGAAAAGTTGCAATTGTTACAGCATCAACAGACGGGTGGGTAACGCAATATTTTTTTCAGCTCATTTCAATCACAAATTGAACTGAAAAAATCTATATATAATCGAATCTCAGGCTCAAAAACTTTGTAGTCATATTTGCGAGAAGAGAAAACTTAAAAGTAAAGAAGAGTTTACAGACTAGCCGTAACTAAAGGTTAGGAAGTGCTTGCAAACATGTACGTTCACCTTCAATTAAAGGTTCTTTTGATATTGTGTACGTGAATCAGAGAAAGTCCCTTTACATGTAGTTCCAGTGTGAACAAAAGGAATCGGGGCGGATCATGAACGTGGAAACTGAATAGAACAACTCAGTAAACAAGTCAAATATTGAGTTCCACGGTTTTATTTGCAGTGGCTTAGATACGATTAGCTTGCGAACCATCAGAAGCGAGGAGAGACAGCTGGATGACAGCTGTATTCGCAGGCAAAGGTACAGTGGAACCCCACCTTATGGCCACCTCGTTGATACAGGCAGAGATTCCAACCCCATGTGATGGAAAATAGGGAGTAATTATTAGCGCCGAAGGCGCGAGCTTCTAGGGGGGACTGGGGGCATGCTCCCCCGGGAAATTTTGCAAATTTAGGTTCTCTCAAGTTCCATTTCCTGAATTTTGACATCATTCCGGCCTGAGTTATAACATACCATAATGCTTTTCACGAAGAAAGTAAGTATAATATGAGTGTTTCACAGTGACAGATCGCCAAAAATTCTTAAGATTAGCAATTTTTTCCTAGTTTTCAGAATTTTATAATAAATCGGGAGAATTTGGTAAAAATCGGGAGAGCGGGAGGCAAGAGATCAAATCGGGAGGGTTGGAATCTCTGTACAGGTCACCTGGTTATTCTGGCCAAATGTTTCTGACCCATTGGTGACTGTATTAATGGGGTTCCACTGTACAATGAAAACGGTAATGTGTGACATGAACAATGCTCAACGTGGAATTTATACAGTCATGACTACTTAAAGTCCTTTTATTCAATGGGATATTCAATCCATGTTCAATGACCAAAGGTCGTTGAAATGTAATAGAAAATCATGAAAAAAGTTATTGAAGCTTAGATGACAAGTAATGTAACATGCTTGGAAATGTATAGAAATAGAAAAACCATGCACTCTCAGTGTAACCTGAATTAACTTAGTTACATGGATGTATAGACTTTGTAATAACTCATATCTTACCGAAGACTCGTCCTGCTTAAGGTGAGATCAGGTTCTACTTTCATTTCCCTTAGCAGATAGATTTTCGGCGGGCAATGTGTATTGAAAAGTCTTGTATTTAGTACATTACTGTATACCTAAATTTAGTTATGTGCGTTTTCGAATCAAACAAATATTGTTGAATCACTTGCGTTTGCATTCATGTGATTACCGTGGACCTTAAACTCAACACTAGGGCCTTCGCGGCCATAAACCATGCATATTAGTTGGTTCATCATGGCCATCCCAAGAATGAGGACAGGTTTTGGAAAAACCTCACTATACAGTTTTATAAAGTTCTTGTGACCAAGAAAAGTCTGCGGGTTTCTCTTGTTGCCTGCAAAAAGCGGAATAGACCTGCTATTATGGCACTTTATTATGTGCCAATTTCAGTTTGTTTTCTCTTGTTGTGCATATACCGTATTTTTATTATTCTATACATAAAAGCTTACAAAAACAAAGGAAAATAGAATATTGAACCAATGATAAGCTTAAAATTGATTCATACTAGTGATGCATATTTTCCCTGTAAAGAAGCGTAAATTTTCATTCCACACTTTTGTATACATATTTCAAAAGGATTATGGTCATTTGAGTGCTTTGTAATTCCCATAAATTAGGCTAAACGATTCGATTTGGCTGAGGGGCGTGTTAGCGTCAAGATGTTTTTCTGTTAGCCTGGGACCAAGCTTTGAAGTGGGGGAAAAGGTGAATGAAATGGGCGAGCAAAGCAAGTCGAGCAGGAGTCTAACCCTTTCCCCCTCCCTACTCCTCTCTTTGCTTGCCGATTTTTCTTGCTGTTTCAACCTTCCTTTTGCCTTTTTCTGCCACTACAGTGCCTGCTCCCAGGCTATTTTCCCCTGCACAAGCTAATGATGCAAGCGTAAATTTGGAAAAGTTTTGGAGCTGAAAACTTAACAAGTTACCTTATCTATCCATTTCCTTGATAGATGAAACATGGAAAAACTAAACATGCTGTATCAAGGTTGTTTCAGTTAAGTCACTCACTGTTAACAACAGTCCTCTTCAGGGCCCAGTTGTCGAAAGATGGATAGCACTATCCATTCAATAAATTAATCTCTATCCAGTGGATGGTGCAATTGTTTTTCCCATACTTATCAGCTGGATATTGATTTATCCAGTGGATAGCGCTATCCAGTGTTTGAACAACCAGGGCCTGGACTACAATCACCTAGACGATCACATTCAAGCAATTTATGAAATATAATGACTCACTGGGTTCAAATCTTTCAAAGTTTTTGCTTTGCTTAAGTTGACATTTTAACTGGGGAAATCTGTATTTTGTACATGTAACATCTTTTTTGCTAAACAGGAAGTGATTACAAGTAAAAAACTTTTTGTGTACAACATTTAAGTCATGAGCAGTAAGAATTTTCTTTTTAATCAGCTCAAGTATACAAAGAGTTTTGCTTCTGTTCTCTCGTCAGGAAAGAAACATGTTGTATTTTCTAAAAGCACTACAAAACTTTTTTGCTGTTTTTGCATAGCCTGATAATTAACAGTCAAAGGGATAGGAAAATTCTCAACAGTGTGTATGCAAACCATTGACTTCGTGTTAGGTTTGCATAACTGTTTTGAATTCTCCTAACATCCCCAACTTGTGTTTAATTATCAGGCTGTGCAAGGAAAGTAAATTTTTATTGCTTAAATTTCATATTTTATGTAAATTATTTTCTTTCTAATGATGTTCATTATCATGCTCAATGAAAAACTAAAGAGAGCCCAACCACCTCCACCTTATTCTTAGTACCAAACAATCAAAGTCCACATGTACAGCTGGGCTGCAAAGCGAAGCAAGGTCTTAACTTAGATAAAGTTGGATGCTACTGTTTGCCAAGTACCTGATTTATAAGCAAAGCAAAATTGCCACAATATTTTCAGAAATTTCAAAAGTAAAACATTTTACTAGTTTACCAGGAGTCCTAGCTTTTTTTCTAAAGGTGATATTTGATACTTTGTACACGTAATTTTATTTTATTACTATGATAATATTAGCATTTGAATTTCCACTTCAGGATAGGATTTGGAATTGCTAGGCAGCTTGTTCGAGATGGTGCCAAAGTCATGATTAGCAGTCGGAAACAAGACAGGGTTTCTAGTGCTGTTTCAGAGTTGGAAAATGAGGAGCGAGGTTGTGAAGTTAAAGGTGTGGTGTGCCATGTCGCAAAGCCTCAGCATCGTAAGAATCTCATTGAAGAGGTCAGTATGTTTCGCAAATCCACTAATGTCACAGTGAAACTGCTTATTATAGTAGTGTCCCATGCAGCTGTTCTTTCATGGTCTGAAATTTGTTGTGGTCCAGTTATCAGAAATGAACAAATTTTAACAGTGATGACCAAATCACGGACTGGTTGCCTACATAAGTCAAGCTGCAGTCTAGGGGCCAATACTCGTACATGTAACAGAACTTTATTTATTCCGGGTGCTTGAACATTCAACTTGGCTGACTACAAGAATGAATAGTAATGGCGGTAATAGGCAGTGGCCGCTGACCAACACTGTCAACCTCTTTGAATACATGAACAGTTGTGAAAAGACACCATTAGGTTGTAGGTCGAGATTTAATTCTGCATGAGAAATGGTACAGTGTTATAAACAGTCCAATTGGTTGAAAGATTCAGAAATACCCGGTAAAAGCTGGACATTTAAAGGCTCGGGTCATTGCAAACAAGAAAACTCAGTCAGAGACAGAAGCTTTGGAACCACAACACAACTTAATACAGCTTCAAAAATTTAAGTCAAGGTGGTTAACAGCTGACCATGGCTTTTATCGTTAGGGACTAGATTTCTCTTTGGACGCCTAGATCTGAAAAGGTGGTTGCCCAGTGGTCGTCAAAAATTAATTTTGGACCCTGTCTTTTGTCTAAATGTGAAAAGATGATTGTCCTATACGTAACAAAAATTAATTTCGGGCACTGTCTTTGTCTCGTCATGCAAAGCATGAAGAGACAGGTATTGGCTGCATGGGAGACTATATGGTAGACTTTCGTATGTTATGCTTTTGTTTTGCCACTTAAATGCTCCACCTTAATGCTCCTTTTTTTCCACTAAAATGTACAGTCTTCCCCAATAAAGTCACTAAAATTCTTAATAGTGCCCATCATACAGAGTCTTTGTTAAAGATCGATAAAGATTACTGGTATCTAAAGTTTATCCTCTAAACGGCTGCACTAGGGGGCATTTTATCTTGAAAAGTTTTTTAAGTTTCATTTTCTCTGAAAAAATAATCATTTTCCGAGAAAATTCCAGTAAAATGCTCGAATAACGCTTAATACTTTTACCTCTGAAAAGCAAAAACTAGCAAGCATTATAATACACAAAAGCTTACTATATTGTAAGCTAATTTGTGCTTAATAATTAATAGTTATCTTTACTGATATATTTAGTTTGTGCATTTTGTTTTTAGACTTTGCAACGCTTTGGTGGGATTGATATCTTGGTATCAAATGCAGCCGTCAATCCAACATTTGGCCCACTTCTGCAGGTATTACTGACAAAAGCCAATTTTACTATCTAAGGTATTTAATAGTGCAAATAGTGCTGTACGTCAGTTTTAAAACAACCTGTTCCGTTTTCACTCATGTGGTGCACTGTAATACTTGTCCTTATTCATCAGGAACTAAAGGGAATTTATGTTTTTAAGTAGCAGTTTATTCCAAGTAATGTTGGATTGCATGTATTCTTAGGAACTCAGGCTACTCCAATAACCATGACTGATCCAGAAAAAACCTAGTTTCATGAATTTATTGCCAACGAGCAGCCTTGCGAAGATGTGAGGCTGCGAGGCGACAGCCCAATAAAGACATGCGCGAAAGTTCCAAGGCAGAATGAATCTTGAAGCGATGTTACATAAGGTAGTGTAAGGTGACATAATACAAAACAGAGAATGCATCGTTTTCGAGCGAACACGTGAAACAACAGAGAATCCACGAGCCGTGTGCTTGTTTGTGAGTCCCATGCTCATCCCGTCTTCAGCCAATCTTCGGGTGGGTTCATTTGCAACATATGCATATAGCTCTCGCATTTGCCTGCTAGCGTTTTTTATTGTTTTTAGGCTTAAAAACAATAGAAAACTCCAGCGGGCAGATGCGACAGCTACACGCGTATGTTGCAATAAAGTGAATAAATCCACCACGTCATTTAGGGCCTGTTTACATGGAGGTGGGGAACCACACGTAGGTGAGGTAACCTGCTTATGTGGGGTAAAAAAATAACCCTCCTTTACATGCAATCTTACAACTCTGCCATCCCGGGGTGCAATTTCTCAAAATTATTGAGTGGTTGCCAAGCACATAAACAAGAAAAATGCTGGCAAACCACGTGTTTTGGCGATTAATGCACTTCTACACTCCTTTGTTGCTCTTGCTGCAACCTTCAGTGCTGTGGCTTTCTATTGTTAACTTTAATAATGATGCAAAGCCACCGCCAAAGTGAATTTTGCGCGAATTTGATATATCACGAATCCGACCCCGGCCAGGTGGGTTACCCCACCTTGGAACGTTTACATGGCAAAATTTGACAACGCCTGAGAGGGTAACCCGGTCGGGTAGTCCGGGCTACCCACCTTGGTGGGTCACTCCACCTATCATGTAAACGTGATCAAATTAAAATGAGAGATTATGGGGACAGGCTGGTTACCCCACCTAAGCGAGTTACCTCACCTACCTGGGGTCCCCCACCTCCATGTAAACAGGCCCTTAAAGCCGTAAAATCTTTGCTCTTTGGCACTTAGCGATAGCTATAACTAGTAGTACATACAGATGTAGATTGACGTTTTTTAATGTGTACGTCTACATCTACCCTGTGTACAGACGTCTCTCCTTCCTCAGGAAAAAAATCCAACGTCTGTACACAGGCTAGTCTACATCTACATCAATAAATTGCAAAGTCCCTTAGGGGACATGTCGCAAGTTTCAAAGAAAGAAAATAAATATCAAATAAATAAATAATCAACCAAATCATACTGCTTTAACTTTCAATATTTCGATCGTCATGCAATAATTCATTGTCTTTTGTTTGTAAAATTTTAGACCCCAGAGGAAGCATGGGATAAGGTAATCTTTTGCAAAGTAAACATCACATTTTCTGTCCTTAATGTGTAATAAACAGGTACAATTTATTTTCAAAAAATTATCTTATTTGTATTTAAACAGTGGCCGAATTTATACTAGAGACGAAAACCGGTGTTAAGACGAAGTTTGGCCCCAAATTCAACATGCTGACAGACGAATCAAATAAAGACGAAAATAAGCGTACTTATAAATATGATACGACATAAATATGATTACTTATGATACTTTGAGAGGAAACGAAAGTGAAAATAGAACGTATCGAAATTCATGAAAGTGAACATGATCTAAGTGAACATGTTTTTTGCAGGGGAATGAACAACCTAAGCGCAGTTGAAAAAGAAACTGAAAAAATTCAGGCGTGACCGGGAATCGAACCCTAACCTTTGCGTTGACCGGACTCAACGCTATCTGATATAAGTGATGTAATATACGAATGACTCATTTTTTGTTTTGTTTTGTTTTTTTTTTGTTACTTCTTGGAATGAATCATATGTTACCTCAATGGATAGAGCGTTGCGTTCGGTCATCGCAAAGGTCAGGCTTCGATTCCCGGTCAAGCCAGATTTTTTTTTTCAGGTTCTTTTTTAACCGCTTACCTTTGTTCATTCCACTGTTAAGATCATGCCCTCTTTATCCGCAGTTCAAAATATGATTGACTAGCTGTTCAATTTCCCGTAGTCTGCTACACACCCGTTTTTAGCGTTGACACGCAACGCACCGTTTGTGGGGATTAGCGTTGCGTGACGACACTAAAAACGGCTGTGTAAAAAGACTAAATTTCTCGCCTACTTATTGCATATACAGCGGTACCCAGTAACTTGAAATCTTAGTGACAGCCCTGGTGGATGTGTCCGGATCTCTACTCAGAAAGACACCCTGTGGTCCGATTCTCTTTAGCGTTCACCTCCCACAAGCGAGCGCTAAATTTTCGTATGGGCGGTTAATTACGGGAGGCCTGACTGTAATAATATGTTTTTACCCTAAAATTTTCTTCGACCATTTCTCTGTGCGAAGGCTCCCACTAGTAAGCAAAATGAGTGAACACGCTCTTTTGGTAATTTGTCCATATGACTTAAATATTGTGTTAGATGCCTGATTAATAGTGACAGCTTGGAAACTGTTTTCAGGCAGCACCTCAAGCTATAGGCTCGATTTCCTCCGTCTCCCGGGTCCGGTCTTTGATCCTCCCCGAAGAGAGGGGGATGAGTGCGGGCTCATTTTCCCGAACAGCGGCTGGTAATCGAGCCTACTCAAGCTATATCTGTTTCTATCTGTTTACGTTTTCGTTATTTTTCAGATCTTTGATGTGAACGTGAAGTCTGCCTTCTTGTTGGCGAAGGATGTTATTCCTTTGATGGAGAAAAGGGGGTTTGTAGATTTGTTTGTTTTGTTGTTATTTTAATGGATTTTAAAGGGGCAGTATCACTTGCAGAGTTTTTTTTTTTGTTTATTTCGTCACCAAAGTATGCTAAAAGGTTTTATAAACTAACAACAATTTTGCGCGTACAGCACCTTTTTTGGTACATTTGATTTCGTTGACCGTGTGACCACGACCTAAAATTTCCTGATTCATGTTACGTTTTGTGGAATACGTAAAAACACGAAGACGAGTTTTTCTCTCTCTTTCTGAACTTGGGTGCGGCCCTCAAGAAATCAACTTCAAGAAAATTCACCTACATTTGACAGTTTAAGCGAGTTGGAATGAACGCAAGAGAGTTAAAAAATGCGAATTCGTTTTGATAGTGACGATATTATCACCGTCGCCATCGTCGTTGCTAAAGCTCCCAAATAGCCTGCGCGGCTGTCGCGTGATAGACTGCGAGTAGTCTCTCTTTTTCTTCTGGTCCCGGTTGTTCAAACGTCGGACAGCGCTATCGACCGGATAAATCACTATCCAGCGGATAGCGTAATTGATTTCCGTAATACTTATCCGTTGTATAGTGATTTACCCGGTGGATAGCGCTATCCAACGTTTGAACAACCGGGGCCACTTGTAGAAAGGGGAGTGCACACGCGCGACGTGCAGAAAGCAAAGTAAGATTATAATTATCTAAAACTAAGCCACTTGGACCCGCTTCTCGAACGTCCCGTAATTCTCGGAAAGCTCTTTGAAGTGTTTCAACTCAAGATCGAGGTTTTGATAGTTATAACAAAACGAAATGGACTGGTCAAAGAAGCTAGAACGCCAACTGCTAATATTTAGATGTTTATCCTACTGAGACTTTAGGCTCGTCAGTTTAACTCGACTTTTGAGAAACAAGCCTTTTCTTTCTTGCGTTCGCGCACGGGTCTTTTTTTTTGTTTTCGCTTGGTAATTTGTTGCGTTCGTTCTGCTTCAGGTCTAAGAAAAATAGATGGGTGGTTGAACAGTGAAACGACCTTTCCTTTGCTCCTCGTACAAATATTAAGTGAGGACTGGGCACGAGTTGGGTACAATTATATTACCATTCGTTTAGTTGTTTGTCTCCTATTTGTATAAATGATTTTTGATGTTTTTGTTTTGTTTAGGGGTGGATCTGTGGTTTTTATTTCATCAATAGCTGGATATCAACCAATGCAGGTAATGATAATTACTACGGAAAATAATACGCGCTCCTAAATGTATAATACTCTCCAATGGCTGGCTTAGCTTCATCTCCGCAAGTGCATGGGAGTAGACTTCACAAAAACAGTAGAACCTTGATAACTCGAACTCGAATAACTCGAATTCCTTGCTAACTCGAACTAAATTTTCTTTTCCTTGATCACAACTTCACTGAAATTTACCCCGATAACTCTCATTCCCCGGAACTCGAACTGTTACCGGGGTTCTACTGCATTAAGAAAACCTTGAAGCTTTTAAGATTAATTCTGAGTTGAAAGCGGCAAGCGGTTTTAAAACCCAAAGAACTAAGGAACTGGACCTGCACATTAGTGCCAACGGTGTATTTGCAGTGAATATGACGTGTTATGCCAACCGATATCCATGAAATATAGCACGTCCAGCACGCACGCGGTTAGTTATAGGCACATTTTTGAACGGACGAATTTTTTTACCTGTGCAACCCGTTTACACGGAACCGTGCAAATTCTGTTACAGATTGCAGTACTGCTTGCCGTCTAAAAACTTGCACGGTCCCTCGGGTCCCGTGTAAACGATAGGCAGACCTGTGTAGAAGGGGTCTTGAGCTTCGTTCATACGGTAACGGACAAATTTTCGACCGGTGGAAAATGCGTAACCACTCGGTCTTAAAGCGTAACCACTTGCACCCGCTCTTAATACGTAACCACCCAAAGCTTACGAAAGTTAAACGCCAAAATCAAGGTCAAATTTCCAGCCGGTACGGTAAAAAATTTGGCCGGCGCGGTGTGAACACCTTAACCGTCTAAATATTTGTACGGCAAAGGCGTAGCTGCATAAATGCGTGGTAATTTAGCTGGGGAGAATCCTCTTTGAATTTGTTTAATTAGCGCTCTCCGTATGGGCAAATGGTCAGTAAAACCATTGATGAAAGATAATTTTCAACGTGGTTCGTCAGTTCCGTGTGAACACAGGGAACATATTGGCCGCCTCGGACCAGTAGAGCTAGAACCGCTATAATTTTGCTTTACCACAACAGTTGCATCCTTGTCTAAGTTTATGATTTAGTTAGTAGATGACCTGCCTTGGCCTCTGCCAGTCAGGTAACACAATCCCGGAAGTCACTGGCGACCCTTAGTGTGTTTTGTGACCTTCCCATAAGGAGAGAAACAGATAATTGAAAATAACGTCACGAGTAAGAATCCCAAATGGCCACAGACAAACCAGCCAGCTGGGTATTTACAATTGTGGCCGAGGAGTTTAACTCGATCGGTACTAATGAGAAGAAATACGGCTATAGTGGCAAGGGCAGCCGTATTATTTCGGAACTTCTCCAGGAAGACCCGAAAGGAGAAAACAAATAACATAGTTTGCTTGGCCTCTAGACACCAAAAATTATATTCTAACCATTATTAAATAGATAGGAACTGTAACAGGAAAAATGTACCAGAAAAATAATGTTTGAAAGGTGTGAATAAATTCTTATGTTCTGTTACGTTATGTTCCTCGCTTAAACCACGAGGCCCGATTACTGGCCTGTAATTCAATAGCCAACGTTCGATATATCAAAATTCTAACATGAATTTTAGGCTTGAGGGACAGAAAGCCTGGGAGTCATGTTAGAATTTTTTTTAACATCAAACGCCTATATCATGGTAGCTGAATGGCCCTAATTTAAGTTTATGTATAGAGCGTTTTCACGTGACGTCATTTCCGCCATTTTGGTGTTCCCAAACAATGAAACTGCAGCAATGTTGGTTTCTCAAACCAGTCTTGTGGGAGTTAAACCTTTTTCTTTTATGTAAAAACTTTCTTTTGTTCTTATAAATTTGTATAGCAGCTGTTGGTTGCGTGAGTGAAAACGCTCCGTATCTTTATGGCGCTGTTACTTAAGGTGGCTCGATACAGTTTTTCAGCGTCAACACCTCCCAGTTTTAAGCATAAACTACGTCGCCGTAAACAGAGATTTGGAAAAATTGCCACCGCAGTTGTATTAGATAACGTTGAAAATTTGTTATGATTAGGGTTGCAATGAAATCGAAGTTGTCATAGCAACGAAATGACGGTGTTACCTATTTAACTTGCAGCAGTGTAAAGAGCGTTATCGAGGTATTTTTGGATGAAGTTGTTATGGTTAGAAATGCGGTAAAAAAATTGACAGTCTTAATGTTCGGCCGTTATCTGTGGAAAACGAAGCGCGTTTGACATGCAATTTCACCTCATAGTAGTTTCAATCTTTCTAAGAAATTTGTGTGAAAGATCATGGAGATAGCTCCAGCCGATTGCTGAAAGTTAGTGTCGAGACGCTCCTGTTAGCGGTTTTGTATACATTTTGGTCTACTTTAGCAAATTAGCGAATAATTTTTAAACCGCTCGATAAAAAGATTTTTTAAAAAAATTAAGATTCTTGAGATTAACTGTTCTTTTCTAAGACCTTTTGTTTCAAGGTTATTGATATATTGTAGGCAGTAAAATAAGGGCTACAGTTCGCTGTTTTGTCAAAAATTTTGTGTTTACAAGTGAGAGCGTCTCATTATTCGGCGGTGTTGTCTCCACGTTTCATATTTTCGGGCACGACAGTTGACCACTCCGGAAATACCATAAAATAACATAATGCTCTTTGTTTGTCACCTCAAAATTTTCAATAAGCATTGTCTTCAGTTTCTCTTGGGAGGGAAAATGGCCCTCAAGAGAAACTGAAAACAATGCTTAAACAAAATTTTGGGGTGACAAACAGAGCATTATGGTATGTTACGGTATTTTCTGGAGTGGTCAATAGGTGGCATTTTTGCATATTTTATATGCATTGTTAGTTACTGCTGTTCATGTGAAAATGAAACTTGGAGACAATACCCTTGAATAATGAGAGGCTTTCACTTTTAAAGACGAAACTTCCGTTTAGTATCCGTTTAGTAAATTTCATTTAATATAGAGCAGGGGGTACGATGATTTGGAGGGGGATCAGGGGGCTTAAATTGTGTGTGTGTGAGTGTGCGCTTGTGTGTCTGTTCGGGGGGGGGCTTTAAAAAATCGGTGAGGTCAAGGGGGAGGGCGTAAAATCTGGCTATAGAACCAAGTGCCTGATTAAATGAGCCGGGCTTGCTCGCGTTGCAGAGATCTAGGCACCTCAGTTAAATGCAAGAAAAATCAACTTTGCGATTATATGACAACCGACCCAGCCCGGTTAGCTGGGATCCCTGTATGGTGATGTCGGGATCCTATTGCTTTCAATCTCTATATAAAAATACCAGGATAAAAGTCACCTCGACAGAGCTAGCCAGCCCGGCTCATGTGATCAAGCCCTTACTGTGAGTTGTATTGCACGCAAAAACTTTGGAATTTGCCGCTTTCGTGGTTCATGTGTGACAGAGTACGACTTAGGGTCTGTTTACATTGAAGTGGGGGACCCCAGGTAGGTGAGGTAACATGTGGTAGGTCACCCCACCTATCATGTAAACGTGATCGAACTTAAATGAGAGATTATATGGACAGGCGGGTTACCTCACCTAAGCGGGTTACCTCACCTACCTGGGGTCCCCCACCTCCATGTAAGTAGTCCCTTATAATCTAGACAGATTCACCTTCAAATTTCTGAAAAATCGCCGGCCTCTAGGTAAGATAAAAAATACCGTAAGCTTAAGATTTATAAGTTTATCTTTTCCGAGCAAAAAATCGTCCCCTGAGAGGACATGTCCTTCCTTACTTGCAACGAATAGTCTGTACAATGAAAAAGGGCAATGACCGGTACCTATCGTTTGGAGGAAAAACATTCACACCGTGTGCTGCAATGATAATTATTTTCCAAAGGGAAAATTTAAATTATTTAATATCGTAAAATTTCGAAAATAAGCCCCGGGGCTTATATTTTACAAAGGCCCTTTTTGAAGGGCTTATTTTTTGAGGGGCTTATCTACGGAGGGAAATTTGCGTTTCAAAATCGATTGGGCTAGCCTTATAGTTGGAGTAAATTTGCCGTTTTTGCTTTGTTTTACTTTGTATTTGAGGGCAATTTTCCAGGTACAAGCCCCCGGCTGGCTTATATTTGGAGGGACAATTTAACGGAGGGTTTTTTGCGTTACCGGTTTGGGGGGCTTATATTTGGAGGGGCTTATTTTCGGAATTTTACGGTAGTTTGTTTCACTTAGTGTACCTTGTTTTTTTCACTGAATACGTTTGATTTCTATTGCCAATTTGTTTGCCGTGCGTTATCTGAGGGATGTAACGAGGATAAATGCTGGCAGACATGTTCTAGTCGCGTCGCTTGGCTTGTTTATGTTCGCACGTATTGCGTGCCTATAGCAACTTTGAATCAAAACAAGCGATCTCGATTACTCTAATTGGGCGACGCCCAAATAATAGGCTTCTTTTGAAATGGTCTACGTTACAGTGTCATTCGAAGCGACTATGCTTTCTCGGAACAACTGCGGTAGACATATCTGACACTGCAATATTTATTAAGAACATAAACATGAACAAGTAGTGCTGATTTTTTTCTTGAAAATACGGGGAAGTTTCTTAGAATTGTGTAAATAATTAAGGTAGCGATTCTGCTTTGGACAAAGACAATATTATCATTCGTTTGAAGTGGTTTGACCACAGAAAATTATGCAATTTTCATACAATCAGCCTATAGCCTTGAAAAATAATCCGAACTCAGGTTCTGTTAATATAAACCTGACTATACCTGACATGAAGGTCAGTTGTTGCACGAACCATCGAGTAAATAAAAAATTCACTGCCTAGCAAGTTGTCTTCGGTCACCATTGAATGATTTTTTTTTCTCTGACGACTTTTCTACACAAAAACATTTAAAAGAATCTTGTTGAAGGTTTACGACAATACAGTTTTCAAAGTCCATTTGAATTGAAAACGTTTTAACGAGATGCTTATTACGATACGAAAAGATGTATCTGGTCCTTGTTAATGCATTGAAATGATCGAGGCCGCGGTACAGAGCTGATAGCGACTCACCCATTCTCCCTGCGAGAAATCTGGATTGGAGTTGTCAGTTGTACATAGTTTGTACATCAGAAAGACCCCGCATTCCTTATGTACGCCGTTTATGAGCAACAATGCCCAGGACAAGGTACTATACTATTCATTTAGACTATTGCCTTGGGCCCTATTTTTCGAAACTTCCAATCTGTAAATCTCGTCTATTTACCCTGGGCAATGTATATCAACTAAAATCACGAAATCTATTTTTTGTGTCTCAATTACTTATTCTCCTAATATGCAGCGTCTGTCATGTGTGTGCCTACGTTCCATATTTACGCAGTCAGTTGTCCTCGAGCGACTTTTTCTCCTCTAAAGCCTTCTGATTATCCTCTGCCAACTTTTCTTGAGCCTGTTTGAGATCTTTTGCAAACTCTGTAGCCAGCTGACGTACGTTCTTCTTCGCCTGCTCGATGGTTGGGTTTTCTTCTAAGTAGTTGTAAAGATCTTGCCTGGTATCCCTGATTTGTAGCATGTACACACCACACACGTCATCCAGAGCAACCCATTTGGAATAGTATTGTACTGCACTTTTCTTGAAGCCCGTTGATGTCCAAAACTTCAGTCGCTTTTCGTCATCATACTTATCCAAGGCCTTTTGCACCAATTTCTGCATTTCTCCTTTGGCTATAGACTCGCAGTGGCTTTGCATTTGCTGCCAGAACACTGCTGCTTTCATCATAATGGCAGATAACGATTTGAGTGCGCCAATGGAGCTGTGCAATGCCTCTATAGCTGCTTCTGCCAAGGCGTTGTCATCTTGACACCTCTTTATCTTCTCGGCAAATTCAATGCACTCTTCTATGGCCTTTTGGCGAATTTCTCGTTCTTTCTGCAACTCATCTAGATGCTTCATCTTTTCTTGATTTGCCATCTTCATAGTTTCTTTGTAGCCCGACTTATCACCAATTTTCTCTATCGCTTCGGCGGCTTTTTCAATATTTCCCGTCATAGCGTTGCCTGCAGCACTTATCATTCCATTAAATATACTTCCCACGGCGCTTAGAAGGCTGTCTTGCTTATCCAAAGCCTTATCTTCTTTTTCTTGGGCTTTGTCATATAACAGTTGCGCTTTTGCTTCCGCTTCAAGAGCATTCTTTTGCCTTTGCTCTGCTTGCTTCATTCTCGATTCAAAGTCCTTTCGTTCTTCCTCACGAGTTTTCTTTTGCTTTTCTTCGGCGCCTTTTGCTTTCTGAGTGTCTTCCAAAGCGTCAATGACATCATCTGTAGCCTTTTCAAAGTCGCTGTGTAATTCGTCTGCGGCCTTCGCCATTTCTGCTGCGACGTCTGTCAACATCGAAAGTGTTTCCAGAGCCATATCTTCGAATCCATCCAACAGATACTGATAGGTGCTCTTCAGCTCTTGGAGCACACTTTGCGATGCGCCTTTAAATTGGTGCACCGTGACTGCTGATTTGTCGGCCAGCTTTGTTACTTTATATCCGACTCTCTGTACTTTAATCTGCACCTCGGTGTGCCCTGCCACGCCGTTGTAAGCCACACGAATGAAGTTACCGAGTTTTCCCAGGTCGTCCACAAGACTTTGGAGATCAAGCGAACCAAGCAGAAGATCTTTGGCTTTCAGTACCATTTGGCTTTTTGCATCTGGAATGGTAACAAGATCGAAGGTTTCGTCACCAATGACAACCTGAGAGTCAGCCATTTCGTGTTTTAGGATTCTTCTTTTTACGCAGTTTTAAGTTTTGGACACACAAGGCGTTATGCAGTTTTCTAGCAAATGCACTCGAATGTGCTAAATGTGAAACAATTTATGTGTTTGTGGCGGTCTATTCTCGGAAAATGATCAATTAATCATTGTTGATGGTAAGATAGATATATATCTGACCAATGCTGGCCGTTTCGTACCATATATGGTCAAAATTAGGACGAGAAGTTACAGCTATATTACTTTCTTAGAAAAAAAAGCTTTCCCTTTGGATCTAGGCATTTAAGTGTTTTTTTGTTTTCCTCCATAGAACCGTGCTATCATTGCTTTCCACGAAATGTTTATCACTAACTGGGCTTCATGTTCCCTAAAGGCCAGTGCGAAAAGCCCGGCTGACGTGATCTTGAAACCACTGATAATAATAAGAAAACGATAAGAAACGTTAAGTTTTATTAGAGACGAAGAGACTGTTTATAGTTTTTAAGATAAATAGTAAATAAACCAGTCCGGATATTTCTCAGTGTGCAAAAATGACTCTCGCAGACAGGCAGGTGATGCAGCCCAGTTTTTTCAATAACTGAGCTTTTTGTCACCTCCAGACCAGCCATAACGAAATCTGCACTTTTTCAGGATTTTTTTGTTTTCTTGCTTGAACGAATTGAGATGTTGAACAGAACATCTACTGTTCGTTTTTATTTTTTCTTTTGTTTTTGAGAGAGACTCAAGGTCTCGTGACATCTCACCTGAGTGCTGGTATTTTTCGTACCATATTTAGTCTATTGTGATTGATATGGGTAGTTACCTTCAATATTAACATAATAATGAAGATCTTTCGTGGAAACAAGGATAGCCACTTGGCACATAGTTTGTGGTGTGTTGTAATTTCTCTCCTTGGTACTAAGACGTTCTAATCAGCTTCAAACTAAAGTTTTACCATCATGTCACTAATCGCAACGAGTTCTAGGTGTTTCAACGCACTGGAAGCAGCCTTGGAGGCAGTGAAAACCGGTAACGCTGACAGCTCAGAGGTTATGATTAAATCCATAAGACAAGACGGAGTGTTGTTACAAAAACAGGCGTCAATCCGCTGTGATGAGCTCAAACAGGACGAGAAGAAGCAGCAAGAATTAGACGAGGATCTAACTAGACAGATAAACAAGTTACACGCAGAAGAGGTTGAGCTTAAAAACAGGAGGCAAGGTTTGGAAGCGAAGAAATCAGCGCTGAATGAAGAGAGGGAACGTTGCTGCCGAAACAAACGAGATGCATCTCGGAGATACGAAAATGCAAAGGCAGAGAAGAGGGAAGCTGAAGAGAAATTGGAGGAAGCGGAAAAATGGGGTTGGGTGCCTGGTTACGGCTTGTTTCTAGCCGTTCGAGAACTTGTTGAAAACAATGAGGAAAAGGCTCGTGATGCACGCAGAGAAATGGAGCGTTATGACGAAGAAATGAGAAGAGCCGAAAGTAACATCCGGTCGGCAAACACCGCTATTTCTCAGGTAGGTGTCATTTCTTTTACGTGTTCTTTTATTGTCATAGGCAAAAAAGCATGTAAAGCGAAACTCTCAACTATAGCTACGAGACTTTTTGCTTTCGAAGTGTGTTTCTCATTTGTCTGGCCCGTTTTACGTTAAGCGAAAAATAATCGGACACTTAAAGGGCGGAATGTTTCACTTTCCGACACTTCGGCCTCCGAATAACCTTCGCGTTAATTTAACACGGATTCCCGTATATGATGTTCCATCAAGCTCAGCATTCTGTTTCATCATCTCTTTGTACTGCAGTTCTGTTCAGTGATATCGCTCATTTTACAGGCCAATTTTTCATATTTTTCTGCAGGCAGAGAAGGACCAAAATGACATTTCAAAGAAAGTGGCAGACCTAAATAGACGACGAGAATCATGTCACGAGGAGCTTGGTAAAATAAAGACGTTGATTTCATTCGTCATGCAAGCTACTACATTCTGGGAGGAAGTGATCATGCTCGCCAACGCAGCAACAGTCAAAACCGAACAGGTTGAAAAGATTGTGGATCGGGCTGCCAAGAAAAATAGTGTCAAGATTCTCAGTAGCAGAGGTACAGAGACTAAGATGAGGTCATTCAAAGAATCCTGGATGGAAGTAGCAGAGATGTTTGCTTCTGAAGAAAACAAGCTGCTATTAAACGGTGAGCTACATAGATCGAAACTTGCATTTATGTAGACATAAAGTGCAATAATTAGGTAAGGAGTACTTTTGTAATACGACTCAGGAGTGTTCCAAGTTGTTGTATCATTGTTGTTTTCATTTTGATAAAACGCACTTTCCACTTCCGTGCGTAGGTTGTTGAGATCATTTATCGTTCAATTTGCTGCTTTTTTTCTTTGCAATACATGGAATCTATCTTTTGGTACCATACCCCAAACCTTCCCCTCTTTTAGCCTTTTCTTTGGCCTTCTAATTTCAACGAAAACCAGTGGTATGGTGCCTAAAAATACATACGTTCGCAGTGCATGTTACCTTGCAGTATGTGTGAAACCGTAGTAATTTTGTACTAAGAATAATTGCGTTGTTCATGTGTAATACACTAAACTAAATTGTAAATGCTCATGTTATTTTTCCCAACAGAAAAATTATTCGTAATGTCTCAGTGAATGTTTCTGCCATTTTGCCGTTCACGTACACTGCACTCAAAGATATAGATGGATACGGTTCCTGCAGCACCTTTGCAATGGCGATTCATGTAGTGTACACCTTGTAGTACTAAGAGCCTGAACTCTGAGTTGCAACTCTTTGCCTTATTGGATTTTCTTCAGAATAACCGCAGCTATTGAATGTTCTAGGACTTGTCTTATCTGGCTTTGTATTATTTATTTGCTATCCAATGAAAATTCCATGTATTATTGTTCATTTTATCCCTGCACCAACTAATGCTTCATACCAACTCTGTTGTTTCGAGAAGGATGTAGTGAAAAGGTTTACGACAGATTCAGGCTCTTGTAGCCTTAGCATTTGGCAAAATTCAGCTTTATTTTTGATACAAGTGATACAAAAACTGTAAACTAGCAAGGGAGTTTAAGATTGCAGAATCAGGTATCTCCAACCATTGAAATTTTTAGATATTATAAAAGTTAGAATTAAATGATGTTAAAAAAACACAATTCCACCAAGACAATAAACTGAAAACCCTTTTATCAAAAATGGCGAAAAGACCAGTCTCCTCTCTAATTTGTGTAAATAAAGGTAAAAGTGTACTGTAAGTTAATATGTATGATAGTGTGTGATTTTAATTCATCAAATGTTAATTATTTAGTTTCCATCACTCTTACAACAAGCCACTTTCAGCAATTGAGCGGCTGTTTTTGGCAGCTCTGAAATTTCTTCCAGCATATGTTGTGTACGTAATTGTGAGTATATATAATCGGTTTTTTTGTTTTTTTGTTATTATCACGTTTTGGTAATTTTACTGTAATATTGTAATAATAATAAATTTCTTGAAAAAGTAATTATAAAAGAAAGAGTTTAAGAACGAGTCCGGATTTAAGTGATCGTTTAATATTGTAATTTATAAAATCCGTTGAAGTTACAGAATGAAAAAGATTAACTGGATACAGGCAGCGCGTGCAACGACCTGGGTTTTTGTCACGGCTTGTCCTTCTCACCTCAGATTTTGCAGTTGCGACTAGCCAGGAAAAGAGAAGCCTTCTCTGTCAGCTAATGGTTAACAAAATGTCCTTGGTTTCTCCAAGTTCCTTTTATCAGAGAAGACGATCATATGCACCCTGCACTTTGCATAATCACTATTCAATTTACAATATGGAAATTCTTATCTTTTACATTTATAAACACTTTTTTATCCCGGATTTTAACACTGAAAATTCCTGTATGAACTGAAACTAAAAAAAACTTTAACCCACAGGACAAACCTTACTGAGACTGCCTTAAAAATGCTTATTCGTAAGAAAAACGTAGCAAACAGAGTTGAGTGATGGTAGTTGAAAACTAATCTTCTGTTTACATTACTTCGCTGATCTAGACAAATACATCTGGGTAGTGGTCACAATATTTTGGTTTTACAAAGGAAGTTGTCTCGGAAATTTTATTGTTCTTATCGATGTTATTTTTTGATCTTGGTCGTCAGCACGACTTAGTTTAGTATGTAACATAAACAACTGATGACTTTTTCAAGCACACTTAGAATTAAAAGAAATTCCAAGATAGCTAGAATTTTACATCACAACAATACCTTTCGTTCTCTCAGGGGTTGCTGTAAGTGCTTACGGGTTTTCATAATCCAGCTAAAAACTATTAATTAAAATAAAACTGACTTGCTGCTTGAGAGGTGACGCAGGTACTGGTGGTCCACAAAAGGGCGCTCCTGCACCTATTTGAAAGACTGTTTTTGATTAGCTAGGAAAACAGTAGGGATTGTCACATAACAATGCCTCTATCCCTGAAAACAATGGAAGTGCAGATTAAAGGGGACCAGTGATAATAGGGAACTTAAGAACCACGACGACGGCTTGGTCGACGACGACCGGAAGTGAGTTACACTGTACTGCGCAAGCGCGACTAGTAAATTTCGTCGTCGTGGTGTCGTCGACGACGCCAAACAACGTAGAATCACGTCGTCCTGCAATCCACAAGCTTCGGCAGGTATAAATCCACTGTTTTAAGCGATTTTTGAAGGCCTTTACATTTTCTTGTCCTCCTAAATCCAGGTATCGTTCCTTTTTTCTCCAAACAAGCGATGTTGATTGAAAATTCGACTAATGAATTGATTTTACTTTGAAGAATGGCAACAGCTGAGGAGGCCGAGTGAGCGAACTCGTAAGTGAATTGTGATAATTTATTAGTACGTATTTAGGTAAGGCAAATCATATATCTTTAATATAGAGGAAATAAACTTTATATGGAAAACAGCTATCACATCAGAATGTCTCTTTTTCGAAATCTAAACTCTGACGGACACTCGGACTCGGCCATCTCATTCAAGTTGAAAGTTGAATAATTTCGTACTTAAAGTAGGTGTATTTCCGCTCGAAAAGGTCAGACAGCACAAAAAATTTTTCATCGTCAATGAAATTAGACGTACGGCTTGAACAAATAAGATCTTGCGTTGTTTTTCCCAGTCAACAGACGTCGTCGTCGTGAACTTTGTCGTGGTTCTTAAGTTCCCTAATAAGCGGTTTAGAACGGTGCAGGTTTACTACCACAAAAAGGACAGAAAAAATATTTTAAATGGATATAACAAGTGACAATACAATATGTTCCGAGTGTAACCAGATAGAAAGGAGCGGAACATCTTGCACTTTCCATATTGGCTTCCCGGCGCTCGCTAATTTTTCCTTGGCCTCCCCCCTTTTGCCCTTTTGACTGCGAAATACTATAGAGTGTTGTTGCGTAATTTCTCCCACTTTCCGCCCTTTTTGAGAACTTCTACCTCCCGCTCTTTCTTTCCTCTCCTTCCCGCTCGTTCCCTTCCCGCCCCCTATTCTCCCGGGCTCCCAATTTCCTGTCCTCCCCCATTTAAGAACATGGCTGACAAGTTGAAATGGGAAATACCGATAATAACCCTAGCTAGTAGCCTCCCACGCAGACGTTCTTAAGTCTTCGTCACGTGTTCCTTCCTCACGTTCGTTTGGGAGGATTGCGTGACGAGTCAACAAAACATCTGTGTGGGCGGTTACCCAGCGAAAGGTCAGAGAGGGATTCGAACCCGGGCGACCAAATTAAAATCCAGAGTTCCAAACCCCACTGAGTCGTGTTGCCTCTCTCCCTCTTTGCAAACTACCATTCGAGAGTCTCTACAAATCTAGTATTATATATTAAAAAACCGTTTTAGTTATGAATATTAACCCATTCGCTCCTGGAGATTTTGCCGAAAAACGCGTTTTGAAGCTAGTCGAGTGGTTTTCTTGTCACTGTCGTGCTATAAAGAACTAAAACTTACCACAAACCGGTTTACAGGTCGTACACTTGGCGGCCTTCTGATCCAGATGCAAGATATCAGCTTGCGAAGTTCGGGCATGCGCAGAAAGCAAAATTTCGACACAGCAGTCTTGACTTTTACTTTTCGCTTTCTCTCCTCCCTTTTTTCGCTTTTCTTGCCTCATTTTTTTTTTTCTCTTGCTGAGCATTTAGTAGACTTCATTTTGGTGGGAAGAGTTTTTAGAAAAGCTTTTAGGATCTTAGGATTAGGTGAAAGGAAAGGTAGGTGGGTAATGGAACAAGATTTTCATGGAGATTTTCAGGTCCTTGTCACGTGGTTTTTTGCTTCTTTCTCCGGTGTCCTTGACTGAATTGTGCTCATTCTGGTATGGTTTGAAAGATCTCTTCACTCTGCACAAGTTAGCGAAGAAAGTTGTCCTTGACCGTTAAAACTGATGACGTCACAAAGGGTAGAAAGGACCTGGATCCGCACGGGCGGTTACGGGCGGTTCAGGGGCGAATGGGTTAAGCAATATGTAATTTAGAGTTAAAGATATCCTACAATTCCTTTATTCAGAATAACTTCTCACTCACTCAGTTTTGCGAGCGCTTATGGAACAAGTTGATTTCTTCAGTGCTTGGCAAGTAACTTTTAAAAGTAATGGTCCAGATAAGAAGGAAAGAACCAAACGCAATGAAAACATCGGAATGCAAAAAAGTGCTAACTTTACTATTGTCTCTACTACACTTATGATTGGTTTAAACATATATAAATCCCTTGTTTTCTGACCAACTTCCTTACAACAAAATCTCTTCTGAATCTAAGTGACACAGAAATCCTATGTGAGGAACATGTAAAATTGTAAACTTTCTTGGATATTGTTTTCAACTCTTATGATTGGTTGAAATCTTTTAACACGAAAAAACACCCTTTGTGTAAAAATGAAAACATTCCTATGTGACGGGAAAGCGTATTGCGCCATAACAAAAGACAGTGCTTCCCTTCTCACCCGGATCCGTACTTTAAAAAAAAATGTTAGAGCTGCTTGTCCAAAGGACAAGCTGGAAGTCTTTTTTTCGAGGTCGGAGGCGACGTTAGCTGTTTAAACTGAACTGGTTGGAAAAAAGCTATCCACTGGATAAATCTCTATCCATATAAATCCTTGGTTTTCCTAATACTTTAACATCTGCGGGATAGTAATAATAATAATAATAATAATAATAATACTTTATTTAGCGCCATTTCTAGTGACGCCCGGCAACAGCGCTTCACGATAAATGGTTAAAATATTACAAATACTGTTCATAAGAGTGTTACATTGTGAAATTACATTACATTGAAACGAATCAAAACGAAATAAAGTATAACAAAACTAACTGATTATCCATCATTTTAGCAACGGGAAATTTTTTATATCTTTGAAGCAAAATAGTTCGGAAGGCTTCATCGGCGTACGATAATTCCTTTTAGGTTTAAAAAGGGACCAAATATAACTCTGTACGTTGAAACCCAAAACCATATGAACTCTTTAAAATATTTTTCTGTTAAACTGTAAAATTCGTCATGCATCCACTACTTGGAAGGAACTAGTTCGAAAATCACTATGTTTGCCCATTTTCAGGAATATCACAGAAATCGTGAAAAAAATTAAGAGTTTATGTGATTTTTGGGGACGCTGTCACAAAATTACAGACGTTTGTATGTATCTTTAACAATGTTTCACGAGTCATAACTTGATCCCTGTTCAACCTTAGAGCACTTAGTCAAATAACCAAACTCAATATGGTGGTGTCAGTTTATCGATTAGTTTAAATTTGAAACTCGCCCGAGTTCCCTACGCAACTCCGAAATTGCCAGTCACTAGTTGTACTATTATTTCTAAATTCGAATAAAGTTGTGGACTGGATGGGCATTTCTATGAAAACTAGACAAACTATAGCCTGCGCCACAGACGGAACTAAACTTCTGGTTGAGCAGCGTGTCTGCGAAAGGATGTCGTGGCTCAATTTTATCCTTGCTTTCACTTTTATTTTTTATAGTCTTTGGGTATGGTAATGTATGATAAAGAGTTTGAAACAAAAGAAAATAAATTTTAAACCAAGAATAAAATTGAACCACAACATAAATGTCGTATTTAGTTGTAACGATTTCATTTTTGAATCTTTTCTAGGGCCTTGGTGCTTATAGTATCAGCAAGACAGCTCTGCTGGGTTTGACGAAGGTCTTAGCAATTGAATGTGCTCAGATGGGTGTGAGAGTCAACTGTGTTGCTCCTGGGATTATAAAAACAAGATTTAGTGAAGCGGTCAGTGGAAATTTTAATTATTTTGTTATTGTACTGCCAATGCAAATAAGATTATCATTCGAGTTATTTTTCCGAAGTTGGATTGGAAAGTTTAGGGATCATCATGATTACATTTTCGAGGCTGTGGGGGGAGTTTGGGATCATTACGTCAGCTGCAGTTACCTGGCTATGAACAATGGTCTGCTCATGCGCAGACGATGCATTACGTGTGCGCAGTGTGGTCCCTGTCTTCGTTGCATTCCCCTTAGTGACTAATCTGAAGGTTGCGCGCGCAATGCTTGATTTCCAACGTCAAACTGTGTTCCATGCGATACTCTGTTGGTCGTTATTTTCTTCAAAACAAAGTGTAATAAAACAGTTATTAGAGTCAGTTTTTGTGATATCTTAAATAATCAAGGCCCGTAGTGTTATCAGCCTCGGCCTTCGGCTTGGTTGGTAACTCTTACCCGACCTTTATTAGTGCGGATATCACAAAAACTTCATCCAATAATTGTTTATTGAATTTTTTAATTGTGGAATTATAAAAACAATGATAACATGTACAACTCCAGTTTGTTTTCTTTCGTTATAATGTAATAGCAAGAGCCATAATATTATCATGGTAATAGCTAAATCAGGATATTTCTAATTGGTTTCAGATTTGGAAAAATGAAGCATTAATGAAAAATACGCTTAATCAAATTCCCATTTCAAGGTAAGCGATCGGTGACAAAGGAAACTTTAGTTCGTTTGTTTTCTATATTTCCCGGCTTAGATTACGCTGAGCAATGATTAGACTTTCTAATGTCGTAGGATAAGGACGAAGAACTATCTTAAAAAGGTCTAAATTAAAGTACTTCCGCTGAATCCTTCGTGGTGTAACCTGTTTGAGGCTCCAATGAAGTGGTCGTTAAATCTCTCTACCCAGTTCCCGCGCTTCCTATTTTTGCTGACGTTGTTTTCGCGACGTGATCCCTACTATGTGACAGCTTGGTGCAGATCTCTTCTGTAAAAATGGCGGCCTATTTATATATTGTTTTATACGTATGATAATTAGCCTTTCTGACATCATTAGCATGTGCAAAATGCAAAAAAATCCTTACTGTCAAAGAGGTCAGAAAGGCTAATTATCATACACTGATAAAAGAATATATTGATTGGCCGCCAGTTCACGAGTTCTATAGACTAACCCCGCCGGATAAAAAGAACCACTAAGAGAAGAAATAATATGTCAAAAACTTGGGCGTCGTGCTTCATCATGGGTTCCAAACACCTCGAAACATTCGTTCTCAGATGAAACTATAAGAAATTATGCAGTGGAATTTGTTGGCTTTTGACTGCATGAATAATTAATGAGTTTGAGAAATAACATATCTCTAGCAGTGACTTCCCCAAAATGCCATCATTGGTCTAATATAGTCTAAGGCCGCGTTAACACGTATCCGTGTTTTTTTGTTTTGTTTTGTTTTGTGTTTTTTTCGAAAACTGCGGTTTTTTCTCAAGTTTTGCCTCCCGCCACACGTATCCGGTCACCAAAAAGGCTCTCGAGTGAAGTTTTTTGAAAACGCTGGCCACTCGTTTACGTTTGGACGGACGAAAACGGAGGTTTCCGAATACGATGATGTAATGCATCGTTTACTACTAGCATAAAGCATGCTCTGTGAGGATGCTATCGTATTTCCATTGTTTAGCGTTTTCGTGTGGACGGGCGAAAACGATTCGAGTACGCCACGTGTGGAGGCGTACTTTTTTGAAAACGGAGGGAAAAATCTCCGTTTTCAAAAATATCCGGATACGTGTGGACGGGGCCTAAATATAACTTAGAGATATCCTGTTCATCTAACATGAAAGTCATCGTTAAAGAGGAAGGATCACACGATTACTAAGTTTTGCCCCTACTGAGTTCAGTAGCGCCATTGAGGCAAGGGTTTCTAGCTAGCCTTTCCGATCGTTTGTAATTGCTGAATTTTTCATTCTCTACTGTTGAAAAGGGAAATGTCATGCAGTAAATAAGCAAAACGTTTTCCTTTTTGAAAATACAGCTCTTTCTAAATTCCCAAGTTTACTCCGCGTGACATTAACATGGCAACCGAGAAGGCCGTCACATATTCTAAAAAAAATTTTATCGCATGATAGTATGGCCTTTGAATGGTGAAAGTATTAGAAAACGTGTTTAGGGGAAAAATTTGCTCGTTCGCAGTGAACAGCTGATCAAATTTGTGAACCAGATGTTTGCATAATTTCTGGCCGCCATATTTGTGGTCCTCGGAGGAGCACAAATATGGCGTCCTCATAGTGAGCCCTATAAATTTCTGTTACACATTTTGAAGAACAACTCAGCAGCGGAAAACTGCACAGACGTGAGACTTGGCCAAGTTGTTAATTTATCGATATTCTATAATTTCTGAAATCCTTGGCTTCAGACATTCCACGGTTTTGATTTTAGTTTTCGATGTCGTGACAGTGAAAACCACCAATACTGTTTTCGGATTTGCGTTTTTAAACTTCTTTCACGGTAACATAATCTCGCATCACGTCTTTTTAGAGTCCAACGCTAGAGTTTTCGTATGAATTTCCTGACCCTATCCTTACACACTTGCCGCTTTTCAAAGTAAAAAGGACAAATGCCCGAGAAGGGGAACGGGAACACTTTGATTTGACGCAGTCATCACCTCCTATGTTTATTCATGTTGCATTTTTTTTTTAACTGAAGGTTTGTTTGCATGGTTGCAGGCTTGTGAGTGTTACTTTTTGGCTAAGCGCAGAAGAAAGACCGTTGCCTCCTTAAATCTCGTTTGTTTTCAGGTTGGGTGTGGCGGATGATATCGGTGGAGCAGTTTCTTTTCTTTCCTCTGATCAGGCATCTTACATCACAGGAGAAACTTTAGTGATAGCTGGTGGTCTACAATCAAGACTTTGAAAGAACTTACGATAAAAAGAAGCCGTTTTATGTGAAGTATAAAATTTTGTCAGACGTCTTTGTTATGTCGCTGATTTAAACGATGTTATTCATACCTAAGTGCCCACGGCAGCCCAAGTTGCCTATGAAATTAGCGCATAAACCAGAAATAATTGCAGATATCGCGCTGCTGATGTCAGACGAAATTGCTTATCTTGAAGAAGTAAATGTAATACGTTATGTGCAGAATTTAACTAGTAGTAGGAAGCTTGCGGAACGAGCTGCATCTTTTCAGAATATCTCAGGTGCAGGTGACACTTCAATTTGCACGTTGGTGTTTCATGCTGCATCACTGTAAACCACGGGCATAAACTTGCTGTGTTTTCTCAAGTCATCAGCACGACTCTGGAGATTCAGTTCGCAAAGAAGTAAACTTTTGGCTGACTGTACTATTTTTCTTTTTGCACTTTTGTGGAATGGTGATAAAGTCGAAGTTTCTGCGTGTCGATTATTACCTATAAATCAGTCGGTTTAATGACTATTTAGAGTTTACCCTTATTGCGTTCATCAGCAGAAAAGCAAGGAGTTGTTGTGTAGCTAATAAGTTGAATGACTTAACTGACGTATTAAATTCGAGAGAGATACGGGTGACATACGAATAAATACGAGCAACACACGAATACATACGGGTACATGCGAATGTCATTTTCCTATTTCTCAATAGGCCATTTCCGAGTTCCAAAAACTCTCGCTTTCAGAACGAGGCTAAGTGCAAAACCTTTCTTTTGAAAACGAGTTTTATTTAATTTTTATGAGAATGAAACATCATTTTCATATCAATGGCTTCGCGCTTAGCCTCGCCTTTTAACAAGGCCGCCTTCGCAGTCCAATCATTTCTTGAGCACATTAATAATAACTACTTCTGGTTAAAAAGTTGTTGGTGTTGGAACTCGCACAGTCCCTATTTAGACTATAAGATTTGAAATAGAAGTGACCTATATTTCTGGAGCCACTCAGTTGAAAGCCACTTTAGTGATCAGGAAGAATAAAACCGCTTCGAATTGGTTCAACAAGTGAAGAAACAAAAACACAAAAGCGTTGATATTTTTTTTTCGAAATTTTTAAGACTTTAAACTGGGCATTGCAGAAAAACAGTAATATTCTGTTAACTCTGCACTGTTTGGGTTAATGCTTCATGTACATCTTGTTTTTACAATATCTTTTGTTCTTTGAACGAACTGCATGTCTTTCTTTAGCCGATTTCCAAAACTACCAAAGTAAATGTGATTTCTGTCGTTTGGGAGAGATGGGAACAAATTAGTCAGAAATTAATGTTCTGACGGCATAGTTTAGAGGCGTGCGGGGGCTCATGGAATAGTTTCAGACTCTATGGTTTTAGCACAAGACTTGTGTCACTCTACTTCAGCTCAGCCTTTGTGTTCGTCTTCGTTTTGTTTTGCAAAGTTTCTTTTCCAATGGTTTATTTTCTTTCGGTTCGGATCTGATGTAGAAAGATTACTTTTAGAAAAAAGCCCCCGTCCACTCGTATTATCCGTTTTTGTTGGGAAACGGAGGGTTTTTTCTCCGGTTTGGCCTTCCGTTCACACATATTCGGTGAAAACGGTCACCTAAAACGCATCATTTCTAAAACAGTCTCCAGAGTTAAACTTTTTGAAAACGCTGGCCACTTGTTCACGTGTGGACGGACGAAAACGGAGGTTTCCGAATACGATGATGTAATACATGCAGTACATCATTTACCACTAGCATAACGCATGCTCTGTGAGGGATACTATCGTACTTCCAGTGTTTAGCGTTTTCGTGTGGACGGCCGAAAACGATTCGAATACGTTACTTGTGGAGGCGTGTTTTTTGGAAAACCGAGGAAAAACTCTCCGTTTTCAAAAATATCCAGATACATGTTGAGGGGGCCTAAAACTCCTGAACCTGCAAATTTTCGAGAAGCTTATTCATAACACGTACAAAGAGCAAAAGATCACCCAAAACCCAGTCTTGCATGGAGCAATACCCACACGGAAGTTTCGAGAATAATAACCTATTTTCTGCACAAATAAGCTTATTCTTGGGTGGGTAACTTTGGTGGAGGATTAATCATTGATGAACCACCATAATAGTAATAATTTAATTTTGATAACAACGGGGCCTCATATACTCGTTTTTTGCCCTCCTCTCTTCACATTAAACCACAATGTCCCACGCTTCTATGTCACAGGGCAAAACGCCACGCATGAGCTGACTCACCTTCAGTTATTTAGAAAAGACATGCCCTCTATCTGTAGGTAATTTTGTTTGTATGGTTTCAGACTTAAAGTAAGTCATTTTGAAAATTGTTAAAAAAATGAAAAACGACATTTTTTGTCATGAACCTGTATGTATCCCTTCGTAACTCAAGTCATGGTCTGCTGTCAGCAAACAATGTTCTGTACGTTCTTGGAATCGGTTCAACTAATAAATCTGACCCATGATGGCTTCTTGTTATCTTGTTTGGTTCTTTTGTGGAACGCCAAGTTGTCCTTTTTCAAGAATCTTTTTGGGAAGGAGGCTTATTTTTGAAGAACTAAGGAAGCCGATAAAAAAGGAGGGCGCACTCGATTTTAAAGTGTTTCGATCATTTGTCATTTGACGTTTTAATTAATTAAAGGAACATTTGATCGTGAAGCGCTGTGCCTCTCTTGTGAGTCTATATTCGCTCGCACCGACGCGGAGAATGGGAGAATTCAAGACAGTTATGCAAACCCTCTGTGACTTTGTCTCGGGGTTTTCTTGACTGTTTCGAGTTCTCCCAATACCCTCTCCGCTTGGTAAAAGGCTATGCACGAAAAAAGTTTTCTGTTGCTTTTATAAAACACAAAAGTTACAAATATCACACTTGTGTTATATTCTTTATAAAAAAAAGCTATATTTGGCACAGCAAAATATGGCGCAAGTTTCCTTAAGTTCTTAATGCTTTACGGTCGCGGAAATGTCCACCTAGCTCTTGAGACAGTTGAAAACGCACGGCGAAATCCGTCTAACAGCATTTCTACTTAAGGTGGCTCCGTAATTAATACTAGAGCATTTTGCTGTGACAAACTTTCCGTCACAACTTTTTGGTTCTTAACGCGATGGCTGTGAAACTTTGCAAAGAACAACAGATATCATTCGGCAATAATACGAAATATTCCGATTTCATTGATGGTAAATATTTCTTGAGGAATTAGCGCTTTAAAGGACCATGAGGAGGATACATTGAGGATACACTGCAGTACATCAAAATGTATGTAGCAGGAGTTTGAACCAAAACTGCAAAGGGATATTTTAAAAATACCGAGGAACAAGTCATTCGACGTCAGAGCAAGGTTTGGAGCAATTTATAGTGCTTCTAAAAATGAAAAGTACCTTTTAAAGAATAGCACGATAGGCAATCGGCTTTTGTTTTCAGAATTAGCAAACATTGAATTTACTTGTCCCGAAAATTGAAACTGGTGTCTCCTTCTTCCTGATAGTAATTTATTTTTGAAATTCAAAAACAATTTCACAGCTGAATTTTGAGCGACTTTTAGTTACGGACTTCTGCTCCAACGATTTTTCTGAAATTCCTCTGGCATATTTATTATATCAATTAAAGCCGATACCAGAAATTTCAGGAAAAAATATCAGCAAAATTTTTTACTAGACGCGATTTTCTTTGAACAGTAGGGTCCTTTTAAGCGCTAATTTCTCAAGAAATATTTACCATCAATGAAATCGGAATATTTCGTATTATTGCCGAATGATATCTGTTGTTCTTTGCAAAGTTTCGAAGCCTTCGCGTTAAAATCGAGAAAGTTATGACGGAAAATTTGTCACAGCTAAATGCTCTTTTATTAATTACGGAGCCACCTTAAATACATAAAACCTAAGAAACATAACATAACTTCATCGTAATTAGTAATCACGCTTTTTATGGATCATCCGAAGTATAACCCCTAAAAAGGCATTCTAAACAAATAGTAAAAAACTTCAAAATGAAAAATCGAATTTTCTTGCTTGGAACGCCCCAAAACCAACTCGAGCAAGAAGCGCACAAATAACGACAAAAAATATGTAACAACATAATTAGCAACAATTGATTTAACGTTGAAATCTTAAATACTCGTGACAAAAACTTTTTAACTCTACGGTTAATCTGTTGATTCTCATTTTGATACATAGCGAGAAACAAACTGCGTGGTAAAAATATCCTCCGCGTATTCGAAGAAACTTTTGTGGTATAGAACTTATTATGCGATGTCAGGGGCACCCAACGAGAATATAGTTCAAAACCACTTAAACATAGCATTGTTAAACGTGTTTTAGTATTTAAACAGTGGATATGGGCATATTTTTATCCCCTATAAATTTTTCATCTGTTCGGATTTCCTAGCTGAAAGTCTAGTGATCCGAAAATTATAGGGATCAAAACTTACCTGTTCGAAAATTTCAGCCAGAAAAAAGGCTCCCGAAAATTTTAGGTGACCTTTTTAGGGTAAAAAAATCCTGTTGATTGTTTTTAAGATTTTTAAGGGCTTAGCACCTTCATACTTAAGATTTTTAATTACTCCTAAGCCTGTATCTAAATATAATTTAAGAAGTTCTAGCGACAGTACCCTACTTAGTTATCCGAATGTTAAGCCCAAGGCAACTCTCGGTGAACTGGCCTTTCTGTTTGCTGCACCTAAGCTATGGAATGCTGTGCCAAGATTTATTAGGGAATCCATTTCAGTTGACACTTTTAAGAGAAAGTTGAACACTCACCTTTTTAAAAAAGCATTTTGTACCACTTAGATTATAAGATTGTATATAAATAATTTTCAGCTTATAATTTTTAAGATTTTGCTAACAGATTTTATCTTTCTAACTTTTAGCCATTAGTTTTTCTATTCTATATCTATATTATCATCTTATTTTATCATTTTTACTATCATAATTATTCATAATTTTTATTATTAGTAGTATTATTGTTTTGTTTTGTTTTTGTTTGTGTTTGTGTTTTGTTTTTTTTTCCCCTATGGCGCATTTGAATATATTTATATAGATATTTGCGCCTTATAAGTTTTTGAAATTAATTAATTAATTTCCGGCGCTGATCCCGTTCCTTCTTCATATGTTCTACGTCCATCATTTTTTCTCTGTGTGCCCTTTCAACAGCGTTTTTGTATCCCGCCTTATCACCAGTTTCCCTTAACTTTTCGGCTGCCCCTTCGAGTCCTTTGATAAATGCTAATCCCACAACGCCTGTCACACCCTCGAAGACCCCAGTGATTGAATCTGCTACCGAACGCAAAGTACTCTGTTGTATTTCCTGCATTTGTATTATACTGTCATGTACTTCCTGTGCTTTTTCTTCTCTGGCTTGAGCCTGCTTCTACAGTTCTTTGTTGTATTTTCTAAAAGCACTACAAAACCTTTTTCCTGTTTTTGCATAGCCTGATAATAAACAGTCAAAGGGATGGGAAAATTCTCGACAGCTACAGTGTGTATGCAAACCATTGACTTCGTGTTAGGTTTGCATAACTGTTTTGAATTCTCATAACATCCCCAACTTGTGTTTAATTATCAGGCTGTGCAAGGAAAGTAAATTTTTATTCCTTAAATTTCATATTTTATGTAAATTATTTTCTTTCTAATGATGTTCATTATCATGCTCAATGAAAAACTAAAGAGAGCCCAACCACCTCCACCTTATTTTTAGTACCAAACAATCGAAGTCCACATGTACAGCTGGGCTGCAAAGCGAAGCAAGGTCTTAACTTAGATAAAGTTGGATGCTACTGTTTGCCAACTACCTGATTTATAAACAAAGCAAAATTGCCACAATATTTTCAGAAATTTCAAAAGTATTCTATTCACATACATTCATATTCATGCTCAGTTCTAATAAGGTATGGGAAAAAAAGATTGATCAGCGGACTAAGCCAAGCTGGGACAGCTTGGCTTAGGAAGAGTTCAAGATACGACTCACGCGATTTTTGAGCGGGACTGGGTGGGCCGTCCACCTCTTCGTGGCTCCGCTGAAAAACTGAGCAAGAATGGTTTATTTTCGCGCCAAACCAGAATTTATTATCGGTAATTACGTAATCGCACGTGAGACCGCTAGACTGGCCATGAAAGAACCCATTATTGAATTATTTTAACCTCGCATATCATTATGAGTGTTGTGAATAGTATTCTATTCACATACATTCATATTCATGCTCAGTTCTAATAAGGTATGAGAAAAAAGATTGATCAGCGCCCAACAGCCCTCACTGTTCCTTAAATAGTCTTAGATAATTGCACTCCGACTCTCAAATCCTCTTACAACTTCCCAATCCTCAATCCTCCAACCTCTCTCATAACTTTAATCCCCAAGTACAGTAAGACAGAGCTATACGTTTACAATTATAATCAAACTAAACTGGTATGAGTTTCCATAACAACATCTCTTCATTAAAGAAATGATAGTACAAAGGTTATAATCCATTCCAAAAACACCCTAGCCAAACAAAGTATCCTCATTCCTCTGGGCGTTTCCTCTGCTCAGCAGCTGGAAAAGCACACACAAAACGTTTCAGCTGATTCACATCCTGCCATGGAGCCACCACATTCTCAGCAGAAGGCGTAGCAAGTCGTCCCGACGGGCCATCATGTTTCAGAACCTTGGCCAGCTGAAGGTAATATAAGGCGGTATGCCTCCTAGCCCAACCCACGTGTTCCATAATCTCAGACAGATCCGCTCCTGTGAGGACCAACGTTATCGCACAACCCGAACGAAAGCCATGCAATGTCTCACCATCATCAGCTTTCATCTGCTTCAGATACACTTTAAGACGCGCATCTGCTGCTGAAGAACTAAATGGAGAATCTTGGACACCATTATTAGAAGTTGTCGGACGAAACAAATATCCCTTTGTTAAATCAACGCCTAACTCACTTGCCACTTCGACATATTGCTCAACGCCCTTCACAGAACAGATGACCGACTGGGGATTTCTGCGAACACCAAAGACATTACTGTCACCATCCCGCAAAGTCTTACCCCAGATATGATTAAATAAGAACCCATCATCATTTGGAAAACGAAGGATCTCCGGAACTTTTACCTGACCAAGATCTCCTGGGCGGTCCCCACTAAAGAACGCCAACTTAAAATAAGCTTGGTCACGTGCGATAATGAAACGGTCAAGTTTCGACTTTGATCTCGCTAGCTCGCCTTCAAGATACTTCGATAACTGAGTCAATTTGTCCACAAAGAATGGCGTGGCTTGTTTTGGAGTGACACGGGCCTGTAACTGCTCCGCTGTGACAAGACGAAGGTAATCTTTAACCAATTTATCAGAGGCTGGGTTACCAAGACCTAGCCGCTTGTCCCACTCTCCGTCCCGACCAATGGAATGGAAAATCGATCTTAACTTTCCTATGTAAGAGTCCACAGTCTTGTACGACAATCTCAAGGGGCAGCCACATGACTGTTTACCACGCTGACCCAAAAATTCACACGTATTGAGGTGTACCTGTGTTTTGCCACGCTTGTCTTTAAAGATCAGGAAGCGACACAAGTCCCTAGGCGTCACTGTCGCGAGAGTAACAAAACCCGGCAGAGCACCAAGAAAAGCCTCAAGTTCCCTCTGAAGAGAATCCTTCTGCTTATTATAACTGGTTGCCTGATCGTAGTGAAGTAACTGCTGCAACCGCACTTCAATTCCATCAAGGTCAACGATAACATCAGAGTGTTCCTTGACAAGCGTTGTCATAACCTTTCGCTTGTAGCCACAACGTTGACAAAAACGGAAGTCAAAATCGTTAGCGTGTCCACAGGTTGGGCATTTAACCGACTGGGCAAACAGCTTTGCCATGACTGGAAGCTCCTACAAACCAGAAAAGAAGAACCCTATCATACACCACAAACCAGTAGCACAACAGATCAAAATGTATGCCAAGACACACCTAAAAGCACACTGCAAAAACCCAGAGATCTCCAGGAATGCCCTTGTGAGGCAGCCACCCCTTTTTGGACGGGACCAAGAGAGCGTTGCCATCGCCACGAACAGCCAGACATCTACTCTTTACAGCTTTATTCATAAGGAGAGGCCACCAGTACTTCTTGGGAAACACGTCCAGCACCACTACTGTGCACGACTGTTTAAAACTCTGCAGACATTTTAAGACAGGTCCCGTTAAAGCCATGGGAGGAAAAACATACGGTCTGGCCATAAGCGCTCCGAGGGAAGCAAGGTCCTGTGTGAAGAGATTTACACCAGACGATCCGGGAGAGGGAATCGGCGTAAAATGAGGGAGAGAATACCCGTGCGCATCCGTCATACTATTCGAATCCAAGGCCATAAGGTCGCAAGTATGGCCTTCCCTACCACCAAACTCCTTCTGAACAATCTGCCACAAGCCATCCGACAATTTACTATCTGAGTGGGACAGGCGCCTTGATGGAGCATCAGCAGGAATCTGACCAGTCGGAATGTAAGACATGTGCAGAGATAAGCTAAGCTTCGACGTTGTGAAGAAAAGCCGTTTCAATGCCATATTAAGCTCCAAGCTTCTACCACGCTGGTTGTTCCAAGCCTCGACAACGGCCTTATTGTCAACAAAAGCATCAACTCTAGCATTGAACAGTTTGTCTTTAAAAGCCATTAACGCCATGTCGACCGCAGTAGCTTCCTTCGCGCCGATACCCCATTTGCACTGCTCTTCCGTCCAATAATCTGATATTTCCTCACGATGAGGGGCTAACAAAATAGCACCCCAGCCTGATGCGGAAGCATCAGTTGCAACGGACACACGAATGTGACGCTCATCCCGCCATGTTACCGGATCATCCCAACCTTCCAAAAACAGCCAATGGGAGATATCCTCACGCAGATCCCCCCTGATGGGTATTAGCCTGTGGGGAGTACGTTGGCCACCGACAATAGCTGCATTCATCTGCTTCGTAAACAACTGGGCTGCAGGTACTGCTAGACTAAAAGAGACACATTTCCCAACCAGGCGTTGCAAGGTTTTCACCGTAACCTTAGAGGCATGGAGTATTTCACGGACAAGTTGCAAGAATTTCTCCTTCTTTTCCGGCTTTAAGCAGAACACCTCCCTAGAAGAATCCACTAAAAAACCAAGGTAGGGAACCACTTTACTTGGGAACAATATTGACTTTTGCAAACCAAGGAAATAGCCCAAGCTGACAAGATGGTAAGCAACAAGAAATATAGCCGACCTAGCCGCCGCAAGATGACGATCATCAACAGTGTTAATAGTAGCGTATTCCCCCTTATCGAGTGCCACCTGGAGTTCGCCATTGTGTCGATCATCGATGTAGAGCAAACAACGGATTCCTGTAGCTCTAAGGAAATTACTAGCCAACAGGCCAGTAGTATGATATACAAACGGGGAGATCTTCCACCCAAAAGGAAGGGTATTATACGTGAAATACCACCCTCCCCATTGGATCCCAAAATACGTGCGGCTGTCTTCAGAAAGAAGAATATGGTCATAGCCAGACTTATCGTCTAGGACCGTTTGGTAGGTATCCTTGCCCACGTAACGCGGTAAATCTATCAGCCTGTCTAAAGAGAAAGGCATATCACGCATCCATAAATTAAGCAAGCGCGCATCGTGACATAACCTTGGCTTTGTTGGCTCAACTGTAAGGGGAAGAACAATAAATGGAGGGTCAACCACACCCACTCTCCCCAACAGCGAAATAGCTCCAGATCTCAAGCGCGCAACTAACGTTTCCTCCACAAATGACACAAAGGGCTTGCAAGAGACATTGTTCTTAAACACCTTCATCGGAGGCTCGTCTGAATCGAACAATTCTCCTTTAAAACTTCCTTTAAAATGCTTGAAAAACGGCTTAATCGAGACCTTGTACCTTATCCACCCAAGAATCTGTGCTTGTTGGGGTGACGAGCTATCTCGCGCAATGTACTGCCAATACTCGAAATGGTTATGCAATTCTCCAGCTCGAAAACAATGTGGGTCAGGGAACAATAACTCCGAAATATCATCAATTAACTCTCCCCTCTGTATTCTCTGTAATCTAACACGGTCACAGGCTGTCACTTCTCCACTGACCTCGACGGGGTTACCGAAACAATCGGCCCAAGACATTGGAAGCTCAATTTCTTTGCCTTGTAACTCCTGAAGTCGAAGATCAAAGGAGTCAGATTTTTCCCAACACCACATGTTTCCCTAGGAAAAAGGGGTAGTGAAGACACCTTTAAACACTGAATCGCCGAAAAATCTAAGACCATATTAAAATCATCCCCGTCAAAGTCAGCAGAGAAATAACAGCTAAGACCAGCGAGGCTGGAAGGCCCTTGTCTCAAGGATACCTCTTTTTCAAAGTCGTTATAACTATGTTGACAAAATAGACAGAGTAAAATATGCACTAGATTGATTCAATACACACAAAAGTTTGTTTATTATCGCAAAGAATTAAGCAATATTACAACACACGACCTTGTCCAGGCGGCCTTCAACCTATAACACCGGTGCGAACTAACGAGATCTAAACACAAGCTACTTGTCTGATTTGGGATCCGTTTTCCTCTGCTTGGACTTCAAATCAGGACAATCAGCTTTGATATGACCTCGCCTATGACAAAAATAACATCGCAAAGAAAAAAGACGAGACGGACGTGCCACACCAGCACCCCTGTTGTCGTTCGCTTGAGGCTTCTTGCGATTTGACTTCTTTTCTACTTTAGAAACGATATCCAGGACCCTCTCGTGGTCCTTGTCTCCTAATAGGCGCATAACAAGGTCCTTGAAGTGGTCCTTCGACAACTCCACCTTTTCCCTCGCCGACTGATGAACGAGCCGATAGTAGTTCTTCCTGTCATGATTACGGTCAGCGGCCTTGTTATGCAGAGTCTCCAACATCTCAAGCACCTCATACTTGTTAAACTCTGTCAACGGGCGGGAAGCATAAGCCAAGATCTGTTCCACGAGCTTCTCAGGCGACGCGTTGGTTACTGCCTCCACTGACTGCTTTAACTGTCTCACCTCCTCACGCAATCTCTGCAAAGGAACAAAGAGACTCTTAATCACCGCCCACCTCAATGTGCGAAGCACTTAGTGTTATGCATAAAAAACCTCATTACAGGCCTCGTGAAAAAACAAAAACATCACGTAACTTCTCGCGTTACCATGTATAAACATCCTTCGGCAGGCACAGCCAAAGGAGAAAATACAAGTAAGACGACCTAGCAACGTTCAACAATTAACGATGACCCATTATCATAACTCATAACAAACATCCAAAGGCCACATCAGCCGAAGGAAAAGACAAAACACAAATGACACCTCGCTGTCACCATTCGTAACCATCCCACGACCGCAAAAAGGCTGAAGGAAATACAAATAAGCGAATTCACGGCGTCTCTCTAGCCAAAAGCTAGATGTCACCGCCGAACAAAACGGCCACGTCGCTTGTACAATAAGCGAGTCCACAGCGTTCCTCTAGCTAAAAGCTAAACGCCCAACGCTGGTCCGTCAACCAACCACCGCCGAACAAATCGGCCACCTCGCCTGTACGGTTTGTAACCATCCAACGACCACAAAGGCCGAAGAAAATACAAACAAGCGAGTCCACGGCGTTCCTCTAGCCAAGAGCCAGACGCCGACCGCTAATCCGTCAACTAGCCACCGCCGAACAAATCGGCCACCTCGCTCGTACGGTTTCGTAATCATCCAACGACCACAAAGGCCGAAAGAAATACAAAATAAGCGAATCCACGGCGTTCCTCCAGCCACAAGCCAGACGCCGAACGCTAGTTCGTTAACTAGCCACGCGGAATAGCCCGACAATCTTCCGAAAAGATTTCGATAACAGGCCGCGATCGGGCCAAAGCTCTCCGTTATTCTCTCCACCATGCTGTGTGAAGAACCTGAAAGATACGACAGACAAGAGAAATATGCCACGAAAGAATTCATAACAACTAAAAGAGAACTACCTCCAGTTCCTGAGGCTGAGCGACATTAACATTCTGGTTGCCATCCGGTGGATTCAAAACCGGCAGATTCACAACTAGCGGGTTCACGACCGGTGGATTCACGACTGGCTCTACAGGATCGACAAGTAACTGAACGTTCGGCTCCGGAGGTTGACCCTCAGCCATCAGGAAATCGTCAAGAAAATCGCGTGGGTCGTATCTTCCATAAGAAAAGAGACCAGCTCTTCGCGGCTCCGCTGAAAAACTGAGCAAGAATGGTTTATTTTCGCGCCAAACCAGAATTTATTATCGGTAATTACGTAATCGCACGTGAGACCGCTAGACTAGCCATGAAAGAACCCATTATTGAATTATTTTAACCTCGCATATCATTGTGAGTGTTATGAATAGCAAAACATTTTACTAGTTTACCAGGAGTGCTAGCTTTTTTTCTAAAGGTGATATTTGATACTTTGTACATGTAATTTTATTTTATTACTATGATAATATTAGTATTTGAATTTCCACTTCAGGATAGGATTTGGAATTGCTAAGCAGCTTGTTCGAGATGGTGCCAAAGTCATGATTAGCAGTCGGAAACAAGACAGGGTTTCTAGTGCTGTTTCAGAGTTGGAAAATGAGGAGCGAGGTTGTGAAGTTAAAGGTGTGGTGTGCCACGTCGCAAAGCCTCAGCATCGTAAGAATCTCATTGAAGAGGTCAGTATGTTTCGCAAATCCACTAATGTCACAGTGAAACTGCTTATTATAGTAGTGTCCCATGCAGCTGTTCTTTCATGGTCTGAAATTTGTTGTGGTCCAGTTATCAGAAATGAACAAATTTTAACAGTGATGACCAAATCACGGACTGGTTGCCTACATAATTCAAGCTGCAGTCTAGGGGCCAATACTCGTACATGTAACAGAACTTTATTTATTCCGGGTGCTTGAACATTCAACTTGGCTGACTACAAGAATAAATAGTAATGGCGGTAATAGGCAGTGGCCGCTGACCAACACTGTCAACCTCTTTGAATACATGAACAGTTGTGAAAAGGCACCATTAGGTTGTAGGTCGAGATTTAATTCTGCATGAGAAATGGTACAGTGTTAAAAACAGTCCAATTGGTTGAAAGATTCAGAAATAAAAGCTGGACATTCAAAGGCTCGGGTCATTGCAAACAAGAAAACTCAGTCAGAGACAGAAGCTTTGGAACCACAACACAACTTAATACAGCTTCAAAAATTTAAGTCAAGGTGGTTAACAGCTGACCATGGCTTTTATCGTTAGGGACTAGATTTCTCTTTGGACGCCTAGATCTGAAAAGGTGGTTGCCCAGTGGTTGTCAAAAATTAATTTTGGACCCTGTCTTTTGTCTAAATGTGAGAAGATGATTGTCCTATGCCTAAGAAAAATTAATTTCGGGCACTGTCTTTTTCTCGTTATGCAAAGCATGAAGAGACAGGTATTGGCATGGGAGACTATATGGTAGACTTTTGTATGTTATGCTTTTGTTTCGCCACTTAAGAGCGGATGTCAGTAAATATAGACCAGAGGTCTACAAAAGTGAAAAATCGAAAATTCTCAAAAAAAATCACAAAGTAGCACTAGGTAAGCTATTAACATAAATGTAATTTTTACTTCGATCCGATAATTATTTTCCACGTACGCGGGGGCCATTGGTTTCGCGGCTCTCGGACCGGGTTTTTTTTTCAGGCCCGAGATCATGTGTCGCAAAAAAATCGTTTTAAAATTCAAATCCATTGTAATGTGGACAACAAATAACTTATTCAGAAGAGTACTTAATTGCACACATTCTAGATGGTGATTTACTCAGTTTGAAAGAAAGTGTAATATTTTGGAGATTTTTCATTATTTTCAATATTTTGAACGTTTTCGTTCAATGAAAAAATAGCAAATTTCAAAGCCCAAAATCGTCGACTGGTACCTCGATTTCAGTAACGAATCTTATACCACGTTAAAGAGCGTTATCTCTTCTTTCAAAATCTGTTTTCAAAACTACGGGCAACTTAAAAGAAAATGTTTGAGGCCAAAAAATACAAGTGGTACTTTTCTGAAATTTGAGCTTTCCAGACGCGGCGGGCCGATGCTAAAAACTTGGAAAAATACAATAAGAAATCAGTTTGAGCAATAGTGGTTTCATGTTATCAGCTTTCAGAAACCAAGACGTGTTTATACAGCGATCTGATATAAATTTAATAATGCCGTTTGCTATCAAGAAAGGCAGATTTAAGCTGTCAACTCCTGCCAAGTGCACCAGTCACGTGAAGTTGTCAAAGGGAGGGCAAAGCACTAATATTAAAAAGTCTTAAAATTCAAAACGTTTTACGTCCATGAAATCAGATTTTAGCGTACCAAACAATGTTGTGAATGTCTGTTGTTCGTACCTTAGCATGGTGTTTCCATATATTGGAAATGTGAAGTATCCACACGGGAGAACATACCAAACAACAACGTTTCAAATCCAAGCGCCGAAAGATCGTAAACTGCAAAGATTGCGTTACATTTCACAGAACGACCGCTTAGCACTGTTGTCACTCCTTTTATTCGCTGGAAGCTACGAGGAGTTTTCATTCCGTCATGAGTGATTCTTGATCAGCGTTTCCTTGAAAGTACGACCCCGGACAGGTGATAACTGAGGACGTTTCGTCAAGACTCCTGTTGTTCAGTTTCAGGCTTTAGCAGGTGCGTAGTCAGGATTTTTTCGGAGGTACGCCCAACTTTTTCTACATCTTCTTCCCCCCCCTCCCCCCCACCCCACCCCAAATCTAAACATTTTTTTAAGGTGCCTTTATTAAAGGTGGGGTTAACGGTTGTAAGCAAAAGCATTTTTGCTGTTTATGAAATGACACAACCGCTAATATTCTTTAATTCTGTCGGCTTGTTATGTTCATTGACGTCAACCGTTTATTATTAATTCAGCTATTAAAAATCAAGCTTGTAGTACCTCCGACTTTAGTTTACAAATGACTCTTTTTACCCCTTTTTGTCACATTATTTTTGACCGACAAAAGCACCACACATTGACTTAATTGTGTCCTACCTCGTCTACTCCGAAGACAGGTCGTGGAGAAAACAACTTCACGCTTTACATCATCAAGCTTGCTATATAAATAAATCATCCAAGATTCGGTTCTCCAATTAATGTCGTCGCTTCTCCGGAAACCGATTTTTTTTAGTTATGTTTATTTCATTCTATTTTTTTCCTCAACGTTTTCGGGTACGCACGTGCAAACCGTGCGTACAAGTAGCTACGCCCCTGTTTAGTCTCCTTAGCCCTGGGCGTTCCTCTCTTGCGGTTTTCGCGGGAGTTGTGGTCCACCCAGTATTTCACGTCTCTTTTAAAAGAGAGGCAGCACTTCTTGTTTACCGTTTCGTTATCAGACAGCGCTTAGGCTCTTAGCCTTTCATTTAATTTTGATCAAATTTTTATCATTTAGTTACTCAGTATACATTCGATCCTGTCCTTGTAAACTTATACTTTTATACTTTAAGGGAGCTTAATTCCTATATTAATTTTTTCTTCGTTTAGTGTCGTCCAAAAGACCCAGTTTTTTGGCAAATTTTAAAAAAGCAAGAAAAAGAAACGACAAGGTTTATCTTTTTTGGATTTAGATTAATTCTTTTAATCTAAAAAATTAGCATTATAACATCATTTCGAGGCATAAAACGTTCGGTGGTGTATCCTCTTTGCTTTTTACCCTTTTTGGGCCTTTTTTTATGAAATTGACCATCAAATTTTCCGCCATATTGAGTTTGTGTCGATTTGGTGACCATGTCTTGTTGTTTTCAGTCTCCGCGGCAATGATGCTGGTGTTTCAGGCCTCCCGTTCTCAGATTTCTTGTGATTTTTTTTTTTCACCCCACCGACCGACCCACCGAAAACCAGGAAACCTATTCGACGCTAAACGAACGAAAAGGGGATGACCTAAGCCTTATGGTTTCTTTTTGGGCTTCCTCTCCACATTGCTTCTGCGTGTTTCTGTATACTTGTCTTTTGCTTTGTTTTGTTCTCTTTGGTCGGTAAAATAAACTGAAACTGTACAAAGACCCTCAATATTCCCTTTGGAGGTTCTCGAACGCGCATAAAAAAAATGAAAAACGCGATGATTTATTGACCGCAAAGGCAATGGGGTGGGGTTAGGGCTCGTCACTGCGATACGGTTCACTCGTACGCTGTCAAATGGTCCCGAAATACAAAATGAAAAATGACTGTGGACAGACTATTCACGTCTAGACATCAAGCATCTTTTAAGATGGGACTTATCGCCTCTCCCTGTTCATGGAGTTGATTCAAGCTGTTGACGTTAATTTCGTGATGCCTTGCATGTTGCCAGGACATGTTTCAAAAGGGCCTTTCCAAAGGTACGGAGTCCGCCGTCACCTTGTCAACCGTGCGAGAAATGATGTACTTCACAAAAACAAAGAGAAGTTATTTTCGATTTGCCCCGCCCCCTACCCCCGAAAGTCCCCGACAGGACCGCTTCAAAGTACTCCCCATGTGGTTACGCGGGGGATAGTAACAGGTCTACCTAATTGCACCGTGCATCAATGACAGTTTAGCTCAATCAGAAGCCCCCTTTCCCTGGCTAGTTCAAGGTGTGTGCACCTCCTTTAAGCTGTTGTTTTCGGTTCTTACTGAAATTTTTGATCTTGAGGAAATTCACAACGACAGGAGCAGGTTATGGGCTTTTTTCCTAGCCCTAATCCTACATCACGGGAAATCCCTCAGGTTAGGCAAGAATTCGATAATCCTTCCATAATCATCCATTTTTTGACCGCGTGAATTGAGTATTTTTAGCTTATTTCGAGGAAATACTTTTTGCTTCAAATCCCGGGTGGGCTTTTAAACACATTTTTTAAGCCAAATGGTTTTTGCGAGAATCTGCTTACCCGAACTTTTCGCATAAAAAACGACAAATACCCGAAAAAAGCTCATGTTGTTGGTGGTGGTGGCATATTTCCGATAAATTCAGCTCAATGTCTCGTGAAGAAGAGTTCAGATCCGTGCCGCGCGCCTCTCGAAGCAAGCGTTCCGTCGAAATGCGAGCCAAAAACAGGTGGTAAGCGGTCAATCTGTGAAAAGTAACGCAATCTCCGTCGTTTGAGAGCAGCCGAAGATGCTCTTGCCGATGCGGTCCTTGATGTTTTTTATTTCCAGTATAGAGGAAACCCATGCTAATGTATGAAACATACACTCGTAGGTATTGTTCTGTCCGCTAAAGTCTAATTCCTGGACGCAGAAACGTTTTGCTTTTTGAAGTTTATTATTGTGCTTTGCCGTTTGACAACCTTACGTCACTCGTGCGTTTGGTAGCAGAAGATTGCTATAAAACTCTGCTTTTCTTGTTGGAGGGGGGTGAATAGGGGTATGCAAATCCGCCGATCCGTGGTATTTTTAGGCCCGATCCGTCGATCCGACTTAATTTTTGTTCAAATCTGAATCCGTGTTACTTTAAAAAGTTTTCGTGCCATATAGAAAGTAGCGTTGCAGCATGAAAAAATGAATTACTTGATATAGCTGTTCTGTAATCGCAACAGATGCGGGACTTCATCTTTAAAAAGTTTTCGTTACATCTTCAAAACATTAAGCATTAGGGACAGAGCTTATAATGTTTCTTCCAACAATACAGATTTGACTAACCAAATAGTCTGCAAGCTTGCAAAATGAAAGTATCTGGTATTGCGTAAAAGATTTTTTATTACTGACATCACTTTGGACATGCTTCTAGTCGAGCCGCAAAATTCGGAAGAGGCAGAACTCAACTTCATGGTAATTTGCTTACCAGTAAGTATTTTCCATGGTTCATCTTTTGCCATGTTTGCCCTCAACCAAGATGGCGAGAGAAACCGTGAAAAGGTCTATTAAGTTAACGATCAAGACAAGCAAACTAGCTGAAACAGCTTCGAAGAACATAATTTACATCAGTTCATGTATAAACCAAATATAAAGCTTACCGAACGTGCTCGCCTAGCTTCACCACACTTCCCCACTGACTGGAATCGACGCAGCATCGAAACTTATTTTTTTGAATAAAGTGATCGCCTTTGGCACCTTCGTGGTAGAAAAAGGCTGCACACTCGATAGTTCTAGTTTCCATTTTGCAATTTAAACCGGAATTTACACGAACGCATTCACAGATCTTGTCAGGTCACTTAGCATTACCGCCATTACCTGAACCATGTGTCACCATGCAGGAACCATGCACAAGGTTGCCTGACGTCATTTCCATTAGTCGGGTAACGAGAAAGTCTCTTCCGGAAACCTCGGAAGTGAAACGTTAGCCGACAAAACACCAGCACATTGACCAAGGCCGACAGAAAATTGATGATCCGATCCACGATCCGAACTTCTAGACTGACAGAATCCGGAAACCGGGCCAAAACTTTCAGCTGATCCGCGATCCACGGTATTTTTCAAATCCGCGAATCCGCTCGATTTATCGCCGAAATCCACAATCCGTGAGCTTTTTAAGGCCAAATCCGCCGATCCGCGGACCTATTCACCCCCCTCTTGTTGGAAAACGGCTTTAAATTTTATCAGATCGCTCGATAAACACGTGTTGGTTTCTGATAGCTGATAACGTTTAATCACTGTTGCTCAAACAGATTTCTTATTGCATTTTTCTGAGTTTTTAGCATCGACCCGCTGAGTCTGGAAAGCTCAAATTTCAGAAAAGTACTACTAGTATTTTTTGGCCTCAAACATTTTCTTTTAAAGTGCTACTACGACGAAAATTTTTGTTTTTGTTTCCGAGTTTTTTTAACATAAATCTTTTGTATATGTTCAAAATTATACAAATAGCGAAAAATTGGAACGATACTTGCGTACGGGGGCTGGAAATTTCTGTTTGTTCTTGAAGAGTGTCATGTATGCCATTGGGGCCAAGAAGGACCTACAGTAGTTGCGTGAATACTTGTCCGTAAACACTTAATTTTATGGGCCAAACTTCAGAATTCTCAGCCACTTACTCGCTTTTTGTTGAATGACAAACTTGCCCACTGTGTGAAGCCCTGTTCTTCTAGCGTTCAGTTAAACTCAAGTTTAGTGGCTGGGAATTCTGATGTTGCTCCAATTTTCATGTACACAAGTAATAAAAATTAAATCGAATTCAGCCTGAATTTAATTACAGTTTTAATGTATCGTTTCTTTCTTTTCACTCGGCTCACAGAGCACTGCAAAACTTAACAGCAGGTTACCTGCTGGAAACTTTCCTAGCAGGTCTGGTTGACTCTTCCAGACTTTTGTCTGGCTACAGTTTCTGCAGAAACTTTCTACGCTAAACAAGGTACCTGTCTGTGATACAGAAAGTTTGGGTTTTGAAAAGAAGCACGAGTGACAGAACTGAAACAAAAGAAGAAGTTTGAAAAGGAAAACAATTCCCTTCGATTCCTCTCGAATGTTTTTTCCTTGTAGATCCAACCTGTAAAAAATGATTGAAAGGAAATACTCATTTAATCATAGCATCTGAAATAATAAAATAACAATAAAAAAAATGATTATCATTTTTATTGTTTTTCTCAGGGTGTTGCCAGTTTTTCAACTTGTTGTAAACCTGGCTAATCGTGGGTTGGGATTTTTTCTCACATACATCCTGAAAAATGCTTTTTTAAAATAATTCTGTTGATTGCACACATGACAACTTTGAGCCCTTAAGCTATCTAGCCCACCCCAACGATGCATAATTTATTACAAGTGGTTGAGTGGACAAACCAAACATTTTTAGGCCTGGGACTTCCAGTCTATGGGCTGGCTATGCCTCTTCTTTTTTTTTTTTTTTTTTTGCAATTCTTATCTGAGTAAATTAAAAAACAAATTTCATGTACTCTTGTTTCTAAATAGATCCTCTCATAATGAAAGTTAGTTTTAGGCCTAAATCACTTCCCAGAGGATAGTTAGAGCTAAGATGTTAAAATGCAATAAATTTTGCATCTTTGTACCTTGGGTTCTGATGAGTCTTCACCGAGTCATCATCTTCCTTTAGTTTTTTATATGCATCTTCGATTTCTTCAGGACTCCATGTAGGGTCTTCATCACACTCAAACTCCTCATATGCGTCGTCCTGCATTTCCTGCTCATCTTCTGATTCATCCTCTAGCCCTAACTCTGTCTCATTTGTTACTGGCCATGGATCAGTTTGAATAGCTTAAACAAATGGAATTAAAAAAATTCTATTACCATTAAAATTTTAATTATTATTAAAATAATAATCAAATATTGATAAAATGTAATAAAAATATAAAGATAGGCAGTTATGCCTATATGACTCATCAACATCAATAATTATTGTTGACTCACCAGCATTCACCATCAGCAACTGCTTCGGCTCTTGTATGCTCTTAAAGGTTTCAACCCACTGATCTTGATTGGAAATTAACTTACTCTTCAGTCTTGTGACTTTGCCCCTTAACTGAGTCACCTCACTCCCCAGGGTTTTGCATGTTGTGCAGTTCCCAGTGCATGTCCAGTTGGAGTATCCTACAAAAAACAAACTTTCAACATTAATACAGGCTGTAATAACAAGACTTCAGAATTTTTGTGTTTTAGTATTGTTGTAAAATAACTGCACATGTAGTTTTCCATTGTTATGATAATACAAAGATGCAAATAAGCATTAATTAGAGTTATGTGCCTACCGTAGAAACCTGTTCAAGTTCAGGAATCGTTAATGATTCATCAATCTGCATAACTTCATCCATATCCTGCAGTTTTTCGATTCCCTGAGCCTCCAGGATCTGCATCGTACCTAGGACCTCTGAAGCCATCTCAGCATCAACACTTATCTCACGCGTCTCAGTCTCAGGGATGCAGCCCCCCTTTTCAGGATTTACCTCAAGCAAAGAACCCTGACTTGTGTTCAGAACACCCTCGACTTCTGGAGACTCCTCAGGGCTGAGATTGGGAGCCCCCATAGTGTCAGCACTCTCCTCAGGTGCAGAACTTCCTTTCAAAGAGATCACCTCTTCTTCCTCTGCATCCTTATTAGTAGTTTGACCAGCCAGAATTTCATTTAGTAGCTAAAAATGAAAATAGGTACGACCATTTTTTATATCTCCCCTTCAAAACAAGTTTAAATTTGAGCTTTATGTCGATGTTTTTAAAAGTAGAAATGGAAGCAAGGTTTAACCGCATCTTTGCCTTAAAATGTATGCTTCATTTGCAGACAGTGAAAATAGAATTAAAATACAAACGAAAAAAAAACCCGCAAACAGTAACTGAACTTATAGAATGTAGAAAGCAGACTAAGTCCATTTTGGAGGGAAGTTTGGAGTACTGTCAAATCTCAAAGTAACAGCAAGATAATCTCTCAAAAAATGGAGAGCCGGATTTCTATGTAGCTTCACTTTTTCTAAATTTTACGCTTGAGTGGAAGGTCTGGGAATTGGGGAATTGACTTCACGTCCACTCAGCGCAAATGCCCGTTTTACTATAACTATGAGAAGAAAGCAGAAAAGTATGAAAACACATGCAACAATATGGGAAGTCCAAATAGTCAGAGCATTCATTACACGAATATTGAACAATTATGCCAGAAAAAATCATGTCACAGGTAAATGGGGAAATAAATATAATGGTGATAAGCACAGCGCAAATACATTGTAATTTCACTCACCGATCGTCGACTCCACTTTGATAGTGTTTGAGAGGATTTTTTCTAAATGGTTGGAAACGTCCCCTTCTTCAAATTCCTTTTCATGCCTTTCATCGGAGAAGCAAGCGTAAAACAATCCCTTGTAAAATGCTGCGAGCACACAGCAAATTTTCCCACTGTGTTGAAATCCTTCCGATGAATGGATACGAACCTTTTCCACTTTAATCTAACGCTCGTCGAATCAGGAGAATTCATCGTTCTTTACGTTTCCACAGTCCTGAACAACACAACGTCTACCGGGCATACTTTCGCTGTAAGTCAAAAAAGCGAAGAAAGAACCTCCAAAAGCTTCCAAAAATATCTCGTCCTGCATGCGAAATTAGCCTCGTTTGTTTACCTTGTTTTGTCGCGTTGATTTTTCTACGTCACATCTCGCCCCAACTCCTTCAAATACTACTCCCGGTCATTTTTTGAATCGAGTAATGGCGGCAAGACATTTACGAAAATTGCCGTGCAAATAAACACACTTCCAGATCATATTTGGACTCCAAACTTGGCGCGGTAAGTCACTTTTACATACATTTTCGAAATATGTAATCAAAAACAAATTCCCAAATTTGATCGTAGTAGCACTTTAAGTTGCCCGTAGTTTTGAAAACAGATTTTGAAAGCGTTAAGAAGAGATAACGCTCTTTAACGTGGTATAAGATTCGTTACTGAAATCGAGGTACCAGTCGACGATTTTGGGCTTTGAAATTTGCTATTTTTTCATTGAACGAAAACGTTCAAAATATTGAAAATAATGAAAATCTCCAAAATATTACACTTTCGTTCAAACTGAGTAAATCACCACTTAAAATGTGTGCAATTAAGTACTCTTCTGAATAAGTTATTTGTTGTCCGCATTACGATGGCTTTGAATTTTAAAACGATTTTTTTGCGACACATGATCTCGGGCCTGGAAAACCCGGTCCGAGAGCCGCGAAACCAATCACCCCCCGTACGTGAAAAATAATTATCGGATCGAAGTAAAAATTACATTTATGTTAATAGCTTACCTAGTGCTACTTTGTGAATTTTTTTGAGAATTTTCGATTTTTCACTTTTGTAGATCTCTGGTCGATATTTTCTGACATCCGCTCTTAAATGCTCCGGCCTTAATGCTCCTTTTTTTCCACTAAAATGTACAGTCTACCCCAATAAAGTCACTAAAATTCTTAATAGTGCCCATCATACAGAGTCTTTGTTAAAGATCGATAAAGATTACCGGTATCTAAAGTTTATCCTCTAAACGGCTACACTAGGGGGCATTTTATCTTGAAACGTTTTTTAAGTTTCATTTTCTCTGAAAAAATAATCATTTTCCGAGAAAATTCCAGTAAAATGCTCGAATAACGCTTAATGCTTTTACCTCTGAAAAGCAAAAACTAGCAAGCATTATAATACTCAAAAGCTTACTATATTGTAAGCTAATTTGTGCTTAATAATTAATAGTTATCTTTACTGATATATTTAGTTTGTGCATTTTGTTTTTAGACTTTGCAACGCTTTGGCGGGATTGATATCTTGGTATCAAATGCAGCCGTCAATCCAACATTTGGCCCACTACTGCAGGTTTTTTTTTTTTTTTTTTTTTTAAAAAGGCCGACCTTTTCAGCCTGTTTATTTATTTTTTTAAGATTCACAATTGCAATTTAAACTAGGGGTTACAATAACAAGAGTGAAAGTTTTTATGCATTTAAGTCAAATCCGCTTGTAAATACAGTTGAAGTCAAATCCAGGTAACCGTTCCAAAGTCAATCCGGTTTCGGGTAATTCCATTGTCAAATCCAAGTATTCAGCGTGTTCCAAAAGTTAAGTCTTGTGCAAACAGTTTACTTCAAATGTTCAGCTGGTTTCCAGAAGTTAAGTCGGTTGAAACTGGTTTCCGTAGGTTAACTGCTAATTCATGGGCAGAGTTGCACTGAATTCAAAGGTTCCAAATGTGGTTAAGCTGGTTTTCAAAGTTTAAGCTGGTTGCCGTAAGGTTTAAGCTTGTTGCTAAGCTGGTTGCTAAGGTGATCTTTGTTCCGGATCCAACAGTCCATTCCAAGATGGCGGCGAAATGCCTATCACGGTTCCTCGTGAGTTTGCAGTGTTCCAAAGAAAATTTTCCTCGATTTTACCTCCCATCGTCAAGGTTACAATGTAGTTCCGCGATTTATCCTATACAATCGTCAAGGTAGTTAATAAAAAGGCGAGACTAATAGCTAGTTCGAAAAACGACGATCGAGAAGAAAACTAATCGAGACTCTGCACGCACAAACAGAGAACTACGAGAAGAAACTAAGCGAAACCCCGTCCCCAAGCTAAGCTACCGAAGAAAAACAAACAAAAAACTAGATCAAATTGAAAAGTGAGAGAGAAAAAACACCAAAACCCCCGAAAAGAAAAAGAATTTGGCCTAGGATCGGTTCTCGGCGGTAGCTGTCGATACCCCGAAGGATATCACTGACAGGCCTACACTTGACAAAGCCAATTTTACTATCTAAGGTATTTAATAGTGCAAATAGTGCTGTACGTCAGTTTTAAAACAACCTGTTCCGTTTTCACTCATTTGGTGCACTGTAATACTTGTCCTTATTGATCAGGAACTAAAGGGAATTTATGTTTTTAAGTAGCAGTTTATTCCAAGTAATGTTGGATTGTATGTATTCTTAGGAACTCAGGCTACTCCAATAACCATGACTGAGCCAGAAAAAACCTAGTTTCATGAATTTATTGCCAACGAGCAGCCTTGCAAAGACGCGAGGCTGCGAGGCGACAGCCCAATAAAGCCATGCGCGAAAGTTCCAAGGCAGAATGAATCTTGAAGCGATGTTACATAAGGTAGTGTAAGGTGACATAATACAAAACAGAGAATGCATCGTTTTCGAGCGAACACGTGAAACAACAGAGAATCCACGAGCCGTGTGCTTGTTTGTGAGTCCCATGCTCATCCCGTCTTCAGCCAATCTTCGGGTGGGTTCATTTGCAACATATGCATATAGCTCTCGCATTTGCCTGCTAGCGTTTTTTATTGTTTTTAGGCTTAAAAACAATAGAAAACTCCAGCGGGCAGATGCGACAGCTACACGCGTATGTTGCAATAAAGTGAATAAGTCCACCACGTCATTTAGGGCCTGTTTACATGGAGGTGGGGAACCACAGGTAGGTGAGGTAACCTGCTTATGTGGGGTAAAAAAATAACCCTCCTTTACATGCAATCTTACAACTCCGCCATCCCGGGGTGCAATTTCTCAAAATTATTGAGTGGTTGCCAAGCACGTAAACAAGAAAAATGCTGGCAAACCACGTGTTTTGGCGATTAATGCACTTCTACACTCCTTTGTTGCTCTTGCTGCAACCTTCAGTGCTGTGGCTTTCTATTGTTAACTTTAATAATGATGCAAAGCCACCGCCAAAGTGAATTTTGCGCGAATTTGATATATCACCAATCCGACCCCGGCCAGGTGGGTTACCCTACCTTGAAACGTTTACATGGCAAAATTTGACCACGCCTGAGAGGGTAACCCGGTCTGGTAGTCCGGGCTACCCGCCTTGGTGGGTCACCCCACCTATCATGTAAACGTGATCAAATTAAAATGAGAGATTATGGGGACAGGCTGGTTACCCCACCTAAGCGAGTTACCTCTCACCTACCTGGGGTCCCCCACCTCCATGTAAACAGGCCCTTAAAGCCGTAAAATCTTTGCTCGTTGGCACTTAGCGATAGCTATAACTAGTAGTACATACAGTACCACAAGTGAAGAGTAAAACAATATGTTTTTCGTCTCTCACCTATATTTCGGCCGTGTAAAACGGCCTTCATCAGGGTGAATGGCCGTTACAAGCATCACACACCATTATAACATGATAACGAACAAATTTGAAAACTTGCACGCGCTACAAAGAAAGATAAACACGCGCGTGCTCTTACCGGACGCGAGATCTAGTCGACCTATTCTGGCTGTAAAAAAAGTCACTTATATTCAAGCCCTGAGGCTGAATACAGTTCAACCTATAGGCCCACTGGCCTTCTTTATCCCGGAGAGCTGATTCTTCCCCGGACACTCTGTCAATTAACTGTATACTGACATCCTCAAGACCATGGTGTCCCGGGCCAAAAAAATGTCTATACAAAAGATCATCCTTGTTTCTACCCTTAAAAGAAAGCCTTGAATGCGCTCTAAAACGGGCCTTATGATTGTTAAACCTAAGCCTAAATTTTGTTGTTGTTGACCCAACGTACTGCGCATGACAAACCTTACAGGACAGCAAGTAGACAACATTACTAGTAGTACATACAGATGTAGATTGACGTTTTTTAATGTGTACGTCTACATCTACCCTGTGTACAGACGTCTCTCCTCCCTCAGGAAAAAAATCCAACGTCTGTACACAGGCTAGTCTACATCTACATCAAGTTTCAAAGAAAGAAAATAAATATCAAATAAATAAATAATCAACCAAATCATACTGCTTTAACTTTCAATATTTCGATCGTCATGCAATAATTCATTGTCTTTTGTTTGTAAAATTTTAGACTCCAGAGGAAGCATGGGATAAGGTAATCTTTTGCAAAGTAAACATCACATTTTCTGTCCTTAATGTGTAATAAACAGGTACAATTTATTTTCAAAAAATTATCTTATTTGTATTGAAACAGTGGCCGAATTTATACTAGAGACGAAAACCGGTGTTAAGACGAAGTTTGGCCCCAAATTCAACATGCTGACAGACGAATCAAATAAAGACGAAAATAAGCGTACTTATAAATATGATACGACATAAATATGATTACTTATGATACTTTGAGAGGAAACGAAAGTGAAAATAGAACGTATCGAAATTCATGAAAGTGAACATGATCTAAGTGAACATGTTTTTTGCAGGGGAATGAACAACCTAAGCGCAGTTGAAAAAGAAACTAAAAAATTCAGGCGTGACCGGGAATCGAACCCTAACCTTTGCGTTGACCGGACGCAACGCTATCTAATATAAATGATGTAATATACGAATGAATCATTTTTTTTTTTGTTACTTCTTCGAATGAATCATATGTTACCTCAATGGATAGAGCGTTGCGTTCGGTCATCGCAAAGGTCAGGCTTCGATTCCCGGTCAAGCCAGATTTTTTTTTCAGGTTCTTTTTTAACCGCTTACCTTTGTTCATTCCACTGTTAAGAGCCCATGACTGTAAATATCGAGAATCGCTGGCCAGGCTAAAAAAATCGAACATTCTGATTATTTGTCAGAAAAACCCCTTTGGGGAAGTATCTTCGAAAAAAATATTTTTAACTTTCAAGAATCTATAGTGTTCGAGAAAATGAGGAAAAACGAAAATAGCGGTTTTTACCTAATTAATCATGCAAAAATTAGGGTAAAAATGGTCTACTTTATCACGTTGGTACCGAGGCAAGATTCAAAGCTATAAAACAGAAATATTTTTGTTTAAAAGCATTTTATCTTTTCTTTCTATCCATGGTATGTTTTAAACCATAAACACGATTTTGAATTTTTTACGGTTTTTTAAAAACTACAACCAAGCGCACTTTTTTAAAATGGGTAAAAAATGAGCAACTTCAAAGGCAAAAAACTCACCTTGGTATATGTGATACCTAGCCAAAATGTATACTAGGACAAAGTTCAGCTCTTATATTAACAGAATATGAAATAAAAAATCTGGGTACTCCGGATTCGCCTTTACAAAATAAACAGTTTCGTGACCACCAGTGGCAAAAGGTCACAAATTTGCATAAGTCAAATTTGTAAAGAAATGTTGCGGCAGCCGGTTTTGTTTCAGTTCAAGGTCAGTATGTGATGTTCGGAAACATCACGAAGCAAGAAAACGTTTTTTGATAAAGTTTATGTTAAAATATCAGAGTAATTAACCGTTCACAAAAAAATAAATAAATAAAAAAAACGAACTCGAAAGCGTTATGTAAAAGCGCCGGACTATTATGTAAACTATATCCCATGTCTCTGTTTTTTTTCCTAACTTCCTTGTATTAGCATCCATCTGTATCATCTTAAATTCGCCTCTGGTATATCTAAAATAGGTAGGTACATTTTCCTTGAATTTTGTTTTGAAGGAGGTTTTTTGCGAACGGGATACACTTCGACTCGTGCGAGGAAGTCATAAACTAAGAGTTAGAGTAACAATGTCACGCAACGACGTCTCGAGCAGCTCCGCCTTCTTTTACTGATTTTTTTCTCCTTATGAAATTTTATGGAAACTTTGTTTTGAACAGGCAATGCGTTGTTCGCAACATCATTTGTTTCTCGTTTTATTTTATTTTCAGAAAGAAGGGATACTAATTTTGCATGCCTGTCAGTCACGCACTAAAAGTTAGCATTTTCTTGACAGAGATGTTGAAATCTGATTTTTTACTACGTATTACAAACAACAAACCGTCCCTTGATTTATTTTTATTTTTTTTTACTTTTCCACAAATAGAGGTATAATTAAGCAGCTACCAAAGGCCCTAGGAAACAGCTAAGTTATCGTAGTTCATGAGTTCCAGCGGTTTCTCTCCTCCGAAACGAATCCGAAACATCTTTCCCGCAAAAACTGCCCTTTTTAGGTCATCTCGGAGTTGTATCACCTGCCAAGGGGCGTTTTCCTTCAAATACAAAATGATATTTGTTCAGTGATTTCAAAATATAATGTAGCAGCGCCTTAGTGTGTAAATCTATACGCGCAACTCATGAAACAAAGCAAGTTCCAACCGACGCCGCCGAAGGACTGGAAAAGGAGACTACAGTCGAACCTCCCGAAAGCGACCACCCAAAATGCGAAGACTTAGTGGTCGCTAACGGAAGGTGGTCTCTTACGAGAATCGAACCACGGGAGGGTTCTTTGAGAAGAAAACCGGACACATCTACTTTAAGGAAGATAATTTATTGCATGCAATTTCCAAGTTACGATATGTGCAGTTCCATGTTGATGTTGTTTCTACCACAAGGGATCGCTTACAAGAGTTTAAAAACAATGCAAAATCATTAAAGCGTCAGCCCCAATTAGTGGTCGCTGGCGCTTGCAGGAGAGATTCCAGCTGGAAGACTTAAACTGGGTGGGTTTTAGTGTTTTGGATAGGTGGTCGCTTAAGGGAGGAAGTCGCACATGGAGGTTCAACTGTACTTCAACAGAGTAAATCCCTTTCACGACGATGCGACTAGGATTTGTCCATGGAAGATAAGACTCCTTGTTCACCTCTTTTGAGCTGCTCTAATCAACTCCCACCCATGTCGAGTGCTTGCTCCCACCCATGTCGAGTGCTTGCAAAACGTAGCATCATCTTGAAAAGAGAAGTATTAGAAAGGTCATCCTTGACGCTCCTGGCATATCGCAGTATGCGCAACGAACTTGTATCGACGTAAGTACCATTTACTAACCGGGCAGTAAGGTGACGCAGAGTAAAAGCGTAACTTGACTACAATTTTGAGTTTACAACAGACCCGAGTTTTGTTCAAAGAAATGTCTGCTTTTGCTCAGGAGTATTAACGTCAGTTCCCGTCCCAGCTCGCGCCTTCACACCGGAACGTCCGATCGAATTATTACTTAGTTGATAGCTACTCTTCTCTTCCTCTTCCCAACTTATTTAGGAAGATCAAAGGCCCTCTGCTCGCAGGGCAGTTGATAGCGACTAAGGAGCTAAATAACATAACGAGGCAAGTAAGTGGGATCGGCGGTTTTCTTTACGCCTAACCGTTTCCCAAAGTAAAGAAGGAAATAGCTTCAGACAAAAGGGAAAGAAGACCCCAAATCGAGGCCCTATGTGGCGTGTATATTTGTTGCTTTAGGCTGATTCTGTGCTAAAGTCATTACTTACTGCCTTTACCCAGTCAAAAAATGTTCATTGTAGAGTTACATGTGGGGTATGAAGAAGATATCATTTTATAAGAAAGCACTAACCAAAAATATCTTTTTGGGTGATACATTTAAACTTGAAAAAGATGGCCCATTTTTTTTCAATTTTCAGTCCATGTCCATCCTGGCCATCAGTAGCAACAGACCGTGCCTTAATATAGTCTTACATAACAAAACTGGACCATTATTTTTTAACTGAATTGATGTGAAATGAAGACCATATATAGGTTTTTAAAATGAACTAGCAAATAGCTTGGCATAGCCCCTTTAACTCTTTTTTGACGGCCAATTTTAGTGGAAGAAAACCCAGCCTTTTTGGACCGGTTTTCAACCAGTGAGTAGCCTGGATAACGGGCCTTATTTTTTCGCGTTTTTGCAGGCGAGCGAAGGCAAGCGCGAAGTGAGTGAGAAGTGCCACACAAGCGCGATGGGGAAGACGCAGAAAAAACAACGGCCTGTCCACATACTATTGTTTTGTTGCATTCCGCCCCAGACCTACCCCTTAATGACGCTCCTCACGCTGTTCGCGCTTGCATTCGGTCCGGCTTCGGGCTTGCCTTCGCTCGCCTGAAAAACGCACGCCTGTTATGCAGGCTAGCAGGAGCCGATTACTGAGGCTAGCCAGTTAGCATGATGTGGGAATGGCTGAAAAAGAGATTTGCAACACAAGACTGCTAAATTGGACGTACACTAATTTAGAAGCTTTTTTGGCGCATTCATAGAAGCCAAAATTTGGACGTCTCTTACGAACCTATATCGATCTTTCTCTCCCGCTCTCTTTTTTCCCTTTGCCTTTCTTCTTAAGCACCTTCAAATATAGGTCCCCAAACTTGTAACGCAAAAAACCGTCCGTTAAATCGCCCCTCCATGTATAAGCCCCCCGGGGCTGCTACTTGGAAATTGCCCTCAAATACAAGGTAAAACAAAGCAAAAACGGTAAATTTCCTTCCAACTGTAAGGTTAGCCCAATCGATTTTGAAACACAAAATTCCCTCCATAGATTAGCCCCTCTGAATATAAGCCCCTCAAAAAGGGCCTTTGAAAAATATAAGCCCCGGGGCTTATTTTCGGAATTTTACGATATTCTTGGTTAAAACTCTGAAAAAAAAAAAAAACACCAAAACGACCCCAGTGCAGTACTCCCTCCATCTGATTTCTTTTTTCTATTGAGCGTTCAATGAAGGTTTCAGCTAATCAATGGCACAATTACGGGTCGGTCCACTTGGCGATCTTTGACCATCTTTGGGTGTTCGAAATCATGTCTGGACTTATAGTGTTGAACGCACGAACAGTCAAGAGGCAGACAGAGGAGGTGGAAGAATTTCAGAAAAGAGATAAAAGGGGGCAATGATTACTTTAATCTTGTCTTTACTTACGTTATTTTTAATAAGCGAGACTTGACAATTTCACCAAAATATAACTTTGAAAAACTTCTAAGATAATTAACTGTTTCGGATTTTTATTGATTGAAAACTTACGGTCTGATGTATAGTATTAATGGCAAATCCCCTAAAATGCCTTGATGAATGAACTATCGGTACCATAAAAGCATGTGCCCACTCCAAGAAAGATGTATGGCTACGAAACTTATTCAGGTGAATTAAGCAAAGTTAAGTCATCTAACATGAATAATATTTCTTTACACACTTCATAACCTCACATTTTTTTATCGTACCGGTAAAAATAAAGTGTGACTGTGCTGAGTTATTGGCAACGGTCACGCAATTGCATAATACAGTACTCCAACACCCGAACACAATTTGTGAGCAATCTTAATTTTGTAATGTACAATTAAGAAGAGCTAACATACTAATTAAAAAACATTTAACATTAGCTATTCTCTTGGTTATGCTATTCTTAAGCCTCAAATATTGCGTGATGCTGACAGTTACGATAGGAGGAATATGCCGATGCATTATGCAAATTTGCCACATTGTGTCACCAACCTTCACAGCTATTTGTTATCAGGGATATCAATTTTTCTGATCCTTTACTTAATTTTAGCTTCATTTAAAGGCGCTTTCATCCTTTCTCCTACGTTTCGAATATACCATGATCCGAAACTAGAAAGAGAAGTCAGGCGGCATCATTTCTCCACAAATTTGACTTATGCAAATTTGTGACCTTTTGCACTGGTGGTCACGAAACTGTTTATTTTGTAAAGGCGAATCTGGAGTACCCAAATTTTTTATTTCATATTCTGTTAATATAAGAGCTGAAATTTGTCCTAGTGTACATTTTGGCTAGGTATCACACATACCAAGGTGAGTTTTTTGCCTTTGAAGTTGCTCATTTTTTACCATTTTAAAAAGTGCGCTTGGTGGTAGTTTTTAAAAAACCGTAAAAAATTCAAAATCGTGTTTATGGTTTAAAACATACCATGGATAGAAAGAAAAGATAAAATGCTTTTAAACAAAAATATTTTTGTTCTATAGCTTTGAATCTTGCCTCGGTACCGACGCGATAAAGTAGGCCATTTTTCTCTAATTTTTGCATAATTAATTAGGTAAAAACCGCTATTTTCGTTTTTCCTCATTTTCTCGAACACTATAGATTCTTGAAAGTTAAAAATATTTTTTTCGAAGATAGTTCCCCAAAGGGGTTTTTCTGACAAATTATCAGAATTTTCGATTTTTTTAGCCTGGCCAGCGATTCTCGATATTTACAGTCATGGGCCCTTAAGATCATGCTCTCTTTCAAATCTTTATCCGCAGTTCAAAATATGATTGACTAGCTGTTCAATTTCCCGTAGTCTGCTACACACCCGTTTTTAGCGTTGACACGCAACGCACCGTTTGTGGGGATTAGCGTTACGTAACGACACTAAAAACGGCTGTGTAGCAGACTAAATTTCCCGCCTACTTACTGCATATACAGCGGTACCCAGTAACTTGAAATCTTAGTGACAGCCCTGGTGGATGTGTCCAGATCTCTACTCAGGAAGACACCCTGTGGTCCGATTCTCTTTAGCGTTAACCTCCCACAAGCGAGCGCTAAATTTTCGTATGGGCGGTTAATTACGAGAGGCCTGACTGTAATAATATGTTTTTAACCTAAAATTTTCTTCGACCATTTCTCTCTGCGAAGGCTCCCACTAGTAAACAAAATGAGTGAACACGCTCCTTTGGTAATTTGTCCATATGACTTAAATATTGTGTTAGATGCCTGATTAATAGTAACAGCTTGGAAACTGTTTTCAGGCAGCACCTCAAGCTATAGGCTCGATTTCCACCGTCTCCCGGGTCCGGTCTTTGATCCTCCCCGAAGAGAGGGGGATGAGTGCGGGCTCATTTTCCCGAACAGCGGCTGGTAATCGAGCCTACTCAAGCTATATTTGTTTCTATCTGTTTCTATCTGTTTACGTTATTTTTCAGATCTTTGATGTGAACGTGAAGTCTGCCTTCTTGCTGGCGAAGGATGTTATTCCTTTGATGGAGAAAAGGGGGTTTGTAGATTTGTTTGTTTTGTTGTTATTTTAATGGATTTTAAAGGGGCAGTATCACTTGCAGAGTTTTATTTTTGTTTATTTCGTCACCAAAATATGCTAAAAGTTTTATAAGCTAACAACAATTTTGCGCGTACAGCACACTTTTTGGTACATTTGATTTCGTTGACCGTGCGACCACGACGTAAAATTTCCTGATTCATGTTACGTTTTGTGGAATACGTAAAAACACGAAGAAGAGTTTTTCTCTCTCTTTCTGAACTTGGGTGCGGCCCTCAAGAAATCAACTTCAAGAAAATTCACCTACATTTGACAGTTTAAGCGAGTTGGAATGAACGCAAGAGAGTTAAAAAATACGAATTCGTTTTGATAGTGACGATATTATCGCCGTCGCCATCGTCGTTGCTAAAGTTCCCAAATAGCCTGCGCGGCTGTCGCGTGATAGACTGCGAGTAGTCTCTCTTTTTCTTCTGGCCCCGGTTGTTCAAACGTTGGATAGCGCTATCGACCGGATAAATCACTATCCAGCGGATAGCGTAATTGATTTCCGTAATACTTATCCGTTATATAGTGATTTACCCGGTGGATAGCGCTATCCAACGTTTGAACAACCGGGGCCAGATGTAGTAAGGGGAGTGCACACGTGCGACGTGCAGAAAGCAGAGTAAGATTATAATTATCTAAAACTAAGCTACCTGGACCCGCTTCTCGAACGTCCCGTAATTCTCGGAAAGCTCTTTGAAGTGTTTCAACTCAAGATCGAGGTTTTGATAGTTATAACAAAACGAAATGGACTGGTCAAAGAAGCTAGAACGCCACCTGCTAATATTTAGATGTTTATCCTACTGAGACTTTAGACTCGACAATTTAACTCGACTTTTGAGAAACAAGCCTTTTCTTTCTTGCGTTCGCGCACGGGTCTTTTCTTATGTTTTCGCTTGGTAATTTGTTGCGTTCGTTCTGCTTTAGGTCTAAGAAAAATAGATGGGTGGTTGAACAGTGGAACGACCCTCCCTTTGCTCCTCGTACAAATCTTAAGTGACGACTGGGCACGAGTTGGGTACAATAATATTACCATTCGTGATTCATTCATGATTTTTGATGTTTTTGTTTTGTTTAGGGGTGGATCTGTGGTTTTTATTTCATCAATAGCTGGATATCAACCAATGCAGGTAATGATAGTTACTACGGAAAATAATACGCGCTCCTAAATGTATAATACTCTCCAATGGCTGGCTTAGCTTCATCTCCGCGAGTGCATGGGAATAGACTGCACAAAAACAGTAGAACCTTGATAACTCGAACTCGAATAACTCGAATTAAATTTTCTTTTCCTTGATCACAATTTCACTGAAATTTACCCCGATAACTCTCATTCCCCGGAACTCGAACTGTTACCGGGGTTCTACTGCATTAAGAAAACCTTGAAGCTTTTAAGATTAATTCTGAGTTGAAAGCGGCAAGCGGTTTTAAAACCCAAAGAACTCAGGAACTGGACCGGCACATTAGTGCCAACGGTGTGTTTGCAGTGCATCTGACGTGTTATGCCAACCGATATCCATGAAATATAGCACGTCCAGCACGCACGCGGTTAGTTACAGGCACATTTTTGAACGGACGAATTTTTTTACTTGTGCAACCCGTTTACACGGAACCGTACAAATTCTGTTACAGATTGCAGTACTGCTTGCCTTCTAAAAACTTGCACGGTCCCTCGGGTCCCGTGCAAACGATAGGCAGACCTGTGTAGAAGGGGTCTTGAGCTTCGTTCATACGGTAACGGACGAATTTTCGACCGGTGGAAAATGCGTAACCACTTGCACCCGCTCTTAATACGTAACCACCCAAAGCTTACGAAAGTTAAACGCCAAAATCAAGGTCAAATTTCCAGCCGGTACGGTACAAAATTTGGCCGGCGCGGTGTGAACACCTCAACCGTCTAAATTTTTGTACGGCAAAGGCGTAGCTCCGTAAATGCGTGGTAATTTAGCTGGGGAGAATCCTTTTTGAATTTGCTTAATTAGTGTCTCCGCATGGGCAAATGGTCAGTAAAACCATTGAGGAAAGATAATTTTCAACGTGGTTCGTCAGTTCCGTGTGAACACAGGGAAAATATTGGCCGCATCGGACCAGTAGAGCTAGAACCGCTATAATTTTGCTTTCCCACAACAGTTGCATCCTTGTCTAAGTTTATGATTTAGTTAGTAGATGACCTGCCTTGGCCTCTGCCAGTCAGGTAACACAATCCCGGAAGTCACTGGCGACCCTTAGTGTGTTTTGTGACCTTCCCATAAGGAGAGAAACAGATAATTGAAAATAACGTCACGAGTAAGAATCCCAAATGGCCACAGAAAGACCGGCCAGCTGGGTATTTACAATTGTGGCCGAGGAATTTAACTCGATCGGTACTAATGAGAAGAAATACGGCTATAGTGGCAAGGGCAGCCGTATTATTTCGGAACTTCTCCAGGAAGATTCGAAAGGAGAAAACAAATAACATAGTTTTCTTGGCCTCTAGACACCAAAAATTATATTCTAACCATTATTAAATAGATAGGAACTGTAACAGGAAAAATGTACCAGAAAAATAATGTGTGAAAGGTGTGAATAAAGTCTTATGTTCTGTTACGTTATGTTCCTCGCTTAAAACACGAGGCCCGATTACTGGCCTGTAATTCAATAGCCAACGTTCGATATATCAAAATTCTAACATGAATTCTAGGCTTGAGGGACAGAAAGCCTGGGAGTCATGTTAGATTTTTTTTAAACATCAAACGCCTATATCATGGTAGCTGAATGGCCCTAATTTAAGTTTATGTATAGTGACGTCAATATAGTGTATAGTGTTTTCAAGTGACGTCATTTCCGCCATTTTGGTGTTCCCAAACAATGAAATGGCAGCCATGTTGGTTTCCCAAATCAGTCTTGTGGGAGTTAAACCTTTTTCTTTTATGTAAAAACTTTCTTTTGTTCTTATAAATTTGTATAGCAGCTGTTGGTTTCGTGAGTGACTCTCCCTATCTTTATAGCGCTATTACTTAAGGTGGCTCGATACAGTTTTTCAGCGTCAACACCTCCCAGTTTTAAGCATAAACTACGCTACCGTAAACAGAGATTTGGAAAAATTGCCACCGCAGTTGTATTAGATGACGATGCAAATTTGTTATGATTAGGGTTGCAATGAAATCGAAGTTGTCATAGCAACGAAATGACGCTGTTACCTATTTAACTTGCAGCAGTGTTAAGAGCGTTATCGAGGTATTTTTGGATGAAGTTTTTATGGTTAAAAATGCGGTAAAAAAAATTGACAGTCTTAATGTTCGGCCGTTATCTGTGGAAAACGAAGCGCGTTTGACATGCAATTTCACCTCATAGTAGTTTCAATCTTTTTAAAAAATGTGTGTGAAAGATCATGGGGATAGCTCCAGCCGATTGCTGAAAGTTAGTGTCGAGACGCTCTTGTTAGCGGTTTTGTATACATTTTGGTCTACTTTAGCAAATTAGCGAATAATTTTTAAACCGCTCGATAAAAAGATTTTTTAAAAAAATTGAGATTCTTGAGATTTACTGCTCTTTTCTAAAACCTTTTGTTTCAAGGTTATTGATATATTGTAAGGCAGTAAAATGAGGGCTACAATTCGCTGTTTTGTCAGAAATTTTCGGTTTACAAGGGAGAGCCTCTCATTATTCAGCGGTATTGTCTCCACGTTTCATATTTTCGTGCACGACAATTGACCACTCCGGAAATACCATAAAATAACATAATGCTCTGTGTTTGTCACCCCAAAATTTTGCATAAGCATTGTCTTCAGTTTCTGTTGGGAGGTAAAATGGCGTTCAAGAGAAACTGAAAACAATGCTTATGCAAAATTTTGGGGTGACAAACAGAGCATTATGGTATGTTACGGTATTTCTGTAGTGGTCAATAGGTGGCATTTTTGCATATTTTAAATGCATTGTTAGTTACTGCTGTTCATGTGAAAATGAAACTTGGAGACAATACCCTTGAATAATGAGAGGCTTTCACTTTTAAAGACGAAACTCCCGTTTAGTATTGTTTTTCGGTTATTTTTGATAATATTTGTATGGAGAGAACGTGGATAAGGGAAATTCCATTTAATATAGAGAAGGGGGTATGATGATTTTGAGGGGGCTCGGGGGGCTTAAATTGTGTGTGTGCGAGTACGCGTGTGTGTCTGTTCGCGGGGGGGCTTTAAAAAATCGGTGAGGTCAAGGGGGAGGGCATAAAATCTGTCTATAAAACTAAGTGCCTGATTAAATGAGCCGGGCTAGCTCGCTTTGCAGAGATCTAGCCACCTTAGTTAAATGCAACCAAAATCAACTTTGCGATTATATGACAACCGACCCAACCCGGTTAGCTGGGATCCCTGTATTGTGATGATGCCGAGATCCCATTGCTTCCAATCTCTATTTAAGCAATAGAAAACGTTTTCCGTGTTTGCATAACCTGATATAAACACGAGAGGGATTGGGAGGATTCGAGACAGTTATGCAAACCCGAGACGAAGTCGAAGGTTTGCGTAACTGTCGAGAATTCTCCCAACGCCTCGAGTGTTTTTATCAGGCTATGCAAACACAGGAAAAAAGTTTTCTATTGCTTTGATAAAATAACTTTCTCGAGAAAAAACGCAAACCTTTTTGTATGGCACCGATTAAAAGAGAAATTCTCACCAGTGGCAAAGTCTTGTCCACGAAGTCTTGCACGCGTAATCAGTTCTAGTTTTGCAAATAGATGCTTTCCAAAATACGGACTTTTCTCGCTTAAAATGTCAGCTTAAGCGAAAAAAAAAACGACACACCCTCTTTGTAACGTTTTTCCAAGTTTCAGCCGACAAAGAAAGGGGTAAATAAAGTAAACTTGTCGAGTTTTGAACTCGAAAACTTTTTCAAATTCGTGCTTGCGTGATTAGCGCGTGAAAAGCAAAACATCTTGACGCCACAACCATGTCTACATACTCTCGTGCAAACACTCCTCTCGGCCAGTCAAAGCGCGCGTACTATCTTAGTTATTTTATAATGGCAGCTCCGGGTTGGACCTTTTCGTGTAATACCGGCATAAAAGTCACCCCAGATAGGTGAGGTAACATGTGGCGGGTCTAATGTAAACGTGATCAAATTAAAATGAGATATTATATATATTGACAAGCGGGTTGCCCCCCTCCCCCCCCTACCTGGGGTCCCCCACCTCCGTGTAAACAGGCCCTTGATCTAATTAACCCAAGGATTTTAAAAATAACGAACGCAGTTTGCACGTGAAGATTTTGGACTCTGCCCCTTTTACAGTTCGAACGTAATGGAATGCAACTTGTTTACGAGATCATTTTGGTCAGAGTGTTTTCACATGACGTCACGGCGGCCATATTGGTGTTCCAAAACAATGAAACGGCGGCCATGTTGGTGTCCCAAACCAATCCTGTGGGAGTTGAACTCTTTTCTTATGCAAACGCTTTCTTTTGTTCCAATTAATTTGCATAGATGCTGGCCACGTGAGTGAAAACACTCTATAAGATTTTAAGAAATCACTTCCTTTCCGAAAATCTGCAATGAATTGTGCGTCATTCAATGTTGCTCTTATTTATCTCTTGCACGATCACGGGATTCTGCGCGATATCTTCTTTGGCTATCGACAACTGAGGGCAAAAATGTTGTCAAACTCTTGGCAATAAGGCAAACCCGTCAATTCCAATTATTTTCGACAGATTTACCTTCAAATTTCTGAAAAATCGCCGGCTTCTAGGTAAGATAAAAAATACCGTAAGCTTGAAATTTATACGTTTATCTTTTCCGAGCAAAAAATCGTCTTCTGAGAGGACATGTCCTTACTGGCAACGAATAGGTGGTTTTCACGTTACGTCATCGCCGCCATGCTGGTGGACGGAAAACAAAAGATCGCTCATTAGCTCGCTTTGTTTGTCCACCAGCATTTGTTCATTTCACCATTGTTATTTGTGTCTCCCGAGATTGCATGAAAACCACCTATAGTCTGATCAATGTAAATGGCAATGACCGGTACCTATAGTCCGGAGGAAAAACATCAGTTCATGCCGTGTGTTGCGAGGATAGTTATTTTCCAAAGGGAAAATTGAAATTATATAATACCGTAAAATTTCGAAAATAAGTCCCGGGGCTTATATTTTTCAAAGGCCCTTTATGAGGGGCTTATTTTTGGAGGGCCTTATCTACGGAGGGAAATTTGCGTTTCAAACTCGATTGGGCTAGCCTTATAGTTGGAAGTAAATTTACCGTTTTTGCTTTGTTTTACTTTGTATTTGAGGGAAATTTTCCAAGTACAAGTATATTTGGAGGGGCGATTTAACGGAGGGTTTTTTGCGTTACCTGTTTGGGGGGCTTTTATTTGGAGGGGCTTATTTTCGCAATTTTACGGTAGTTTGTTTCACTCAGTGCACCTTGTTTTTCACTGAATACGTTTGATTTCTATTGCCAATTTGTTTGCCGTGCGTTATCTGTGGGACTTATGTAACGAGGATTGATGCTGGCGGACATGTTGTAGTCGCGTCGCTTGGATTGTTTATGGTCGCACGTATTGCGTGCCTATTGGAACTTTGAATTAAAACAAGAGATCTTGGGCGACGCGTAAATAATAATAAATTATAGTAGGCTTCTTTTGAAATGGTCTACGTCACAATGTCATATGATGCGACTATACTTTTTCAGAACAACTGCGGTAGATACATATCTGACAATTTATGATAACTGCAATATTTATTAAGAACATAAACATGAACAAGTAGTGCTTGATTTTTTTCTTGAAAATACGGGGAAGTTTCTCAGAATTACTTATGTGTAAATAAGTTAACGATTCTGCTTTGCATGCTTGATGAATCAACTGAAATTGAAGCACATTTCATTTGAAGTGGTTTGACCATAAAAATTATGCAACTTGCATAATTTGACCACAAAAAATCATTCAACTTGCATAATTTTTTGTGGTCAAAGCACTTCAAATGAATGATAACATTGTCTTTGTGCTTTAATTTCAGTAGCTTCATGAAAATGATTTTCATACAATCAGTCGATAGCCTTGAAAATAAATCCGAACTCAGGTTATGTTAATATATACCTGACTATACCGGACATGAAGGTCAGTTGTTGCACGAACCATCGAGTAAATAAAAAATTCACTGCCTAACAAGTTGTCTTCGGTCACCAATGAACGATTTTCTCTTACTACGTTTCTAAACAAAAACATTTAAAAGAAACTTGCTGAAGGTTTACGACAATACAGTTTTCAAAGTCCATTTGAATTGAAAACTATTTAACGACATACTTATTACGATACGAAAAGATGTACCTAGTCCTTGTTTATGCATTCAAATGATCTAAGCCGCCCGTACAGAGGTGATAGCGACTCACCCATTCTCCCTGCGAGGAATCTGGATTGGAGTGGACAGTTGTACATGGTTTGTACATCAGAAAGACCCTGCATTCCTTATTTACGCCGTTTATGAGCAACAATTCCCAGGACAAGGTACTGTACTATTCATTTAGACTATTGCCTTTGGCCCTATTTTTCGAAACTTCCAATTTGTAAATCTCGTCTATTTACCGTGGGCAATCTATATCAACTAAAATCACGAAATCTTTTTTTTGTGTCTCAATGACTATTTCTCCTAATATGCAGCGTCTGTCATGTGTGTGCCTACGTTCCATATTTACGCAGTCAGTTGTCCTCGAGCGACTTTTTCTCTTCTAAAGCCTTCTGATTATCCTCTGCCAACTTTTCTTGAGCCTGTTTGAGATCTTTTGCAAACTCTGTAGCCAGCTGACGTACGTTCTTCTTGGCCTGCTCGATGGTTGGGTTTTCTTCTAAGTAGTTGTAAAGATCTTGCCTGGTATCCCTGATTTGTAGCATGTACACACCACACACGTCATCCAGAGCAACCCATTTGGAATAGTATTGCACTGCACTTTTCTTGAAGCCCATTGATGTCCAAAACTTCAGTCGCTTTTCGTCATCATACTTATCCAAGGCCTTTTGCACCAATTTCTGCATTTCTCCTTTGGCTATAGACTCACATTGGCTTTGCATTTGCTGCCAGAACAAAGCTATTTTCATCATGACGGCGGATAAATATTCGAGTACGCCAGTGGAACTGTACAATGCTTCTGCTGCGTCTGCCAAAGCGTTGTCATCTTGACACCTCTTGATCTTTTCTGGAAATTCAATGCACTCTTCCATGGCCTTTTTGCGAATTTCCTGTTCCTTCTGCAGTTCATCTAGATGCTTCATCTTTTCTATCGCTTCGACGGCTTTTTCCACATTTCCCATCATAGCGTTTCCTGCAGCACTCATCATTACATTAACCTTGTCGTATAATAGTTGCGCTCTTGCTTCTGCTTCAAGAGCATTCTTTTCCCTCTGCTCTGCTTGCGTTATTCTTGATTCAAAGTCCTTTCTTTCTTCCAAATGAGTTTTTTTTCTTGCGCCAATTACATCTTCTGTGGCCTTTACAAAGTCGCCGTGTAATTCATCTGCGGCCTTCGCTAGTTCGTCTGCGGCCTTTGCCATTGCCGCTGCCACGTCCGTCAACATCGAAAGTGTTTCTAGAGCCATCTCTTCGAATCCATCGAAGAAATGTGGATTGGTGCTCTTCAGCTCTTGGAGCACCCTTTGCGATGCGCCTTTAAATTGGTGCACCGTGACAGCTGATTTGTCGGCCAGCTTTGTTACTTTGTTGCTGACTCTCCGTACTTTAATCTGCCCGTCGCTGTGCCCTGCCACGCCGTTGTAGGCTACGTCAATGAAGTTACCGAATTTTCCCAGGTCGTCCACAAGGCTTCGGAGATCAAGCAAACCAAGCAAAAGATCTTTCGCTTTCAGTACCATTTTGCTTTTTGCATCTGGCATGGTAAGAAGGTCGAAGGTTTCGTCATTAATGACAACCTTAGAGTCAGCCATTTTGTTCTTTTTTTTTTTGGATTCTTCTTTTTTACACAGCTTTAAATGGTAGACACTCAATTACTGAAGGTTCTGTGCAGATATCTAGGCGAATGCTTTCGAATGTGTTGAATAGGAAACAATTTATGTGTTTTGGGCGGTCTGTTACCGGAAAATGATCAATTAATCATGGTTGATGTAAATATAGATATGTATCTGACCATTGCTAGCTACTTCATACCATATATGGTTAATATTAGCACGAGAAGTTACAGCTATTTGCTTTCTTAGAAAAAAGCTTTCTATTTGGATCTAGGCATTTAAGTGTTTTTTGTTTTCTTCCACAGAACCGTGAAATTGGAATTTCTTTCATGCTATCATTGCTTTCCACGAAATCTTTATCTCTAACTGGGCTTCATGTTTTCTAAAGACAAATGCACAGCCCGGCTGACTTTATCTTTTGTTTTCTTATTGGAACGAATTAAGATCGTGAACAAAAACATCTATAACTTGTCTTTACTTTCAATATTAACATAATTATCAAGATCTTTCTTGGAAACAGGATAGCCACTTGGCACATAGTTTGTGGTGTTTTGTAATTTCTCTCCCCGGTACAAAGACGTTCTAATCAGCTTGAAACTAAAGTTTTACCATCATGTCACTAATCGCAACTAGTCCTAGGTGTTTCAACGCACTGGAAGCAGCCGTGGAGGCAGTGAAAACCGGTAATGCTGACAGCCCACAGATTATAATTAAATCCTTAAGACAAGACGGATTGTTGTTACAAAAACAGGCCTCAATCCTCTGTGATGAGCTCAAACAGGCCAAGAAGAAGCAGCAAGAATTAGACGAGGATCCAGCTAGGCGGATAAACAAGTTACACGCCGAAGAGGTGGAGCTTAAAAATATGAGGCAAGGTTTGGAAGCGAAGAAATCAGCGCTGAACGAGGAGAGGGAACGTTGCTGCCGAAACAAACAAGATGCGGCTAGGAAGCTGAAGAGAAATACGATGAATTGAAGCATTGGTGGTGGGTTCCTGGTTACGGCACGTTTCTGGCCGTTCGAGAACTTGTTGAAAACAATGAGGAAAGGCTCGTGATGCACGCAGAGAAATGGAGCGTTATGACGGAGAAATGAGCAGAGCCGACTCGAACATCAGGTCGGCAAATATCCCTATTTCGCAGGTAGGTGTCTTATTTCTTTTACGTGTTCTTTTAGTGTCATAGGCAACAAAGCATGCAGAACGAAACTCTTAACTATAGCTACGAAACGTTTAGTTGCTATCGAAGTGTGTTTCTCATTTGTCTAGCCCGTTTTACGTTAAGTGCAAATAATCGGGCACTTTAAGGGCGGAATGTTTCGCTTTTCGACATTTCGGCCTCCGAATCACCTTCGCGTCAATTTAACATTATTCCAGTTTCATCATCTCTTTGTACTGCTGTTCTGTTCAGTGATATCGCTCAGTTTGCAGGCCAATTTTTCATCTTTTTCTGCAGGCAGAGAAGGACCAATCGATCTGCTATTTTCCAAAAATATGCTCGAACACAAACAGTTCAAAAACACGGCGTTTACAGGATCTAACTCGTGCCTCTCTAAGTGCCTCTCTTAGTCCGTTGAGAACAATCTGAACGAGCAAACGGTCGTGTTTATCTTTGCCGTGAATCCAGATAAATACAAGAAGGAATCTAGCCGAATTTTATAATGTTTCCTTCGCCAGGAGTTTAGTTTCGTCACGAAACTCATGGCCTGATGCTCTTGTAATCGTTTATAAAAAACGGCCGCAAAAAAACGGCCGCCGCCAACTCGATAGCCGCTTCATTATATGTTCACATACTTTGAGCACAAGAAAAATCTAAGAGCCAGCAGCCTCTAAAATAACTCAAAAGAAAGGTTCTGTGAACTATAGGGAAGATTCCATCAAAGATTCCATCAGTCATTGTGGAGTAGCCGTCATTAACTCTGCCATTACAACGGCCGCTGATAAGAGGAAACAGTAAATCCACGTAAAAACATTCCACAGGAAAACAATTTCAAAATAACGCCAAAAACTTATTAATAACCATAGGACGATTCTTAATACAAAACTTCGCTAACGATCGAACGATGGCTGAGATTTTGACAGATAAATACAGCCATCCAAAATCTCCGACACAACTTGAAAAAAGGCCGACTTTTTCAAGTTTGTTTTCATTGGCTCGCACATGCGTGTGGGGTAACATAGCCCCTTTAAAGTAGATGTGTCTACTTTTTTTCTCAAAGAAACCTCCTGTGGTTCGATTCTCGTAATAGACCACCTCCCGTTAGCGAACACTAAGTCTGCGCATTTTGGGTGGTCGCTTTCGGGAGGTTCGACTGTAGTCTTCTTTTCCAGTTCTTCGGCGGCGTCGGTTGGAACTTGTTTTGTTCATGGGTTTCGCGTATAGATTTACACACTAAGGCGCTGCTACATTATATTTTGAAATCAGCAAATATTATTTTGCCAGGTGGTACAACTCGGCGATGACCTAAAAGAAGCAGTTTTTGCGGGAAAGATGTTTCGGATTCGTTTCGGAGGAGAGAAACCGCTGGACCGTATGAACTACGATCACTTAGCTGTTTCCTAGGGCCTTTGGTAGCTGCCTAATTATACCTCTATTTGTGAAAAAGTAAAGAAATTAACCAAGGGACGGTTTGTTGTTTGTAATACGTAGTCAAAAAATCAGAAAAAGCAAAAAGAAAAAAATCAGTAAAAGTAGGGCGGAGCTGCTCGAGACGTCGTTGCGTGACATTGTTACTCCAACTGTTAGTTTATGACTTCCTCTCACGCAGTGTATCCAGTTCGCAAAAAACCTCCTTCAACATAAAATTTCAAGGAAAATGTACCTACCTATTTTAGATATACCGGAATCGAATTTACGATGATACAGATGGATGCTAATACAAGGATGTTAGGAAAAGAAAGGAGAGACATGGAATATAGTTTACATAATAATTCGGCGCTTTTATTTAACGCTTCTTCGATGTCGTTTTTCTTATCATTTTTTTGTGAACGGTTAATTACTCTGATATTTTAACATACACTTTATCAAAAAACGTTTCCTTGCTTCGTGATGTTTCTGAACATTACATACTGACCCTGAATTGAAACAAAACCGGCTGCCGCAACATTTCTCAACAAATTTGACTTATGCAAATTTGTGACATTTTTCCACTGGTGGTCACGAAACTTTTTATTTTGTAAAGGCGAATCCGGAGTACCCAGATTTTTTATTTCATATTCTGTTAATATAAGAGCTGAACTTTGTCCTAGTACACATTTTGGCTTGGTATCACACATACCAAGGTGAGTTTTTTACCTCTGAAGTTGCTCATTTTTCAGCCATTTTAAAAAGTGCCATTGATGGTAGTTTTTAAAAAACCATAAAAAATTCAAAATCATGTTTATGGTTTAAAATATACCATGGATAAAAATAGCAGATAGAATTCTTTTGAACAAACATATTTCTGTTTTATAGCTTTGAATCTTGCCTCGGTGCGGACGCGATAAAGTAGATCATTTTTACTCTAATTTTTGCATAATTAATTAGGTAAATACCGCTATTTTCGTTTTTCCTCAATTTCTCGAAAACTATAAATTCCTGAAAGTTGAAAATATTTTTTTCGAAGATAGTTCCCCAAAGGGGTTTTCTGATAAATTATCAGAATTTTCGATATTTTTAGCCTGGCCATGGCCAGCGATTCTCGATATTTGCAGTCATGGGCTCTTATGTGTTTGTGGCGGTCTATTCTCGGAAGGTGATCATTTAATTATTGTTGAAGTAAATTTAGATATAAATCTGACCATTGCCGACTCTTTCGTACCATATATGGTCATAAAATTGGCACCGGAGTTAAAGCCTTATTATCGTCTTGGAAAAAGAGCTCCCATTTTTAATCAATTGTGATTGATATGGGTGGTTACTTTTCAATTATAGATCTTTCTTGGAAACAACAATAGCCACTTGGCACATAGTTTGTGGTATTTTGTAATTTCTCTCCCCGGCACTAAGACGTTCTAACCAGCTTTAAACTAAAGTTTTAGGATCACCTGCCGTCATGTCACTAATCGCGACGAGTTCTAGGTGCTTCAACGCGCTGGAAACAGCCTTGGAGGCAGTGAAAACCGGTAACGCTGACAGCTTAGCGGCTGTGATTAAATCCATAAGAAAAGACTGATTGTTGTTACAAAAACAGGCCTCAATCCTCTGTGATGAGCGCAAACAGGCCGAGAAGAAGCAGCAAGAATTAGGCGAGGATCTCACTAGGCAGTTAAACAAGTTACACGCCGAAGAGGTGGAGCTTAAAAATAGGAGGCAAGCATTGGAAGTGAAGAAATCAGCGCTGAACAAGGAGAGAGAACGTTGCTGCCGAAACAAACAAGATGCGTCCAGGAGATATGAAGAGGCAGAGGGAGAAAAGAGGAAAGCAGAACAGAAATGCGAGGAATCGAAGAATTGGTGGTGGATACCTGTTTACGGTACGTTTCTGTTCCTTCGATAACTTGTTGAAAACAATGAGGTAAAGGTTCGTGATGAACGCAGAGAAATGGAGCGTTATGACGGAGAATTGAGCAGAGCCGACAGGAACATCCGGTCGGCAAACACCGCTATTTTGCAGGTAGGTGTCTTATTTCTTTTACGTGTTCTTTTACTGTCATAGGCAACAAAGCATGCAGAGCGAAACTCTTAGGTATTAACCTACGAAACGTTTTGGTTTGGAAGGTTTTACGTTAAGCGAAAAATAATCGGGCACTTTAAGGGCGGAATGTTTCACTTTTCGACACTTCGGCCTCCCAATCACCTTCGCGTCAATTTAACATTATTTCAGTATATGATGTTTCCATCAAGATGAGCATGCTGTTTCATCACCTCTTTGTACTGCTGTTCTGTTCAGTGATATCGCTCATTTTACAGGTCAATTTTTCATCTTTTTCTGCAGGCAGAGAAGGACCAAAATGACATTTCAAAGAAAGTGGCAGACCTAAATAGACGACGATGAAGCATGTCACGAGGAGCTTGGTAAAATCAAGACCTTGATTCCATTCATCATGCAAGCTACTACATTCTGGAAGGAAGTGATCATGCTCGCCAACGCAGCAACAGTCAAAACCGAACAGGTTCAAAAGATTGTGGATCGGGCTGCCAAGAAAAATAGTGTCAAGATTCTCAGTAGCAGAGGTACAGAGACTAAGATGAGGTCATTCAAAGAATCCTGGATGGAAGTAGCTGATGTGTTTACTTCTGAAGGAAACGGCGAGATGCACAGATCGAAACTTGCATTTGTGTAGACATAAAGTACAATTAGGTAAGCAATACTTTTGTAAAACGATTCAGGAGTGTTCCATGTTGTTGTATCGTTGTTGTTTTTATTGTGATAAAACGCATTTTCCAGTTCCTGTGCAAAGGTTGTTGAGATCATTTATCGTTCAATTTACTGCTTTTGCAATATACATTGAATCTATCTTGCGGTACCATGCCCCAAACCCTCCCCTCTTTTAGCCTTTTCTTTGGCCGTCTAATTTCAATGAAAACCAGTGGTATAGTGCCTATAAATACATACGTTCGCAATACATGTTACCATGCAGTATGTGTGAAACCGTGGTAATTTTATACTAAGAAGAATTGCTTTCTTCATGTACCACTAAACGAAATTATTAAATGCTCATTTTATTTTTTTTCAACAGAAAAATTCTTCGTTAAGTGAATGTTTCTGCAATTTTGCCGTTCACGTACTCTGGACTTAATGATATAGATGGATACGGTTCTTGAAGTACCTTTGCAATGGACAATCATGTGTAGTGTATACCTTGTAGTCCTAAGAGACTAATCTCTGAGTTGCAACTCTTTGCTTTATTGGATTCTCTTCAGAATAACCGTACCTATTGAATGTTTTAGGAGTGTTGTTATTTAGTTTTGTATTAATTATTTGTTATCCAATGAAAATTTCATGTATTGTTGTGATTTATCTTATTGTTCACTTTATTCCTGCACTAGCTAATGCTTCATACCAACTCTGTTGTTGCGAGAAGAATGTAGTGAAAAGGTTTAAGACACAGATTCAGGCTCTTGTAGCTTTAGCATTTGGCAAAATTCAGCTTTACTTTGGATACAAGTGATACAAAAACTGTAAACTAGCAAGAGATTTTAAGATTGCAGAAACAGGTATTTCCAAACATTGAGGGCCGGTTATTTAAACGGAGTTTAACCAGTGTTTAACAAAACCGTGTTCTAAGTCATTTTCAGGTTGCCCAACAATTTTTTCTAAACACCATTTGTCGCGAACATTTTCCTTAAATCATATACTTTAAACTGGAAAAACATTTATCTTCTTAAATTAACCCACTGAGGAAGAGATCTGACGCTCCAAAGATTTCTTAAACCGCGTTCTAAGTTTGATTTCGTTTTAATAACCGACCCCGAAAGTTTCAGATATTTTTAAAGTCAGAATTAAATAATAAGTTTTAAAAAAATACATTTCCACCAAGAAAAATGAACTTAGAACCCTTTTATCAAAAATGGCGAAAAGACCGTTCTCCTCTTTAATTTGTGTAAATAAAAAAAGTGTACTGTAAGTTAATATGTATCATATTTTGTGATTCCAATTTATTAAATGTTAATTATTTAGCTTACATCACTCTTAAGACAAGCCACTTTTTTTCATGAGTGGTCACCCGACGATATTTTGTGACCTTAGCATGTTGCTCTTTTTTATGAATTTTTTTCTTTCGATATTTTTCGACGGACAATTTCGCTTTTTTACCTTTTCAGATAGCAATACTTATTCAGATGCCTAAATTTCCATCATTTCTTTGCGCTTTGATCATGGGCTAGAAATAACTTTCGTGTGAGCTACTCCTTTGTTTACATAGTTTCCACTTTGTTTACATTAATTTACGTTCTTGTAGCCCGAAGGGCTCTGGTTAAAATTATATTATTCGCAAGCGTTTTAATTTGCAGAGCTGAAACTTCAGGTCTAGTTAAAAGAATTACTGTTATTTCATTTAGTATAATCATATTTTAAATTTGCGACATACCAGATCGACTTTTCGCGGTTAAACTGTTGGGCGTTATTTCGAACGCCAATACAGCACACAATCGTGGTGCAAACAATGAAAGCCAAAAACTACATTACAAAAGTTATTTTGCACTAGTAAATTCGTTTGCAACATCAAGTCAATAGGAGCTTTTGCGCGCTTGCACTGCTTCTTTGAAAACTGTTGAAATTTGCATCAATTTCGCGAATATAAAATGTATTTTTGTTTTAATTTTCGAACTTTTCTAAATTTCTCAAACTGTAAAGCGCTTGGGGATTTTTTAATATCATTTCTTGAAATAGTTCACCTGTAGGTATGTTTGGATGGTATTAGCCAAAATTCGAAGGTTTATATAGATCTGATTTGAGATTCTTCATATTTTCCGACATTGGCTCCGGCATAAACAATTGTTTGATTGGACAGTTATTTCATTATCGGTGAAATTAAAGACGTGATGTTGGGACTGAAAACTCATTCTTCCAGTTTTCGGTATGTGGTTACGGTCATGACAAACAATAGATTGGTTTTTTTCGTACAAAATTTGTAACTTCCGAATTAAACAAAAAACTATAATAGGCTTCTTTTGAAATGGCCGAGTCTAAAGTATAATGTTATATGAAGCTGTGGTAGATGCACATCTGACAATTTATGCCCAGTGCAATATTTATTTCATAAAAAGGAAATGAAGAAGAAGTACTATAATTTTTTTTTCTACGAAATATAGGAAGTCCCTTTTACATCTACTTTTCTTGGAAGTTTCTCGAAATTACTCATGTGTAAATAAAGTAAAGATTCTGTTTTGGATGCAACAGACAATATTATCATTCATTTCTGAGCTCAGTTTCTGTTAATATAAACCTGATCGTACCCGTAATGAAGAAGGACAGTTGTTGCACGAACTATGAAGTAAATAAAAAATTTAGCACCCTACGAGCTGTCTTCGGTCGCCCATGAATGATATTGTTTCATGTGTGCTCTGAACAAAAAGATTTGAAGAGAAACTCGTTAAAGCAGTTCACAACAGTAAAGTTCTCAAAGTCCATCTGAATTGAAAATTAATGATCTAGGCCGCGGAGCGATTCCGCATTCCACATTCCATATACGTTTATGAATAACAATACCCAGGGCAGAAAAATATACTATTCGTGGAAAACTATTGTTTTGGCTAAAGGCTCTATTTTCGAAACTTCAGTTCTAAAAACCTCGTCGATTTACCGTGGTCAATCTATTTTAACTAACATCATTATATTAGTTTACTAATTCACTAATTCACTTAATATGCAGAATCAGTGTGTGTGCCTATCCTGTTTATGTTCCATGTTTACGCAGTCATTTGTCTTCAAGCGACTTTTTCTCCTCTAAAGCCTTCTGCTGATCCTCTGCCAACTTTTCATGGGCTTGCTTTAGATCCTCTGCAAACTTGGTAGCCAGCTGACGTACGTTCTTCTTGGCCTGCTCGATGGTTGGGTTTTCTTGCAAGTAGTTGTGAAGATCTTGCCTGGTATTCCTGATCTGTAGCATGTACACACCACACACGTCATCCAGAGCAACCCATTTGGAATAGTATTGCACTGCTTTTTCCTTGAACCCCTCTGATGTCCACACTTTCAGTCGCCGTTCCTCAGAAAGCTTTATTGCCCTTTCCACACTTCGCTTCATGTCTCCTTTGGCCAACGACTCGCAGTGACTTTGCATTTGCTGCCAGAACATTGCTGCTTTCATCATTATGGTGGACAGAGATTTGAGTGCGCCAATAGAGCCATGCAATGCTTTTATAGCTGCTTCTGCCAAAGCGTTATCATCTTTACACCTCTTGATCTTCTCTGCAAATTCAATGCATTCTTCTATGGCCTTTTGGCGAACTTCCCGTTCTTTCTGCAGCTCGTCCAGGTGCTTCATCTTTTCTTGATTTGCCATCTTCATCGCTTCTTTGTAGCCCGATTTATCACCAACTTTCGCTATCTCTTCGGCAGCTTTTTCTAAATTTCCCGTCGCAGCTGCCTTTGCAGCACTCATTGCTCCAGTAAAGGCGCTTGCCAGAGCGGTTAGAAGGCTGTCTTGCTTATCCATCGCCTTATCTTCTCTTGCTTGGGCCTGGTCGTATAATGCTTGCGCTTTTGCTTCCGCTTCAAGAGCATTCTTTTGCCTTTCCTCTGCTTGCTTCATTCTCGATTCAAACTCCTGTCTTTCTTTCTCTCGAGTTTTCTTTTCCTCTTCCTCGGCACCTTTTGCTCTCTGTGTGTCTTCTAAAGCGTCGGTTACATCATCTGTCGCCTTCTCAAACTCGATGCGTAATTCGTGGGCGGCCTTCGCCATTTCTGCTGCCACTTCTGTCAACATCGAAAGTGTTTCCAGCGCCATCTCTTCCAATCCGTCCAACAAATATTGATACGTGCCCTTCAGCTCTTGAAGCACACTTTGCGAGGTGCTTTTAAACTGGTGCACCGTGACTGCTGATTTGTCGGCCAGCTTTGTTATTTTGTAACCGACTCTCTGAACTTTAATCTGCACCTCGGTGTTTCCTGCCACACCATTGTAAGCCACGCGAATGAAGTTACCGAGTTTCCCCAGATCGTCCACAAGACTTTGGAGATCAAGCGAGCCAAGAAGCAGAGTTTTGGCCTTTTGTACCATTTTACTTTGTGCATCTGGTATGGCGACAAGATCGAAGGTTTCTTCATTAATGACAACCTGAGAGTTAGCCATTTTGTTTTTTTGGATTCTCTTTTTTACACACCTTTAAGTTAGTGTGGACACAGGTCTTCAGTAGACAAATGCCTTCAAATGTTCTGGGTGTGAGACAATTTATGTGTTTGTGGCGGTCTATTCTCGGAAGGTGATCAGTTAATCATTGTTGCAGTAAATATAGATATAAATCTGACCATTGCCGGCTCTTTCGTACCATATATGGTCATAAAATTGGCGCCGGAAGTTAAAGCCTTATTACCGTCTTGGAAAAAGAGCTCCCCTTTTTAGTCAATTGTGATTGATATGGGTGGTTACTTTCAATTATAGATCTTTCTTGGAAAAAAGGATATCCACTTGGCACATAGTTTGTGGTGTTTTTCAATTTTTCTCCGCTGTAGTAAGACGTTCTAATCAGCTTCAAACTCAAGTTTTACCATCATGTCACTAATCGCAACGAGTTCTAGGTGTTTCAAGGCACTGGAAACAGCCGTGGAGGCAGTGAAAACCGGTAACGCTGACAGCTCAGCGGTTGTGATTAGATCCATAAGACAAGACGGAGTGTTGTTACAAAAGCAGGCCTCAATCCTCTGTGATGAGCTCAAACAGGCCGAGAAGAAGCAGCAAGAATTAGACGAGGATCTAACTAGGCAGATAAACAATTTACACGCCGAAGAGATGAAGCTTAAAAATAAGAGGCAAGCATTGGAAGCGAAGAAATCAGCGCTGAACAAGGAGAGAGAACGTTGCTGCCGAAACAAACAAGATGCGTCCAGGAGATATGAAGAGGCAAAGGCAGAAAAGAGGAAAGCTGAAGAGAAATGTAAAGAATTGAAGAACTGGTGGTGGGTGCCTGGTTACGGTACGTTTCTGGCCGTTCGAGAACTTGTTGAAAACAATGAGGCAAAGGCTCGTGATGAACGCAGAGAAATGGAGCGTTATGACGGAGAAATGAGCAGAGCCGAAAGTAACATCCGGTCGGCAAACACTGCTATTTCGCAGGTAGAAGTCTGAATTCTTTTACGTGTTCTTTTATTGTTATAGGCAACAAAGCATGGAGAGCGAAACCCTTAACTATAGCTATGAAACATTTTACTTTGGAAGTGTGTTTCACATTTGTTTAGCCCATTTTACGTTAAGCAACAAATAATCGGGCACTTTAAGGGCGGAATGTTTCACTTTTCGGCACTTCGGCCTCTCAATCACCTTCTTGTCAATTTAACATTATTCCAGTATATGATGTTCCCATCAAGCTCTGTTCTGTTCAGTGATATCGCTCATTTTACAGGTCAATTTTTCATCTTTTTCTGCAGGCAGAGAAGGACCAAAATGATATTTCAAAGAAAGTTGCAGACCTAAATAGACGACGAGAAGCATGTCACGAGGAGCTTGGTAACATCAAGACCTTGATTTCATTCATCATGCAAGCTGCTACATTCTGGGAGGAAGTGATCATGCTCACCAACGCAGCAACAGTCAAAACCGAACAGGTTCAAAAGGTTGTGGATCTGGCTGCCACGAAAAATAGTGTCAAAATTCTCAGTAGCAGAGGTACAGAGACTAAGATGAGGTCATTCAAAGAATCCTGGATGGAAGTAGCAGAGATGTTTGCTTCTGAAGAAAACAAGCTACTATTAAACGGTGAGCTGTACAGATGGAAACTTGCATTTAAGTAGGATAAAGCACAATTAGGTTAACGGTACTTTTCATAGGCGTGCGGGCTATTTTTTGCCAGGGGGGGCGGTAAACCATTTGCCCAAAAAATGTTTGCAAGTTGCCCAAATTTTTACAGAACAGTCGAACAGAAACGAGAGCCGATGCAACAAGATAGGCCGTACTGGCATATGAAAATGGCTCCATACAGTTTTTCATGGTCAATACCTGCCAAGTTTGAGCATAAACTACGTCGCCATAAACAAACATTTGGAAAAGTTGCCACCACAGGTGTATTAGATAAAGATGAAAATTTGTTGTGATCAGGGTTGCAATGACATCGGAGTTGTTATAGCAACGAACTGAAGCCATTACCTATTACACTTGCAGCAATATTTCTCTCTGGGAACTGTTCTTCTAAAATCGATCACAGGAGCTTTTTCCTCCAATAGTCGCCTCGATGTTCGTGACGTTAAAACGGAATCTGTAAGAGCGTTATCGAGATATTTTGGATAAAGTTTTTATCGTTGGAAATACGGTAAAAAAGGAAAATCTTGAAGTTTGGCCGTTATCTGTAGAAAACGATGCACTTTCACCTCATAGTAGTTTCAATCTTTTCAAAACGTGGGTGATAGATCATGGAGATAGCTCCGGCCAATTGCTACAAAGAAGGATTTGATTAGTATGTATCATGGCGTTCTTGTTAGCGGTTTTGTAAACATTTCAGTCTACTTTAACAAATTATTGAATAATTTTTAAACCGCTCGATAGACTTATTAAAAAAATCAAGATTCTTCTCGCAATTCAAACTGAGAATTAGTCAGCCACTTGTTCACTTTAAGACCCATTGTTGATGTTATCTGCCATACACTGTTCTACGAGCGGAGATAATTCTAGAAAGTTAGGCGGAAGTTTATTCTAATAAATTCACGAGTGGAAATAGCCCACTGCAGTACAGTGCCCAACAATAAAATGATACCTTTCCCTTACAACCAGAAACTCGTCACGTGCTAGGCAGACACTGTCTCGTGTCAATGTAACTGGATTATTACGCCGACTTCAGGTTAAAATAGAAAATATTTATCTCTTCAAAATAATAATAAAAACATGGGGACGTCTTTAAAAACTGGCTTTGCCCAAATTTTCTCGTGCTGCCCAAAAAAATCTGAGTTGCCCAAAATTTGGGGGGGCTGCAGCCCCCCTCGCCCCCCCGGCCCGTACGCCTATGGTACTTTTGTAAAACGACTCAGGGGTGTTCCATGATGTTGTATCATTGTTGTTTTCGTTTTGATGAAACGCATTTTCCACTTTCTGTGCAAAGGTTGTAGAGATCATTTATCGTTCAATTTACTGCTTCCTTTCTTTGAAATACATAGAATCTATCTTGCGGTACCATACCCCAAACCCTCCCCTCTTTTAGCCTTTTCTTTAACCCGTCTAATTTCAATGAAAACCAGTGATATAGTGCGTAAAAATATATACGTTCGCAATACATGTTACCATGCAGTATGTTTGAGACCGTCGTGATTTTATACTGAGAATAATTGCGTTCTTCATGTGTGATACACTAAACTAAATTACAAATGCTCATTTTATTTTTTCCAACAGAAAAGTTCTTCCTTATGTCTCAGTGAATGTTTCTGCAATTTTGCCATTCACGTATACTGGACTTAATGATACAGATGGATACGGTTCCTGCAGGACCTTTGCAATGGCGATTTATGTAGTGTACACCTTGTAGTACTAAGAGCCTAATCTATGAGTTTCAACTCTTTGCCTTACTGGATCTTCTTCAGAATAACCGTAGCTATTGAATGTTTTAGGAGTTGTCTTATCTGGTTTTGTATTAGTTATTTGCTATCCAATGAAAATTCCATGTATTATTTTTCATTTTATCCCTGCACTACCTAATGCTTCATACCAACTCTGTTGTTGAGAGCAGCATGTAGTGAAAACGTTTAAGACAGATTCAGGCTCTAGCCTTAGCATTTGGCAAAGTTCAGCTTTATTTTTGATACAAGTGATACAAAAACTGTAAACTAGCAAGGGATTTTAAGATTGCATGCAGAATCAGGTATCTCCAACCACTGAAATTTTCAGATATTTTCAAAGTTAGAATTAAATGATAAGTTAAAAAAATAAATTTTCATCAGGAACAATAAACTGAAAACCCTTTTATCAAAAATGGCGAAAATACCGGTCCCCTCTTTAATTTGTGTAAATAAAGGTAAAAGTGTACTGTAAGTTAATATGTATCATAGTGTGTGATTCTAGTTTATCAAATATTAATTATTTAGTTTCCATCACTCTTAAAACAAGACACTTTCAGCAACTGAGCGGCTGTTTTTGGCAACTCTGAAATTTCTTCCAGCATTTGTAGTGTACGTAATTGTGAGTATGTATAATCAGTTTTTTTGTTTTTTTATTATTGCCACTTTTTGGTAATTTTACTGTAATATTGTAATAATAATAAATGTCTTGAAAAAGTAATTATAAAAGAAAGAGTTTAAGAACAATTCCGGTTTTAAGTGATCGTTTAATAATGTAATTTATAAAATCCGTTGTGGTTACAGAATGAAAACGATTAACTGGATACAGGCAGCGCGTTTAACGGCCTGGATTTTTGTCACGGCTTGTCATTCTCACCTCAGATTTTGCAGTTGCGACTAGCCAGGAAAAGAGAAGCCTTCTCTGTCAGCTAATGGTTAACAAAATGTCCTTGGCTTCTCCAAGTTCCTTTTATCAGAGAAGACGATCATATGCACGCTGCACTTTGCATAATCACTATTCAATTTACAATATGGAAATTCTTATCTTTTACCTTTATAAACACTTTTTTATTCCGGATTTTAACACTGAAAATTCCTGTATGAACTGAAACTAGAAAAAACTTTAACCCACAGGACAAACCTTACTGAGACTGTCTTAAAAAATGCTTATTCGTAAGAAAAACGTAGCAAACAGAGTTGAGTGATGTAGTTGAAAACTAATCTTATGTTTACATTACTTCACTGATCTAAACAAATACATCTGGGCAGTGGTCACAGTATTTTGGTTTTACAAAGGAAGTTGTCTAGGAAACTTTATTGTTCTTATCGATGTTATTTTTCGAAAGCAGATCTTGGTCGTCAGCACGAAAAAAGTTGCTTAGTTTAGTATGTAACATAAACAACTTATGACTTTTTCAAGCACACTTAGAATTAAAAGAAATTCCAAGATAGCTAGAATTTTACATCACAACAATACTTTTCGTTCCCTCAGGGGTTACCGAGGGAGGGGTTATGAAGGTACCGAGTTTTCCAAGGTCGTCCACAAGACTTTGGAGATCAAGCGAACCAAGCAGAAGATCTTTGGTTTTCAGCACCATTTTACTTTTTGCATCTGGAATGGTAACAAGATCGAAGGTTTCGTCATTAATGACAACCTGAGAGTCAGCCATTTCGTGTTCTAGGATTCTTCTTTTTACGCAGCTTTAAGTTTTGGACACACAAGGTGTTGTGCAGTTATCTAGCAAATGCGCTCGAATGTGCTAAATGTGAATCAATTTATGTGTTTGTGGCGGTCTATTCTCGGAAAATGATCAATTAATCATTGTTGATGGTAAGATAGATATATATCTAACCATTGCTGGCCATTTCGTACCATATATGGTAAAAATTAGCACGAGAAGTTACAGCTATATTACTTCCTTAGAAAAAAAGCTTTCCCTTTGGATCTAGGCATTTAAGTGTTTTCGTTTTCCTCCATGGAACCGTGAAATCGGAATTCTTTCGTGTTATCATTGCTTTCCACGAAATGTGTATCACAAAGTGGGCTTCATGTTCTCTAAAGGCCAATGCGCAAAGCCGGGCTGACTTGATCTTGAAGCCACTGATAATAATAAGAGGCATAAAACGTTAAGGTTTATTATAAAAGACAGAGACTGTTTATAGTTTTTAAGATAGATAGTAACTAAACCGGTCCGGATATTTCTCAGCGTGCAAAAATGACTCTCGCAGACAGGAAGGTGATGCAGCCCACTTTTTTCACTCCGACACCGGTCACAACGAAATTTGTACTTTTTCAGGAATTTTTGTTTGTTTGTTTGTTTTCGTACTGGAACGAATTGAGATGTTGAACAAAAACATCTACAGTTCGTTTTTATTTTTTTGTTTTGTTTTTGAGAGAGGCTCAAGGTCTCGTGACATCTCACCTGAGTGCTGGTATTTTTCGTACCATATTTAGTCTATTGTGATTGATATACCGTAGAATTCCGAAAATAAGCCCCTCCATGTATAAGCCCCTCCAAATATAAGCCCCCTAAACTCGTAACGCCAAAAACCCTCCGTTAAATCGCCCCTCCAAATACAAGTCCCCGGAGGCTTGTACTTGGAAACTTGCCCTCAAATACAAAGTAAAACAAAGCAAAAACGGTAAATTTACTTCCAACTATAAGGCTAGCCCAATTGATTTTGACACGCAAATTTCCCTTCGTAGATAAGCCCCTCCGAATATAAGCCCTCCAAAAATAAGCCCCTTAAAAAGGGCCTTTGAAAAATATAAGCCCCGGGGCTTATTTTCGGAATTTTACGGTAAGTAGTTACCTTCAAGATCGACATAATAATAAAGATCTTGCTTGGAAATAAGGACAGCCACTTTGCACAAAGTTTGTGGTGTTTTGTAATTTCTCTCCTCAGTACTAAACCGTCCTAATCAGCTTGAAAGTAAAGTTTTACCATCATGTCACTAATCGCAACGAGTTCTGGGTGTTTCAACGCACTCGAAGCAGCCCTGGAGGCAGTGAAAACCTGTAACGCTGACAGCACAGAGGTTATGATTAAATCCATAAGACAAGACGGAGTGTTGTTACAAAAACAGGCGTCAATCCTCTGTGATGAGCTCAAACAGGACGAGAAGAAGCAGCAAGAATTAGACGAGGATCTAACTAAGCAGATAAACAAGTTACACGCCGAAGAGGTTGAGCTTAAAAACAGGAGGTAAGGTTTGGAAGCGAACAAACGAGATGCATCTGGGCGATACGAAAATGCAAAGGCAGAGAAGAGGGAAGCTGAGAGAAATTGGAGGAAGCAGAAAAATGGGGTTGGGTGCCTGGTTACGGCACGTTTCTGGTCGTTCGAGAACTTGTTCAAAACAATAAGGAAAAGGCTAGTGATGCACGCAGAGAAATGGAGCGTTATGACGGAGAAATGAGCAGAGCCGAAAGTAACATCCGGTCGGCAAACACCGCTATTTCGCAGGTAGGTGTCATATTTCTTTTACGTGTTCTTTTATTGTCAAAGGCAACAAAGCATGCAGAAAGAAACTCAACTATAGCTACGAAACGTTTTGCTATAGAAGTGTGTTTCTCAATTGTTTTACGTTATAAGGGCTTCAGTGTTTCTTTTTTCCGAAAATTTTAGATGCAATTGCACGTTTTACGAAATTGAGAATTTTTCTTATTCCTCTTTCGATCACATTTTTGAATCCGAAAATTTAAGGTTTCCTTTTTCTACGAAAATTAGCCAAACATAAGGAGTAAAATATGAAAAATTAAACTTTAGAAAATCGTAAGGAATTTTTTAGATAAGCTCGAAAATTTACCTGAATGGAACGGCATCTAGAAATTATTAGTCGTGTTCAAGCAATAGAAAATTCTAGGCAACATCAGCTTTTCCGAACAGATATTCAGTCGCAGAAAACAGTCCTTGGGTGCCCCTGAAGAGCTAGCCTCCCACGCAGGCGTTTTTAGGGGAGCTCGTCTTTCATCTCTCCCCACAAGGAGGAGGGATGAAAAACGAGCTCCCTAAAAACACCTGCGTCGGAGGCTACTGAAGAGCGGGATGTTTCACTTTTCGACTCTTCAGCCTCCTTCGAACTCACCTTCGGGTCAATTTACATTATTCCAGCGTATGATTTCCATCAAGATTAGCATGCTTTTTATCATCCCGTAGTACTGCTGTTTTGTTCAGTGATGTCGGTCATTTTACAGGCCTGATTCAGTTTTCATCGTTCTCTGCAGACAGAGGAGGACCAAAATGACATTTCAAAGAAAGTGGCAGACCTAAATAGACAACGAGAAGCATGTCACGAGGAGCTTGGTAAAATCAAGACCTTGATTTCATTTATTATGCAAGCTACTACATTCTGGGAGGAAGTGATCATGCTCGCCAGCGCAGCAACAGTCAAAACCGAACAGGTTCAAAAGATTGTGGATCTGGCTGCCAAGAAAAATAGTGTCAAGATTCTCAGTAGCAGAGGTACAGAGACTAAGATGAGGTCATTTAAAGAATCCTGGATGGAAGTAGCAGAGATGTTTGCTTCTCAAGGAAATAAGCTGCTAGTAAACGGTGAGCTGCACAGATCGAAACTTGCATTTAAGTAGGGTAAAGCACAATTAGGTTAACAGTACTCAGGAGTGTTCCATGTTGTTGTATCATTGTTGTTTTCATTTTGATAAAACGCATTTTCCACTTCCGTGCGTAGTTTGTTGAGATCATTTATCGTTCAATTTACTGCTTTTGCAATATACATTGAATCTATCTTGCGGTACCATGCCCCAAACCCTCCCCTCTTTTAGCTTTTTCTTTGGCCGTCTAATTTCAATGAAAACCAGTGATATAGTGCCTAAAAATATATGCGTTCGCAATACATGTTACCATGCAGTATGAGTGAAACCGTAGTGATTTTTTTACTGAGAATAATTGCGTTCTTCATGTGTGATACACTAAGCTAAATTATAAATGCTCATTTTATTTTTTCCAACAGGAAAGTTCTTCCTAATGTCTCAGTGAATGTTTCTTCAATTTTGCCATTCACGTATACTGGTGATATAGATGGATATAGATGGATACGGTTCCTGCAGTACCTTTGCAATGGCAATTCATGTATAGAGTACATGCACCTTCTGGTACTAAGAGCTTAATCTCTGAGTTGCACCTCTTTATCTGATTGTCTTCAGAATAACCGCAGCTATTGAATATTTTAGGAGCTTTCTTATCTGGTTTTGTATTATTTATTTGTTATCCAATGAAAATTCCATGTATCGTTGTGATATATCATATTGTTCATTTTATCCCTGCACTAGCTGTTGCTTCATACCAACTCTGTTGTTGCGAGAAGCATGTAGTGAAAAGGTTTAAGAGACAGATTCAGGCTCTTGTAGCCTTAGCATTTGGCAAAATTCTGCTTTATTTTTGATACAAGTGATACAAAAACTGTAAACTAGCAAGGGATTTTAAGATTGCATGCAGAATCAGGTATCTCCTACCATAGAAATTTTCAGTTATTTTCAAATTAGAATTAAATGATAAGTTAAAAAAATACATTTTCATCAAGAACAATAAACTGAAAACCCTTTTATCAAAAATGGCGAAAACACCGGTCGCCTCTTTAATTTGTGTAAATAAAGGTAAAAGTGTACTGTAAGTTAATATGTATCATAGTGTGTGATTCTAATTTATCAAATGTTAATTATTTAGTTTCCATCACTCTTAAAACAAGCCACTTTCAACAATTGAGCGGCTGTTTTTGGCAACTCTGAAATTTCTTCCAGCATATGTAGTGTACGTAATTGTTAGTATGTATAATCGGTTTTTTTGTTTTTTTATTTTTGTCACTTTTTTGTAATTTTACTGTAATACTGTAATAATAATAAATGTCTTGAAAAAGTAATTATAAAAGAAAGAGTTTAAGAACGAGTCCGGTGTCAAGTGATCGTTTAATAATGCAATTTATAAAATCCGTTGCAGTTACAGAATGAAAACGATTAACTGGATACAGGCAGCGCGTGCAACGACCTGGGTTTTTGTCACGGCTTGTCCTTCTCACCTCAGATTTTGCAGTTGCGACTAGCCAGGAAAAGAGAAGCCTTCTCTGTCAGCTAATGGTTAACAAAATATCCTTGGTTTCTCCAAGTTCCTTTTATCAGAGAAGACGATCATATGCACCCTGCACTTTGCATAATCACTATTCAATTTACAATATGGAAATTCTTATCTTTTACATTTATAAACACTTTTTTATTCCGGATTTTAACACTGAAAATTCCTGTATGAACTGAAACCAAAAAAAACTTTAACCCACGGGACAAACCTTACTGAGACTGCCTTAAAAATGCTTATTCGTAAGAAAAACGTAGCAAACAGAGTTCAGTGATGGTAGTTGAAAACTAATCTTCTGTTTACATTACTTCACTGATCTAGACAAATACATCTGGGTAGTGGTCACAATATTTTGGTTTTACAAAGGAAGTTGTCTCGGAAACTTTATTGTTCTTATCGATGTTATTTTTTGATCTTGGTCGTCAGCACGAAAAAAGTTGTTTAGTTTAGTATGTAACATAAACAACTTATGACTTTTTCAAGCACACTAAGACCCTGTTTACATGGAGTGGGGGACCCCGGTTTAGTGGGGTAGGTTTCTTTTGTTTTGTGTCCCCCAGAGCGTGAAAACAAAAGAAACCAACCCCACTAGACCGGGGTCCCCCACTCCATGTAAACAGGCCCTTAGAATTAAAAGAAATTCCAAGATAGCTAGAATTTTACATCACAACAATACTTTTCGTTCCCTCAGGGGTTGCTGTAAGTGCTTACGGGTTTTCATAATCCAGCTAAAAACTATTAATTAAAATAAAACTGACTTGCTGCTTGAGAGGTGACGCAGGTACTGGTGGTCCACAAAAGGGCGCTCCTGCACCTATTTGAAAGACTGTTTTTGATTAGCTGGGAAAACAGTAGGGATTGTCACATAACAATGCCTCTATCCCTGAAAACAATGGAAGTGCAGATTAAAGGGGACCAGTGAAATAAGAGGTTTAGAACGGTGCAGGTCTACTACCACAAAAAGGACAGAGAAAATATTTTAAATGGATATAACAAGTGACAATACAATATGTTCCGAGTGTAACCAGATAGAAAGGAGCGGAACATCTTGCACTTTCCACATTGGCTTCCCGGCGCTCGCTAATTTTTCCTTGGCCTCCCCCCTTTTGCCCTTTTGACTGCGAAATACTATAGAGTGTTGTTGTTTCTCCCACTTTCCGCCCTTTTTGAGAACTTCTACCTCCCGCTCTTTCTTTCCTCTCCTCCCCGCTCGTTCCCTTCCCTCCCCCTATTCTCTCGGGCTCCCAATTTCCTGTCCTCCCCCATTTAAGAACATGGCTGACAGGTTGAAATGGGAAATACCGATAATAACCCTAGCTAGTAGCCTCCCACGCAGACGTTCTTAAGTCTTCGTCACGCGTTCCTTCCTCAAGTTCGTTGGGGAGGATTGCGTGACGAGTCAACAAAACATCTGTGTGGGCGGTTACCCAGCGAAAGGTCAGAGAGGGATTCGAACCCGGGCGACCAAATTAAAATCCAGAGTTCCAAACCCACTGAGTCATGTTGCCTCTCTCCCTCTTTGGAAACTACCATTCGAGAGTCTACAAATCTAGTATTACATATTAAAAAACCGTTTTAGTTATGAATATTAAGCAATATGTAATTTAGAGTTAAAGATATCCTACAATTCCTTTATTCAGAATAACTTCTCACTCACTCAGTTTTGCGAGCGCTTATGGAACAAGTTGATTTCTTCGGTGCTTGGCAAGTAACTTTAAAAAGTAATGGTCCTGATAAGAAGGAAAGAACCAAACGCAATGAAAACGTCGGAATGCAAAAAAGTGCTAACTTTACTATTGTCTCTACTACACTTATGATTGGTTTGAACATATATAAATCCCTTGTTTTCTGACCAACTTCGTTACAACAAAATCTCTTCTGAATCTAAGTGACACAGAAATCCTATGTAAGGAACATGTAAAATTGTAAACTTTGTTGGATATTGTTTTCAACTCTTATGATTGGTTGAAATCTTTTAACACGAAAAAACACCCTTTGTGTAAAAATGAAAACATTCCTATGTGACGGGAAAGCGTATTGCGCCATAACAAAAAAAAAAAAGCTATCCACTCGATAAATCTCTATCCATATAAATCCTTGGTTTTCCTAATACTTTAACATCTGCGGGATAGTAGTAATAATAATAATAATAATAATAATAATAATAGTAATAATACTTTATTTAGCGCCATTTCTAGTGACGCCCGGCAACAGCGCTTCACAATAAATGGTTAACGTATTACAAACACTGTTCATAAGAGTGTTACATTGTGAAATTACATTACATTGAAACGAATCAAAACGAAATAAAGTATAACAAAACTAAAACTAACTGATTATCCTTCATGTTAGCAACGGAAAATTTTTTATGTCTTTGAAGCACAATAGTTCGGAAGGCTTCATCGGCGTACGATAATTCTTTTTAGCTTTAAAAAGGGACCAAATATAACTCTGTACGTTGAAACCCAAAACCATATAAACTCTTTAAAATATTTTTCTGTTAAACTGTAAAATTCGTCATGCATCAACTACTTGGAAGGAACTAGTTCGAAAATCACTATGTTTGCCCATTTTCAGGAGGATCACAGAAATCGTGAAAAAAGTAAGAGTTTATATGATTTTTGGGGACGCTGTCACAAAATTACAGACGTTTGTATGGATCTTTAACAATGTTTCACGACTCTTAACTTGATCCCTGTTCAACCTTAGATAACTTAGTCAAATAATCAAAATCAACATGACCTTTTATATGGTGCTGTCAGTTTATCGATTGGTTTAAATTTGAAACTCGCCCGAGTTCCCTACGCAACTCCGAAATTGCCAATCACTAGCTGTACTATTATTTCTAAATTCGAATAAAGTTGATGAGGGCTGGATAAGCATTTCTATGAAAACTAGACAAACTATAGCCTGCGCCACAGACGGAACTAAACTTCTGGTTGAGCGTGTCTGCGAAAGGATGTTGTGGCTCAATTTTATCCTTGCTTTCATTTTTATTTTTTATAGTCTTTGGGTATGGTAATGTATGATAAAGAGTTTGAAACAAAAGAAAATAAATTTTAAACCAAGAATAAAATTGAACCACAACATAAATGTCGTATTTAGTTGTAACGATTCCATTTTTGAATCTTTTCTAGGGCCTTGGTGCTTATAGTATCAGCAAGACAGCTCTGCTGGGTTTGACGAAGGTCTTAGCAATTGAATGTGCTCAGATGGGTGTGAGAGTTAACTGTGTTGCTCCTGGGATTATAAAAACAAGATTTAGTGAAGCGGTCAGTGGAAATTTTAATTATTTTGTTAATGTACTGCCAAATAAGATTATCATTCGAGTTATTCGAAATTGGATTGGAAAGTTTAGGGATCATCATGATTACATTTTCGTCTCTAGAACCACTCGACCAAAAGAAACGACAGGCTGTAGTGGGAGTTTGGGATCATTACGTCAGCTGCAGTTACCTGGCTATGAACAATGGTCTGCTCATGCGCAGACGATGCGTTGCTTGTGCGCAGTGTGGTCCCTGTCTTCGTTGGATTGCCCTTAAAGAAAACATACATTGTACTCATCTTATGTCTTGGCTAAGATTTTGAAAATCAGTGAAACCAACAGATTGAGATTAGTTAGTTATCTGCTAGCAGATTAGTGACTAATCTGAAGGTTGCGCGTACAATGCTTGATTTCCAATGTCAAACTGTGTTCCATGCGATACTGTGTTGGTCGTTATTTTCTTCAAAACAATGTGTAATAAAACAGTTATTAGACTCAGTTTTTGTGATATCTGAAATAATCAAGGCCCGTGGTAAGAGTGTTATCAGCCTCGGCCTTCGGCTTGCCTGGTAACGCTTACCCAGACCTTTATTAGTGCGGATATCACAAAAACTTCATCAATAATTGTTTATTAAATTTTTTAATTGTGGAATTATAAACACAATGATAACATGTACAACTCCAGTTTGTGTTCTTTCGTTATAATGTAATAGCTAATTCAGGATATTTCTAATTCATTTCAGATTTGGAAAAATGAAGCATTAATGAAAAATACGCTTAATCAAATTCCCATTTCAAGGTAAGCGATCGGTGACAAAGCAAACTTTAGTTCGTTTGTTTTTTATATTTCCCGGCTTAGATTACGTTAAGCAATGACTAGACTTTCTAATGTCGTAAGATAAGGACGAAGAACTATCTTAAAACGGTCTAAAAGTACTTGCACTGAATCTGTCCCGGTGTAACCTGTTTGAGGCTCCAATAATGAAGTGGTCGTTAAAACTCTGTGCGCAGTTCCCGCGCTTGAAAGTATTAGAAAACGTGTTTGGGGGAAAAATTTGCACGTTCGCAGTGAACGACTGATCAAATTTGTGAGCCAGATGTTTGCATAATTTCTAGCCGCCATATTTGTGCTCCTCAGAGGAGCACAAATATGGCGTCCCCATAGTGAGCCCTATAAATTTCTGTTACACATTTTGAAGAACAACTCAGCAGCGGCAAACTGCACAGACGTGAGACTTGGCCAGGTTGTTGACTTATCGATATTCTATAATTTCTGAAATCCTTGGCTTCAGACATTCCACGGTTTTGATTTTAGTTTTCGATGTCGTGACAGTGCAAACCACCAATACTGTTTCGTTTCGGATTTGCGTTTTTAAACTTCTTTCCCGGTAACATAATCTTGCATCACGTTTTTTTAGAGTCCAACGCTAGCGTTTTCGTAGGAATTTCCTGACCTTATCCTTACACATTTGCCGCTTTTCAAAGAAAAAAGGACAAATGCCCGTGAAGAGGGACGGGCACGCTTTGATTTGACATAGTCATCACTTCCTATGTTTATCAGTGTTGCATTTTTTTTAACTGATGGTTTGTTTGCATAGGTGCAGGCTTGTGAGTGTTACTTTTTGGCTAAGCGCAGAAGAAAGACCGCTGCCTCCTTAAATCTTGTTTGTTTTCAGGTTGGGTGTAGCGGATGATATCGGTGGAGCAGTTTCTTTTCTTTCGTCTGATCAGGCGTCTTACATCACAGGAGAAACTTTAGTGATAGCTGGTGGTCTACAATCAAGACTTTGAAAGAACTTACTATAAAAAGAAGCCGTTTTATGTGAAGTATAAAATTTTGTCAGACGTCTTTGTTATGTCGCTGATTTAAACGATGTTATTCATACCTAAGTGCCCACGGCAGCCCAACTTCCCTATGAAATTAGCGCATAAACCAGAAATAATTGCAGATATCGCGCTGCTGATGTCAGACGAAATTGCTTATCTTGAAGAAGTAAATGTAATACGTTATGTGCAGAATTTAACTAGTAGTAGAAAGCTTGCGGAAAGAGCTGCATCTTTTCAGAATATCTCAGGTGCAGGCGATACTTCAATTTGCACGTTGGTGTTTCATGCTGCATCACTGTAAACCACGGGCATAAACTTGCTGTGTTTTCTCAAGTCATCAGCACGACTCTGGAGATTCAGTTCGCAAACAAGTAAACTTTTGGCTGACTGTACTATTTTGCTTTTTGCACTTTTGTGGAATGGTATAATAAAGTCGAAGTTCTGCGTGTCGATTATTACCTATAAATCAGTCGGTGTAATGACCATTTAGAGTTTACCCTTATTGCGTTCATCACCAGACAAACAAGGAGTTATTGTGTAGCTAATAAGTTGAATGACTTAACTGACGTATTAAATTCGAGAGAGATACGGGTTACATACGAATCAATACGAGCAACACACGAATACATACGGTTACATGCGAATGTCATTTTCCTATTTCTCAATAGGCCATTTCCGAGTTCCAAAAACTCTCGCTTTCAGAACGAGGCTAAGTGCAAAACCTTTCTTTTGAAAATGAGTTTTATTTAATTTTCATGAGGTTGAAACATCATTTTCATATCAATGGCTTCGCGCTTAGCCTCGCTTTTTAACAAGGCCGCTTTCGCAGTCCAATCATTTTTTGAGCACATTAATAATAACTACTCCTGGTTAAAAAGTTGTTGGTGTTGGAACTCGCACAGTCCCATAGGCGTACGGGCCGGGGGGCGAGGGGGACTGCAGCCCCCCCAAATTTTGGGCAACTCAGATTTTTTGGGCAGCGAGAGAAAATTTGGGCAAAGCCAGTTTTTAAAGACGTCTCCATGTTTATTTAATTATTTTAAAGACCTGAATATTAACTTGAAGTCGGCGTAATAATCCAGTTACATTACAGTGGTTGCTTAGCATGTGATGAGTAATTTACATATTTGCAGTTTTTTGGGGGGGCACTATAGTGCACTGCACTAGCTGGAATGGGCTATTTCCAGTCGTGAATTGATCAAAATAAACTTTCGCATAACTTTCTAGAATCATCTCTACTCGAAGAACAGAGTATGGCAGATAGCATTTAGCAATGGGTATGAAAATGAAGAAGTGGCTGACTAATTCTCAGTTTGAATTACGAGAAGAAGTTTAATTCTTTTAAAAAATCTATCGAGCGGTTTAAAATTATTCGCTAATTTGTTAAAGTAGACCGAAATGTTTACAAAACCGCCAACAAGAGTGTCTCGATACATACTAATCAAATCCTTCGTTCGATTCTAGCAATCAAGCAGAGCTATCTCCACGATCTTTCACACGTCTCTAAAAAGATTAAAACTACTATGAGGTGAAATTGCAGGTCAAAAGCGCTTCCTTTTTTGCAGATAACGGCCAAAAATCAAGATTTTCCTGTTCTTACCGTATTTCTAATAATAAAAACTTCATTCCAAAATATCTCGATAACGCTCTTAAGGTTTTGAGAGGCGACCGTATTGGAGAAAAAAGCTCCTGTGAACGATTTTGTAAGGTTCCCGTGCCGGGAATCATTGCTGAAGTAAAATAGGTAATGGGCGGGGGGAGTCATTTCGTTGCTATGACAACTCCGATATCATTGCAACCCTGATGATGACAAATTTTCATCTTAATACAACTGTGGTCGCAATTTTTCCAAATGTTTGTTTATGGCGACGTAGTTTATGCTCAGACTTGGTATTGACCCTGAAAAACCGTATCGAGCCACCTTCATTTGCCAGGACGGCCTATGTTGTTGCAATATGGCCCTCATTTCTTTTCGACTCTTTCGGAAAAATTTGGGCAACTTGAGAGATTTTTTTGGGCAAATGGTTTACCGCCCCCCCTGGCAAAAAATTTCCCGTACGCCTATGCACAGTCCCTATTTAGACGATAAGATTTGAAATAGAAGTGACCTATATTTCTGGAGCCACTCAGTTGAAAGCCACTTTAGTAATCAGGAAGAATTAAACCGCTTCGAATTGGTTCAACAAGTGAAGAAACAAAAACACAAAAGCGTTGATATTTTTATTTCGAAATTTTTAAGACTTTAAACTGGGCATTGCAGAAAAACAGTAATATTCTCTTAACTCTGCACTGTTTGCGTTAATGCCTCATGTACACCTTGTTTTTGCAATATCTTTTGTTCTTTGAACGAACTGCATGTCTTTCTTTAGCCGATTTCCAAAACTACCAAAGTAAATGTGACTTCTGTCGTTTGGGAGAAATGGGAACGAATTAGTCAGAAATTAATGTTCTGACGGCGTAGTTTAGAGGCGCGCGGGGGCTCATGGAATAGTTTCAGACTCTATGGTTTTAGCGCGAGACTTGTGCCATTCTACGTCAGCTCAGCCGTTGTGTTCGTCTTCGTTTTGTTTTGCAAAGTTTCTTTTCCAATGGTTTATTTTCTTTCGGTTCGAATCTGATGTAGAAAGATTACTTTTACAAAAAAGGCCCCGTCCACTCGTATTATCCGTTTTTGTTGGGAAACGGAGGGTTTTTTCTCCGGTTTGGCCTACCGTTCACACGTATTCGGTGAAAACGGTCACCTAAAACGCATCATTTCTAAAACAGTCTCCAGAGTGAAACGTTTTGAAAACGCTGGCCACTTGTTTACGTGTGGACGGACGAAAACGGAGGTTTCAGAATACGATGATGTAATACATCATTTACCACTAGCATAACGCATGCTCTGTAAGGGATACTATCGTACTTCCATTGTTTAGCGTTTTCGTGTGGACGGCCGAAAACGATTCGAATACGTTACTTGTGGAGGCGTATTTTTTTGGAAAACGGAGGAAAAACTCTCCGTTTTCAAAAATATCCAGATACATGTTGAGGGGGCCTAAAACTCCTGAACCTGCAAATTTTCGAGAAGCTTATTCATAACACGTACAAAGAGCAAAAGATCACGCAAAAACCCAGTCTTGCATGGAACACTACCCACACGGAAGTTTCGAGAAGAATAACCTATTTTCTGCACAAATAAGCTTATTCTTGGGTGGGTAACTTTGGTGGAGGATTAATCATTGATGAAACACCACAATAGTAATAATTAATTTTGATAACAACGGGGCCTCATATACTAGTTTTTTGCCCTCCTCTCTTCACATTAAACCACAGTGTCCCACGCTTCTATGTCACAGGGCAAAACGCCACGCATGAGCATGAGCTGACTCACCTTCAGTTATTTAGAAAAGACATGCCCTCTATCTGTAGGTAATTTTGTTTGTATGGTTTCAGACTTAAAGTAAGTCATTTTGAAAATTGTTAAAAAAATGAAAAAAGAGATTTTTTGTTATGAACCTGTATGTATCCCTGCGTAACTCAAGTCATGGTCTGCTGTCAGCAAACAATGTTCTGTTCTTGGAATCGGTTCAACTAATAAATCTGACCCATGATGGCTTCTTGTTATCTTGTTTGGTTCTTTTGTGGAACGCGAAGTTGTCCTTTTTCAAGAATCTTTTTGGGAAGGAGGCTTATTTTTGAAGAACTAAGGAAGCCGATAAAAAAGGAGGGCGCACTCGACTTTAAAGTGTTTCGATCATTTGTCATTTGTCATTTTAATTATTTAAAGGAACTTTTGATCGTGAAGCGTTGTGCCTCTCTTGTGAGTCTATATTCGCTCGCACCGACGCGGAGAATGGGAGAATTCAAGACAGTTATGCAAATCCTCAACGACTTTGTCTAGGGGTTTTCTTGACTGTTTCGAGTTCTCCCAACACCCTCTCCGCTTGGTAACAGGCTATACACGAGAAACGTTTTCTGTTGCTTTTATAAAACACAAAAGCTACAAATATCACACAGCTATATTTGGCACAGCAAAATATGGCGCAAGTTTCCTTAAGTTCTTAATGTTTTACGGTCGCGGAAATGTCCACCTAGCTCTTGAGACAGTTAAAAACGCACGGCGAAATCCGTCTAACAGTATTTCTACTTAAATACATAAAACCTAAGAAACATAACATAACTTCATCGTAATTAGTAATCACGCTTTTTATAGATCATCCGAAGTATAACCCCTAAAAAGGCATTCTAAACAAATAGTAAAAAACTGCAAAATGAAAAATCGAATTTTCTTGCTTGGAACGCCCCAAAACCAACTCGAGCAAGAAGCGCACAAATAACGACAAAAAATATGTAACAAAATAATTAGCAACAATTGATTTAACGTTGAAATCTTAAATACTCGTGACAAAAACTTTTTAACTCTATGGTTAATCTATTCATTCTCATTTTGATACATAGCGAGAAACAAACTGCGTGGTAAAAATATCCTCCGCGTATTCGAAGAAACTTTTGTGGTATAGACCTAATGTTTATACCAGTATCTATCCTGCTCATAGCATTTATGACGTTGCTAAATGACGTTTGGATTAAAAAATAAAACTTATTATGCGATGTTCCATACGAAAAGAAAAAGCGATGTTTGTACGAAAGAAAAACAATGTCAAGATTCATTCGGAGCCTGACTGTGTTTCTTTGAGGCGTTCGTCTTCTTGGTGTTGCTTTAACTCATCCTTGAGATCAGCAGCCGTGATCTTCTGTGTGCATTCTATGCACTGCTGAATGGCTTCCCGGCGCTGATCCCGTTCCTTCTTCATTTGTTCTAAGTGCATCATTTTTTCTCTGTGTGCCCTTTCAACAGCGTTTTTGTATCCCGCCTTATCACCAGTTTCCTTTAACTTTTCGGCTGCCTCTTCGAATCCTTTGATAAGTGCTAATTCTACAGCGCCTGTCACACCCTCGAAGACGCCAGTGATTGAATCTGCTACCGAACGCAAAGTACTCTGTTGTGTTTCATGCATTTGTATTATACTGTCATGTTCTTCCTGTGCTTTTTCTTCTCTGGCTTGAGCCTGCTTGTACAGTTCTTTGGCTTCCTCTTCAGCTTTTCGTGCAATTTCCTTCAGCTCCTCCGCTTTCGTTTTCTTTTTTTCGAATTCCTCTCGTTCTTCGTCAAGAATTTTCTTCATCTTTTCCTGGTCACCTTTTGCAGTCTGTGTATCTTCTAAGGCGCTAATCACATCGTCCTTTGCCTGGTCAAAATCGTTCCTTAATTCTTCTGCGGCCTCCGCCAAGCCTGCTGCCTTGTCAGCCATCATCGAGAGGCTAATCACCGCCGCATTTTCCAGTCCTTCTAGCAAAAACTGATAGGTAGTCTGCAGTTCCTCTAGGACGTCTTGCGATTTTTCTTTGAACTGGTAAACTGTAGTAGCTGATTTGTCTGCCGTGATCTTATAGCCGACCCTCTGTACTTTAATTTGTAACTCGGTGTGCCCTTCCACACCATTGTAGGCCAAACGCATAAACTTGCCGAGTTTTCCCAGGCCATCAGCAAGATTGTGAAGATCTAGTTGCTCAAGAAATTCACGTTTGGCTGACTGCACCATTCTGCTTTCTGCACTTGGTATGGAAATGAGAGCGAACGTTTCTCCATCGATTTTTACGCATGAATCAGATTTTGATAAAGCCATGGAGTTTCGTCTTAAGTTTCACAGCTTTTATCACGAGATAAGCAGGCCGTTGGAAGCTTTTGTGTAACTGATGAGTTGAAACTCCGTTTTCAAGTTCTGTCTCTTCTCTTCTGAAATTTTATAGTACTTATAAATCTGACCAATGATCTCTTCTTGTTACCATATTTGGTCGTTTAGTGGCAACCAAAGTTACATGACATTTATAGTTATTTTTCCAACAAACTCTTTAGTAAGGGAGTTTTTTGTGAAAAGTAAGGAAGCCAATAAAAGAGCAGGACGCACTCCATTTTGAAATTTGCTCATAGGTAATTGTGGATAGCTCAAGAGGCACAATTGCAGCCCGTTCATCGATCTCTAGAGAGTCCATAAGCGCCCTCTCCGCCGGCGGGCTGAGTGAGGTGCGGGACTGCGAAAAATTAACTGATGCATGTCCAGTAGGACAAGGCATATAACAAATGAGCTGTACAACTTGTTATTCTTTTGTTATTTAATGAGATGCAAATGAGCATGAGGTGTTTTTCTGGAATGCGGCACCTTAGTGGGCGTTCTTTGCGTGTTAAGCTTAATTTCAGCATTCTTTTCTAGGAAATAAGGCGCATTTGGCCCAGCAAGTTATGACACTAGTTTCTTTAAGTTTTAAATTTTTTAGGGACTTGGAAACAGCCCTTGAGGCAGTTAAGAACAGTGATGCCCGTCTTTCAGCGTTTCTTCTTAAATCCATAAAACAAGGTGGATCGCTGTTAAAACAGCACACTGCACTCCTCCGTGATCAGCTAAAAGAATCCGAGAAAGAGTATCAACAGAAGGTAGAAATCCTTACCAGACATATGAACGAATTGTACAAGCAGGAGGAGGATATAAAAAAGAAAAAAGAAAAACTGGAAACAAAGAAACACTTGTTGGTCAATGAAAGGGAATTGTGCAGTCGAAAGAAGGAGGATGCAAGGAGGAGATATCAAGAGGCGCAGAAAGAGATGAAGGAAGCTGAGAGCAAAATGAAGGAATTTCATGATTATTGGTGGGTGCCCGTTTATGGCACCTACCTTGTTCTTCGAGAAGTTTTTGATTCCAACACGACAAAGTACCTTAACGCGTACAAAGAGATGCAAGGATATGCAAGAGACATGGAGAGAGCCGAGACAGACATCGCATGGGTGAACTCTGCCATTTGGGAGGTACGGTTGTAATTTTGTATTTTACATGTGTGGTGTTTACTCTCGTATCCCCTGCATGTCAATTTGTGGCTCTTTTTTGCCCTATCAATATGAACTAAAAAGTTGAGGAATATATTTTACCTATAAAAGAGCTTTTCTCAAAGTCCTTATGCCTAATAGTTCCTCCTTTTATCCACATTCCTATTGCGATAACTAGGCATATCTCACAGCGTTTTAAACCACGCTCTTTACAGCTGAAACTCAATGCGATAAGCTCTCCTCCATAGCAGAGTATTTTGGTGCACCCAAACTATTTTACTAGTTGAGCATCAACATTGTTTTGGTGATGATACACAACTTTTTTACTCCAAGGATAATACTTTATCATAAGCTTCTCGTCATAAAGGAATGGTGGTAGTCTATTACATATTACAAGCCAACTGGAAACACTTTAAATTGCATCACAAGAGTAAAGGAAAGAAAAAACAAACATATAACGAATCGAGCACAATGTTGTAAACTTTTGGATTTGGCACTGCCACGGATCTAACTGGCGTAGACATTATACATAACTACTAAGTGTATACCAGAACAGAAAAAAATTGTGTCATGGAAACAAGAAAACGTAATAGAAAATAGTATGTCTAAAGATATATGGGTATGTAAAGTCCATATACTACACAAACATACAAACAAATTACTCTTCAGAGTAATTTTAGAAGAGACCGTTCGGGAAGTAGCCATTATGTTTCTAGAGGTATACGCACATTTCTGAGAAATCAGAGAAACCGTTTGGCGGCTCAGGCTTGCAAACGTTGAGAGAGAAGCAACACTCAGCAATACGTCTACATTTGCAGGCCAAAAATTATTCAAGTCTCTCCTTGGCCCTAGTTTCCACATTCCTTTGGTCAAATTTGCACTCATGAGTTTTGGTGACTGGGGCGATTGAGACCAATGATCCAATTAGGTATGGGACGATGTTACTTGTCTTTTGGTGCCAATGGTATGATTTGTATTTATGTTGAAATGAATGTCAGTCTATTTTTCTATCGGTAAAATGTGTGAAATGGGGCGTATGGCGGAGTAACTTCTCTTGTGCCTGGTTGGCGATAGCGGAATTCCAGTGGTCCATTGTTATCAATATATGGTATGATTGGCACCAGTAGAAATGGCTGTGAGAATGTTGGTGAAATGCATCTCTGAAAAGAAACGTCAAAAGAGTAATTTCTTATTGTACCTGGCTAAGTATAAAAGGAAGTTCAAATGGTCCATTGGTACACCCCCTTGAACGATTGGTTCCAGAAGAAATGAAGGTCATGTCTATTTCGTCAATTGGCGAAATTCATTTCGTTATGTCATTTAGGTATGTAATAGGTATGTTATATCAGTTGGGTATAGCCGGCTAACCGTATAGGGAGATTCTGGTGGGCCATTAGAACCAACTGTAGAAGGCGATTCTCTCGAGAGCTTTGACCCAACTGGGCAAGGAGACGGCTGAAATTCAAGCTTTAATGAACAGTATAACGGGATGAATTAAATAATGTCCCTCCCCCCCACCACCACCACCCGATTTAAATGATGTAAGCTCTTTTTCTTTGTTTTGTTACCGACCGTTTCTGGTTTTCTAGCATGGCGTTTTTGTAACACGTGACTCATCAAAGGGTTACATATCTTTGTTGATCGTGGTTTTTTTTGAAGATGTTATTAATAAAATCACTAGGGCAACTTTGTTGTCATCGATAACAGTCTATTTCGGTTCAACAAAAATGTTATCGTGATTTAACTGGCGATTTAATTGGTTACTGTTTTCCTGACTCAAGAACCAGTGTTGCTTTGTAGTTTGTTCTCACTATCAGCTTACTAACTCATCATTCGCTTTTTTTTGTCGCCATTGTTGTTATGTTGCTTTTCATAAAGTTATAGAATATCCCGTTAGCTTTCAGGTGGAGAGGGAGCAAAATAAGATTTTAAGAAAAGTGGAAGACCTAAAAAGGCAGAGAGATGCATGCAATGAAAAACTAGGAGACATCAAAACCTTAACTTCATTTGTTATGCAAGCTGTTCGATCCTGGGATGAGGTATAGGTATACTTACCAATGCAGCAACAATAAAAACTGAACAGCTTCAAATTTTAATGGATCTGGTTGCCGAGGAAAACACTGATGGGATTCTCAGCAGCAAGGGTCTACAGACCAAGATAACGTCATTCGAAAAACGCTGGATGAAAGTGGCAGAGATGATTACTTCAGAAAAGAACAACCTGACTATAAATAGTTTGCTGGTCACAAAAACAGATATGTCACTTAAACATTGACAGGGGTACAGTCTCATTCTCGAGGAATCAGCATCCTCAGGGAAGGTCCGTCCTTGTCGTAAAATTTTCCAGCAAAACGAAACATTGACCTCTAAAACAACAAGTCATGGCTTATCCAAAGTGAAGAAATATTTCGAGGCGTGGCTAAGGAAGATTTTAAAGTCAAGTCTAGTGTGCCTTTGCCGACCTGTTATATCAAGGAAACCACCTTGGACAGATTCTCTTTAAGTACATATTTGGGGCATAGCTATATTTGTAGGTTAATACGCACGTGCGTACCTATAAACAAAGGCAAAAAAAAAGAAATAGATAGACAAATGAAAGGAAATAAAAAGAAGGGAACCAAAATGATGAAGTGTTTTCCCTGATCTTGCTAGCAGAACGTGGTCCTACGACCAGGAGAGATTAATTTGTTTACCTCAACGCACTCCGAGAAATAGGAATTTTTTTAATTGATATTCTTCCTCGGGGAAACTATTTGGGGTTTGATTCACTGTGTGTAACTCAGAAAAATTCGTAGCTACGCCCCCTGTATATTGATAACCAGTACTCGCATCTTAAGTAGCTGTTGATACTACAACTATGACTATCAAGTACATGCCAGGCATTTGGTGATAAAATCTTGTTTTTCAGCCGACCCGTATGAAGAATGTTGGCTATTACCCGTATGTTCATTCCCTGTTAATACGTAAGTTAATGCGAAATGCCACACCATATTTGGGTGAAAGTTGGGCTGGTAACTTTATCAGGATAATCCAGGTCGTCTTTAGAAGTTAGTCGCTGACCAGTTGACAGTTTTCTTTTGGAGTTGCAGGCTCAATTTTTAGTTTTTGTCTGGTATTTAGGTCCTTTGTTTATTTACAGTACTTAAATTACTGATTTCCAATAAGTTAATTCCACTATATTTTCTCACTTTGCAATGGTTTCAAAATTATTTAAAGTAAATTGCAGGAGCTCCACTTTTAGATGTGAGATCCTTTGAAGTTGTAGTTTTTTTTACTGCAGTCTTGTAAATCAAGTGCCATCCTAATGAGTTTATTGTACGTAAGCTCTTTGGTGTTACATGTTTAAATGAACTACTTACCACTTACTTAATTAGATCTACATTGTACTTACATATATAAGGTTTTTGAAAGAAATCGAATGAGTCCAGTAGAGCAAAATGAATAGCCTTTTTTTTTTACAAACTCTCTAATGGTAGACCATTTTACAGTAATTCTTGTGTGCTGAGTATCCTGGCCTTGAGTGGAATTGAGGCTGAAGGTGACCTCATTCTAAGAGAAACCTCTCTTCTTTTCAAATGTAAATAATGTTCAAATGCACATAAGTGGCACTGAGGGTTCTGTGAACAGAGGCACCCACATCCTTGATTCCTGCACTCTAATGTTAAGGTCCTTAGCATGCAACAGTAAAATGCATGGCTTAATGAAATCAGACACAAAATAATCTTGAGTTTGTAACAGAAATGAACAAATATTTTTATGAGAAACATGACTCAAGAACACAGAAATCCTCAACAGAAAAGATATCTTTTCTGATATGTCCTACGCAGATTACCTAATACAGTGGACCCCTCAACATGAGCACCTTTTTAAAGCGACTACCCTGTTGTTGCAGCCATTTTCCTTCTGATACAAAGTTCCAGTCATTTTCTTCTGAGACCAACCCTTTACATGGACAGACTATCTTTTGTAGCCCTAAGGTGTTACACCAGCACGTATTTTATGAGTGTAAGACATGGTTGCATATGTTGTAGTTTAAATTTTTTATCTCAGATAATTTTAGTTTTTCTTTTGTTTTTAGGTATCGTGATGTATGCTAATGAAGTTGAAACAAAAGAAAAAATATAATAAAAAATACCTGAGATAAAAAACATTAACTGCAACACATACACCCAGCAAGTGTGAAATCTAAGACATGGTCTAAAGTCCTGACCATGGTGGGTGTTTTGGGCAGAGGGAGTTGGATGGAGATCATTCCATCCAGAGAACATGACCGAAGATCTTGCATCCATGCTCTGTAGTGACATTAAGGACCAATTTATATGAAAAAATTTTGTCACATGGGATGTGCTTACAATGAGTAACATCTACAATCGACTTGATTATCATAGGTTTGATTTACATTTTGCAGTTTGGGTTGTAGATTTATCATAAGCTCCCTGTATGCAACTTAAGGATAAATTGGCTTTATCACAGACTGAACTGGAAAAACCTGCTTGAGATGGTATAGCCTGGGGGTAAGCTGTGATTGCCACCCACAGAGCAAGGCCACTGTGACTGGCAGATGAACAAAACAGTGTGGCATACATTTTAGCATTTCAGACATTTGTGAGGTACCATGTGTGTCAAGGTAAAACTGTCATTTCAATTGATGGTAATTTATTTTTAAGGAAAAATAACATTTTACTTGTAACCCTCGGAAGCACAGGCGGGGAGGGGTGGATGCCACCCCCATAAGGTTTTAGAGTTTCTTCCTAGAGGATAAAACATCAGCACTTAACGTTTTCAGTGGCTGCTCGTTCACCCCTCGCACACATTTTGAGACAAGTTCAGTGATGGTCAGTTCCTATGGCTATGATATATGACCTCATAAGAAGCAGGTGATCATGCCATTCTTGGGTGAAAATACATGTTTTTTAACTTCTTTCAACAATAAAAGTAAATCTTGTGGCTAAAATTATGGAAAGTGCTTATTTATGTGTAATGTTTCATGTAAAGCACAAAAAATTACTATTTCTCGTGGTTTTAATGTGATTTCTAATTCTTGGTAAACTCCAAGATGGCGACCATTGTTGGTGACATCACAGGCCTCCAGCAGCACCAACACCCATAAAATATACCTCATCTTGTTAAGAAGATGAAAGGCTTTCAACTTAAGGTAAAATCGTTTCAAAATACAGCAACATATCAAAAACTCTGGGGAGGGGTTCAATCAACCACCCCCCAACCTCCCTTGTACCACGGTGAGGGTATGAATTTACGTATACGTCCGAGGGTTAAGTGGCATGTTATTTGGACTTCAAAATGAAATAATAATAATGATCTGGTCGCTTGGAAACTGGCATTTCCCTCAAAACAAGAATAACATTTAGATTTAGATTTTAGAACATTGGTTTATTTTTCTACAAAGACTTCTATGCATCATCTTCACTCTTTTGTTATTATCAAAGTTGTTTCAAGAGCAGTTTTTAACACATAAAAAAATGTATAATAAAGCAGGTTGACGCATGAGGCTGTCATCCAACCATGGTTGGTCGTATTATCCGTCTTTGTTGGGAAACGGAGGGTTTTTTCTCCGGTTTGGCCTACCGTTCACACAGTATTTGGTGAAAACGGTCACCAAAAACGCATCATTTCTAAAACAGTGTCCAGCATGAAACGTTTTGAAAACGCTAGCCACTTGTTTTCGTGTGGACGGACGAAAACGGAGGTTTCAGAATACGATGATGTAATACTTCATTTACCACTAGCACAAGGCATGCTCTGTGAGGGATACTGTCGTACTTTCATTATTTAGCGTTTTCGTGTGGACGGCCGAAAACGATTCGAATACGTTACTTGTGGAGGCGTATTTTTTGGAAAACGGAGGAAAAAACTCTCCGTTTTCAAAAACATCCAGATACGTGTGGAGGGGGCCTAAAACTCCTGAACCTGCAAGTGTTCGCATGCAAATTTTCGAGAAGCTTATTCATAACACGTACAAAGAGCCAAAGGTCACGCAAAAGCCCAGTCTTGCATGGAACACTACCCACATGGAAGTTTCGAGAATAATATCCTATTTTCTGCACAAATAAGCTTATTCTTGGGTGGGTAACTTTGGTGGTGGATTAATCATTGATGAAACACCATAATAGTAATAATTTAATTTTGATCAGAACGGGGCCTCATATACTCGTTTTTTGCCCTCCTCTCTTTACATTAAACCACAGTTTCCCACGCTTCTGTGTCACAGGGCAAAACTCCACGCATGAGTTGACTCATCTTCAGTTATTTAGAAAAGGCATGCCCTCTATCTGTAGGTAATTTTGTTTGTATGGTTTCAGACTTAAAGTAAGTCATTTTGAAAATTGTTAAAAAAATGAAAAAAGAGATTTTTTGTTATGAACCTGTATGTATCCCTTCGTAACTCAAGTCATGGTCTGCTGTCAGCAAACAATGTTCTGTTCTTGGAATCGGTTCAACTAATAAATCTGACCCATGATGGCTTCTTGTTTGTTATCTTTTTTGGTTCTTTTGTGGACCGCAAAGTTGTCCTTTTCCAAGAATCTTTTTGGGAAGGAATCTTATTTTTGAAGAACTAAGGAAGCCGATAAAAAAGGAGAACGCACTCGACTTTAAAGTGTTTCGATCATTTGACGTTTTAATTAATTAAAGGAACATTTGATCCTGAAGCGTTGCGCCTCTTGTGAGTCTATATTCGCTCGCACCGACGCGGAGAATGGGAGAATTCAAGACAGTTATGCAAATCCTCAATGACTTTGTCTAGGGGTTTTCTTGACTGTTTCGAGTTCTCCCAACACCCTCTCCGCTTGGTAACAGGCTATGCTTTTATAAAACACAAAAGCTACAAATATCACATTTGTGTTATATTCAGCCTTCTTTATAAAAAAAAGCGATATTTGACACAGCAAAATATGGCGCAAGTTTCCTTAAATTCTTAATGCTTTACGGTCGCGGAAATGTCCACCTAGCTCTTGAGACAGTTAAAAACGCACGGCGAAATCCGTCTAACAGTATTTCTACTTAAATACATAAAACCTAAGAAACATAACATAACTTCATCGTAATTAGTAATCACGCTTTTTATGGATCATCCGAAGTATAACCCCTAAAAAGGCATTCTAAACAAATAGTAAAAAACTGCAAAATGAAAAATCGAATTTTCTTGCTTGGAACGCCCCAAAACCAACTCGAGCAAGAAGCGCACAAATAACGACAAAAAATATGTAACAAAATAATTAGCAACAATTGATTTAACGTTGAAATCTTAAATACTCGTGACAAAAACTTTTTAACCCTACGGTTAATCTGTTGATTCTCATTTTGATACACAGCGAGAAACAAACTGCGTGGTAAAAATATCCTCCGCGTATTCGAAGAAACTTTTGTGGCATAGACCTAATGTTTATACCAGTATCTATCCTGCTCATAGCATTTATGCCGTTGCTAAATGACGTTTGGATTAAAAAATAAAACTTATTATGCGATGTTCCATCACTGCTTTCATACGAAAGAAAAACAATGTCAAGGTTCATTCGGAGCCTGACTGTGTTTCTTTGAGGCGTTCGTCTTCTTGATATTGCTTTAAGTCATCCTTGAGATCAGCAGCCATTTGACGTACATTACTCTTTGCCTGTTCAGGGGTTGGGTTCTCTTTTAGGTATTTGTACAATTCCTTTGAGGTGTTCTGTATCTGTAACTTGTACACACTGGACAAATTGTCAAGAAGAACCCACCTTGTATAGTAACGCAGGGCGTTCTTCTTGAACGCCGCCGATGTCCACGTTTGTAGTCGTAGTTCTTTGGGCATTTCAATCATCTTTTCCACTTTGTCTTTAATTTCTCCACGAGCTAACTGCTTGCACTGTATCTGCATCATCTCCCAGAATCTGGACGCTTGCATCATGGTAGCGGAGAGACATTTGAGTGCACCAACAGAGTTGTGCAAGGCGTCAATGGCTACTTCTGCCAAATCGCTGTCATTTTGGCAACTAATGATCTTCTGTGTACATTCTATGCATTGCTGAATGGCTTCCCGGCGCTGATCCCGTTCCTTCTTCATTTGTTCAAAGTACATCATTTTTTCTCTGTGTGCCCTTTCAATAGCTTTTTTGTATCCCGCCTTATCACCAATTTCCTTTAACTTTTCGGCTGCCTCTTCGAGTCCTTTAATCAATGCTAATCCCACGGCGCTTGTCACACCCTCGAAGACGCCAGTGATCGAATCTGCTACCGAACGCAATGTACTCTTTAGTATCTCCTGCTTTTGTATACTGTCATGTACTTCCTGTGCTTTTTCTTCTCTGGCTTGAGCCTGCTTGTACAGTTCTTCGGCTTCCTCTTCAGCCTTTTGTGCAATTTCCTTCAGCTCCTCCGCTTGCTTTTTCTTTTTTTCGAATTCCTCTCGTTCTTCGTCAAGACTTTTCTTCATCTTTTCCTGATCACCTTTTGCAGTTTGTGTATCTTCTAAGGCGCTAATGACGTCGTCCTTTGCCTGGTCAAAATCGTTCCTTAATTCTTCTGCGGCCTCCGCCATGCCTGCTGCCTTGTCAGCCATCATCGAGAGGCTAATCACCGCCGCATTTTCCAGTCCTTCTAACAAAAACTGATAGGTGGTCTGCAGTTCTTCTAGGACGTCTTGCGATGTTTCTTTGAACTGGTAAACTGTAGTAGCTGATTTGTCTGCCAGTTTCGTGATCTTGTAGCCGACCCTCTGTACTTTAATTTGTAACTCGGTGTGCCCCGCCACACCATTGTAGGCCAAACGCATAAACTTGCCGAGTTTTCCCAGGTCATCAGCAAGACTGTGAAGATCTAGTTGCTCAAGAAATTCACGTTTGGCTGACTGCACCATTCTGCTTTCTGCACTTGGTATGGAGATGAGATCGAACGTTTCTCCATCGATTTTTACGCATGAATCAGGTTTTGATAAAGCCATTGAGTTTCGTCTTAAGTTTCACAGCTTTTATCACGAGATAAGCAGGCCGGTGGAAGCTTTTGTGTAAATGATGGGCTGAATCCCGCGATAAACTCCGTTTTCAAGTTATGCAGCTGTCAGCAAACAATGGGTTCTGTCTCTTCTCTTCTGAAATTTTATAGTACTTATAAATCTGACCAATGATCTCTTCTTGTTACCATATTTGGTTGTTTAGTGGCAACCAAAGTTACATGACATTTATATTTAGTTTTCCAAGAAACTCTTTAGTAAGAAAGTTTTTTGTGAAAAGTAAGGAAGCCAGTAAAAGAGCAGGACGCCCTCCATTTTGAAATTTGCTTATACGCAGTTGTGGATAGCTAAAGAGGCACATTGGCAGCCCGTTCATCGATCTCGAGAGAGTCCATAAGCGCCCTCTCCGCCGGCGGGCTGAGTGAGGTGCCTGATTGCAAAAAATTAACTGATGCATGTCCAGTAGGACAAGGCATATAGCAAATGAGCTGTACAATTTGTTATTCTTTTGTTATTTATTGAGATGCAAATGAGCATGAGGTGTTTTCTGGAACGCTGCACCTTAGTGGGCGCTCTTTGCGTGTTTAGCTTAATTTCAGCATTCTTTTCTAGGAAATAAGGCGCATTTGGCGCAGCAAGTTATGGCACTAGTTTCTTTAAGTTTTAAATTTTTTAGGGACTTGGAAACAGCCCTTGAGGCAGTTAAGAACGGTGATGTCCGTCTTTCAGCGTTTCTTCTTAAATCCATAAAACAAGGTGGATCGCTGTTACAACAGCACATTGCACTCCTCCGTGATCAGCTAAAAGAATCCGAGAAAGAGTATCAACAGAAGGTAGAAATCCTTACCAGAGACATGAACGAATTGTACAAGCAGGAGGAGGATATAAAAAAGAAAAAAGAAAAACTGGAAACAAAGAAACACTTGTTGGCCAATGAAAGGGAATTGTGCAGTCGAAAGAAGGAGGATGCAAGGAGGAGATATCAAGAGGCGCAGAAAGAGATGAAGGAAGCTGAAAGCAAAATGAAGGAATATCATGATTATTGGTGGGTGCCCGTTTATGGCACCTACCTTGTTCTTCGAGAAGTTTTTGATTCCAACACGACAAAGAACCTTAACGCGTACAAAGAGATGCAAGGATATGCAAGAGACATGGAGAGAGCCGAGACAGACATCGCATGGGTGAACTCTGCCATTTGGGAGGTACGGTTGTAATTTTGTATTTTACATGTGTGGTGTTTACTCTCGTATCCCCTGCATGTCAATTTGTGGCTCTTTTTTGCTCTATCAGTATGAACTAAAATGTTGAGGAATATGTTTTACCTATGAACGAGCTTTTCCCAAAGTCCTTATGCCTAACAGTTCCTCCTTTTATCCACATTCCTATTGCGATAACTAGGCATATCTCACAGCGTTTTAAGGAATATTTGCCTCAAAGACAAAATACAGTCGGTAGGTGCCGCGCTCTTTACAGTTGAAACTCAATGCGATAAGCTCTCCTCCATAGCAGAGTATTTTGATGCACCCAAACTATTTTACTAGTTGAGCATCAACATTGGTTTGGTGATGATACACAACTTTTTTACTCCAAGGATAATACTTTATCATAAGCTTCTCGTCATAAAGGAATGGTGGTAGTCTATTACATATTACAAGCCAACTGGGAAAACTTTAAATTGCATCACAAGAGTAAAGGAAAGAAAAAAAAAATAAACATATGACGAACCGAGCACAATGTTTCAGACTTTTGGATTTGGCATTGCCACGGATCTAACTGGTGTAGACATTTAATATACAAAACTACTTGGTGTATACTAGAACAGAAAAAATTGTGTCATGAAAACAAGATAACGTAATAGAAAATAGTATGTCTAAAGATATATGGGCTATGTAAAGTCCATATACTATACAAACATACAAACAAATTACTCTTCAGAGTAATTTTAGAAGATACCGTTCGGGAAGTAGCCATTATGTTTCTAGAGGTACGCACATTCCTCAGAAATCAGAGAAACCGTTTGGCGGCTCTAGTTTCCACATTCCTTTGGTCAAATTTGCACTCATGAGTTTTGGTGACTGGGGCGTTTGAGACCAATGATCCAATTTAAGGTATGGGACGATGTCACTTGTCTTTTGGCGCCAATGGTATCATTTGTATTTGTGTTGAAATGAATGTCAGTCTATTTTTCTATCGGTAAAATGTGTGAAATGGCGGGCCTATGGCGGAGTAACTTCTCTTGTGCCTGGTTGGGGATAGGGGAATTTATTCCAGTGGTCCATTGTTATCAATGGTACGATTGGTACCAGTAGAAATGGATGTGAGAATGTTGGTGAAATGCATCTCTGAAAAGAAACGTCAAAAGAGTAATTTCTTATTGTACCTGGCTATGTATAAAATGGAGTTCAAATGGTCCATTGGTACACCCGGCCCCCTTGAACGATTGGTTCCAGAAGAAATGAAGGTCATGTCTATTTCGTCAATTGGCGAAATTCATTTCGTCATGTACACTTAGGTTTGTAATTCCATGTTGCTCAGTTGGGTATAGCCGGCTAGCCGTATAGGGAGATTCTGGTGGGCCATTAGAACCAACTGTAGAAGGCGATTCAAGAGCTTTGACCCAACTGGGCAAGGAGACGGCTGAAATTCAAGCTTTAATGAACAGTAGAACGGGATAAATTAAATAATGCCCTTTCTAGGTGATGATGAAATAATGAAATAATTTTCGAGGTATTGGAATTATAACTCAACCTGTTAGTCATTTCCTCCCCCCCTAGCATAGCGTTTTTGTAACACGTGACTGATCAAAGGGTTACATATCTTTGTTGATCGTGGGTTTTTTTTGTTGTTTTTGAAGATGTTATAAATAAAAACACTAGGGAAACTTTGTTGTCATCGATAACAGTCTATTTAGGTTTGAAAAATGTTATCGTGATTTAACTGGCGATTTAATTGGTTACTGTTTTCCTGGCTCAAGAACCAATGTTGCATTGTAGTTTGTTCTCATTATCAGCTTACTAACTCATTCGCGTTTTTTTTTGTCGTCATTGTTGTTATGTTGCTTTTCATAAAGTTATAGAATATCCAGTTACCTTTCAGGTGGAGAGGGAGCAAAATAAGATTTTAAGAAAAGTGGAAGACCTAAAAAGGCAGAGAGATGCATGCCATGAAAAACTAGGAGACATCAAGACCTCAACTTCATTTGTTATTCAAACTGTTCGATCCTGCGATGAGGTAGGCATGCTTACCAATGCAGCAACAATAAAAACTGAACAGCTTCAAATTTTAATGGATCTGGTTGCCGAGGAAAACACTGAAAGGTTTCTCAGCAGCAAGGGTCTACAGACCAAGATAACTTCATTCGAAGAACGCTGGATGAAAGTGGCAGAGATGATTACTTCAGAAAAGAACAACCTGACTATAAATGGTTTGCTGGTCACAAAAACAGATATGTCACTGAAACATTGACAGAGGTACAGTCTCATTCTCGAGGAATCAGCATCCTCAGGGAAGCTCCGTCCTTGTCTTAAAATTTTCCAGCAAAACAAAACATTGACCTGTAAAACAACAAGTCATGGCTTATCCAAAGTGAAGAAATATTTCGAGGCGTGGCTAAGGAAGATTTTAAGGTCAAGTCTACTGTGCCTTTGCCTACCTGTTTTATCAAGGAAACCACCTTGGACAGATTCTCTTTAAGTACACATACCAGGGGCATAGCTTTTTGTAGGTTAATACGCAGTGGGTACCTAAGCAAATGCCAAAAAAAATGGATAAACAAATGAAAGGAAATAAACAGAAGGGAAATAAGCAGTAGCTGAAAAAAGAGCAACTGGAAACCAAAATGATGAAGTGTTTTCTCTGATGTTGCTAGCAGAACACGGTCCTACGACCAGGAGAGATATGTTTACCTCAACGCACTGGTAGAGATGAGAATTTGTTTTAATTCATCTTGCTCGGGGAAACTATTTGGGACTTGATTCACTGTGTGTACCTCAGAAAAATTCGTAGCTATGCCCCTGCATATTGATATCTCGTATCTTAGGTAGTTGTTGGTACTACAACTATATGTATCAAGTACATGCCAGGTATTTCGCGATAGCCCGGCTAGTAACTCCAGGTCCCCTTTTTAGAAATTAATCGCTGACCAGTTGACAATTTTCTTTTTGAATGGCAGGCTAAATTTTCAGTTTTTGTCTCGATTTTTTCTTTAATTACTGATTTCAAACAAGTTAATTCCACTATATTTTTCTCACTTCGCAATGGTTTAAAGTTTATTTAAAGTGAAATGTAGGAGCTCCACTTTTAGGCTTGGCCAAATCTATACTCATCAAATTTTAGTACACGTGTCGTGTATATACTTTTTGTATGCAGTAGAATGATACTTCTGAGATCCTTTACGGTTATACTTTCTACTGTAGTCTTATAAATTAAGTGCCATTCGAATAAGTTTATTGTAAGCTCTTTAGTGTTACATGTTTAAATAAACTACTTACCACTTACTTACTTAGATCTACATTCTACTGACATATATAAGGTTTTTTGAAGAAATCGAATAAGTCTAGTAGAGCAAAATGTATAGCCTTTTTTTGTAAAAACTCTTAATGGTAGTTTTAAAGTTGGGTGCTGAGTACCCCGACCTTGAGCAGAAGTGCAATTTCACTTCTTTTCAAATGTGAATAATGTTCGAATGCACATAAGTGACACTGAGGGTTCTGTGAACAAAGGCACCCACATCCTTGATTCCGTGCACTCTAAGACTCGGGTCTTTAGCATGCTACTGTAGCATGCAACTGTAAAATGGCCTAATGAAATCATATATCTTGAGCTTGAAACAGAAATGAATAAAATATGAGAAACATGACTTGAGAACACCGAAATCCTCAACGGAAAAGATATCTTGTCTGACATGTCTTACAGGGATCACATAATATAGTGGCACCCCTTCACTTGAGCTCCTTGTTAAAACAACTACCCTGTTGTCGCAGCCATTTTCCTTCGGATACAAAGTTCCAGTCATTTTCTTCTGACAGCAATCCTTTATATGGAGCGAGAACCTTTCGTAGCCCCAAGGTGTTACATATACTGGTACGCATTTTATGAATGGAAGACATAGGTGCATATGTTGTAGTTAGGTTTTTATATCAGATATCTCAGTTTTTCTTTTGTTTTTAGGTATGGTCATGTATGCTAATGAAGTTGAAACAAAAGAAAAAGAAAAATTATCTGAGATAAAAAAATTACCTGCAACATCCAGCAAGTGTAAAATCTAAGACATGGTCTTAAGTCCTGACCAAGGTGGGTGGTTTGGGCAGAGAGAGTTGGGTGGTGATTATTCCATTCAGAGAACATGACCAATGATCTTGCATTCAATGCTCTGCAGTGACATTAAGGACCAATTTATACGAAAAAATTTTGTGGCATGGGATGGGCTTACAATAATCTTACAACATGAGTTGTATTGTGTAAGTAACATCTACAATCAACTTGATTGTCATAGGTTTGATTTACATTTTGCAGTTTTATCATAAGCTCCTTGTAGCAACTAAAGTTTACAAATGAATTGGCTTTATCACAGACTGAACTGCAAAAGAACTGCTTTCAAGAGATGGTATAGCCTAGGGTTTAAGCTGTGATTGCCACCTACAGAGCAAGGCCACTGTGACTAGAAGATAACAAAAGCAGTGTGGCACATGTTCTGGCATTTCAGACATTTTCGAAGCACCATGTGTGTCAAGGTAAAATTGTTGCTTCAATTGATGGTAATTTACTTTTAAGGGAAGATAACCTTTCACTTGTAAGTGGCACGTTATTTGGACTTAAAAAAGAAATAATAATATCTGGTCGCTTGTAAACTGGCGTTTTCTTCCAAACAAGAATAACATTTAGATTTAGATTTTAGAACATTGGTTTACTTTGTCTACAAAGACTCCTATGCACCATTCTTTACTCTTCTGTTACTATGAATGTTGTTTCAAGAGCAGTTTTTAACACATAAAAAAAATGTAAAATAAAGCAGCTTGACGTTTGAGGCTGTCATCCAACCATGGTTCTCTTCCTTCCTCTCAGCCTCACTTCATCTAATTTCTTGATTACCTCTTCAGCCTTGTTTGCTTTCTTTCTGTAACTTTCCAAAATAATCTTGAATAGCTCTTCGGTATTTGGATGAGTGCTTAGAAAAGCTCTTTCCAAAACGTACAGATCAACACCTTTATCCTCTGTTAAAGCTGATATAAAACTCAGTCCGAAGTCTATGAGAATAATGTTCTCAGCACCGGTCTTTAACAAGATATTCGATGTGGTGAGATCGCCGTGGATGCAATCCACATTGTGCATATCAGCCAAGCACGAACCTATTTTCTCTGCTAGAATTTGCAATATCTGCTCCGATTTCTCTTCTGGGTTGCCTAAAAGATTGTTGATGTGATCGCGAGCCGTTTCACTGTTCTCTATCTCTTCCATGTAGATGCAGTGAGTGGTGTAGTCAACGAAGAAAACAGCGGGAGTACAAATACCAGCTTTCCGGCACCGAAGCATGGAGCGAACCTCTTGGTTGGTTCTTCGATGTGTGAGCTTTTCATCCAGGGAAGGATGCCTGTAAGCTTTTGTAAATCTCTCTTTCACTATGGAGTTTTTGTTGTAAAACTCTATTTTGTAAACACGTGCCTCTGCGCCTTGTTTTAACAATCTCCATGTGGTGGAATCGCTCAATGCAGACGCCATTTTGAAAATGGCTTATGCGCCCTCGCGTATTGTGGTCTGCGTGGGCTTCGTTTAAGGTCATGCTCTTTACATATTGTGCCGCCATCTTTGTTTCTGTGTGGAAGTTGAGTTTATCTCCTCTCTTTTTTTGCAAGTAAGTCCTTACCGACAGCGTTTTAACCTTCCAAAATTAATGTCAAAAATTAATGTTAAACTGTTTTTAATGGCTCAATTGATTTTTTGTAGCCCAGATCAAGATGATGCAAATATACAACAGGGTCAAGAGCTATGCTCTTCGAACTGGACCATTCCTGTACGATCTGCGGTTCTTGATTGCAGGCTTTGGAATCACATACTACGGAATTTCGAAGATTGCTTCCGCAGGCGGTAAAAAGAGTAAGTATTTTAAGTAACAGATTTTAATATTTAGCCCTGTACGTTTTATATCCGTCCAGACACAAATATGTACACGCGTTTAAAACTGTGAAATTTATTTGAGACCAATATTTTTAAAATTTAAGCCTTAAGATTACACTGTACCTCCACATGTATTTACAATTTCTGTCCGTGCCCCCTCACGGATTTAAAAATGGCGACGATCTTCTGAAATCGAGACACTTTTGTAATTCTGGATTTGCTTAATTTCCTTTATAAAGTTGAAGTTTGAAAATGTTTTAAATGTACAGTGTAAATTCAATTAAAAGAGCGAAGTGCCTGTTATCACTGCCGAAAATGATGGTGAAAATCTGTTACTAGCTGTAAGTTATTTTAGGAGTTGTATATGCATTAAATATGCTGTAAACAATATAAGAAAGAGAGAGAGAGTAGACTTTACCTATAGCATTTACATGTGTAAGATTTAATTTCAGTTACTGCAAATTGCATGTTCCCTGCCAGCTACACTATACTGAGAAAGAAACCATTGTCAACGGGGTTTTTGCCAGATATTCTAAGTTCATCAACTGCTTAATGACAAAATCATAATGCAACAATTATTCTGACTTCTAATACATGTTATTTTCTAATGTTCAGGGCTCAAAGTTTAAATTTGAGTTTGGGAGCACTTGTGCTACCAGATGTAAATTTTTAGGCACACAGCTGAAAATTTTAGGAGCACAGCTTATAATGTTGGGAGCAGTGCCACCTTTATTTGTCATCTTCAGTTTGTTACTTTTACTTCAGTCCTGTGATTGATAAAACAGAAACCGATTTGCTATGCAGTAATACCATTGTGATTTTTAATACTAATTTCTCTTTTTGACAGTACAGTTGTGACTAAAGAAAACTTACACTTGAAAAACAATTCAAAACTGACAACAATGAGTGTGTCGAACGAGAATGAAACTTAATCTTTAATGAATTTGTTAAATGCGCAATGACTTACATGTAACTGGAATACAACTTAAAAAACTTTCTTACCTGGAAAAAAAGGCTCTTAATATTCCGCACTGTTTTTGTTTTTATTGACATTAAAACTGAACGTTCTACATGATCGTCCATTGTGCAAAAAGTATGTGTTTTTGCCATCAGCGTACGGGAAAAATTTTGTTAGGGGGGCTGAACATAATTTGCCCGAATGAAATTTGTTGGTCCCAGATGCACAAGATGATTCTTTCGTGATGTCAAGTTGCGCACAAAACGTCCTGGTCATTGCCCTCAAACCTTGATTGAAGTTCACTGACGACTTTGTCAATACATGTGTAATAAACTGTGATACGAAAGTGGTCTTTTGCTGTCTGTTGTGAGCTGTCGTTCGCTGCAGCAGGTGTCTCACCTTACTGTGTCGTTGCCCGAGTGGTACATCAGTTTTGCCCGAATAATGCTATTTTTTTTCCGAAAGGGGGGGCTGCAGCCCCCCAGCCCCCCCAGCCCCCCCGCCCCATACGCTGATGTGTTTCGCTCGTAGCATACATTTGCATGTGTCAGTGGTGTTTATTACAAAACAGAAGAGTCTGGGATGGAGTAAAACATCAAAACGAAAAAGAAGATTCAAGTTCGTAGAATCCATTGGGAGAAAAGACCAATTAAACATACACCGTCTTTCTAGTTCGAGTTCGTAAGTATAGTCGGAAGTAAGTCAGTCGCACTGTGCTTTGGGTTTTATGGCGCACAGGTGCAATTACACATGAATTTTTAGGTGCACAACCAAAAATCCAGTCGCATATGCGACAAGTTAGTCGCTAACTTTGAGCCCTGATGTTTATTAAGAAATGTATTTTTATGACCTTTAACTGGAATCTTTTCTATTTTTTGCAGAGGCAATTGAAGGACATGGTAAGATCAGTTTCATTTCAGTGATGACTAATACTGTCTTGTATCTGCACATTTAGCCATTTTATATAAAGCTATTTCTAGAAAGGTTGTAGGAAAAAATGTGCACGTGACAATCAATATGGTCAATACACTGTTCCTGACACTGTAGCTGTCAAAGCTACTTTTATTGCTTTCCTTTAGCACTCACAAACATATATCCATGGCCTCTCATGCCATTCTTTTAAATTTCTCTGAAGAACAATGAACTCAAAACCACCCACAATACCTTTTGTGATTGTCGCATGCACTCTTTCCGACCACCTTTCTCGAAATAGGTACATGTATATGTACAAGTACATGTGCACCACAGGCCAATAATATTAAAAGAAGAACAGTGCCAGTAGATACAGATCCTAGAAATTTGGATGCCTTTTGATACATTTTACATACACATAGTGCTGGCTGGTAACTGGTTCATGTAAGTGCACTAAATACCAAAGTTCAAATCATTTCTTGTCCTCTGTAGTGTCCTCCATAGGGCGATGTCTACAAGGTAATCCACCTTAGAGAATTGTCCAACTTATGGGGGTATCTGTCATAGGAAGTGTCCTGGCACCTTACAAAATAATATAGCCACCTCAAAAGCATGTCCCAGGAGTGCAATAGTCCCTTTTACAGTCTTTGTAAACTTCTTATAAAGACTGCCAAGCAAATATCCATCAACACTACTGGAAAGAAAAGAGTGCCCTGAGTTAGAAAATTTCTCAAGTTTAAAGTGATAGGACCAGAGTGTGTGAAGATATTGCTTAACAAAGTCACAAAACTTTATAGCTGTTTGTTCATGCCACACCCCACCCCCTTCCATACAAAGTTTTCTGGGCTTCATCTTGACTACTTTTCAACAAATCACTTTTAAACTTGGCAGCTTGACTGATTTGAAGGCATTCTTTCAGCCATGTGTACAGATTTTCCCTGACTGGTCAGCAGTGTAAGGTTGAAACAAATTTTTGATTTTGGAAGTTGGAAAGTTGCCTTAATTCAACATTTCGCATTGTGCCAACTATTGCTGTCATGATGAAAGAGCCAGGACTGGAAACCAAACAAAATCTTTTCATAGAACTTCTTACCCCTCGCCTTAACCCATTCGCTCCTGGAGATTTTGCCGAAAAACGCGTTTTGAAGCTAGTCGAGTGGTTTTCTGGTCACTGTCGTGCTATAAAGAGCTAAAACTTACCACAAACCAGTTTACAGGTCGTACACTTGGCGGCCTTCTGATCCAGATGCAAAATATCAGCTTACGAAGTTCGGGCATGCGCAGAAAGCAAAATTTCGACATAGTTTTTGGGTTTAAAAGTGACACAGCAGTCTTGACTTTTACTTTCCGCTTTCTCTCCTCCCTTCTTTTTTCGCTTTTCTTGCCTCATTTTTTTTTTCTCTTGCTGGGCATTTAGTAGGCTTCATTTTGGTGGGAAGAGTTTTTAGGAAAGCTTTTAGGATCTTAGGATTAGGTGAAAGGAAAGGTAGGTGGGTAATGGAACAAGATTTTCATGGAGATTTTCAGGTCCTTGTCACGTGGTTTTTTGCTTCTTTCTCCGGTGTCCTTGACTGAATTGTGCTCATTCTGGTATGGTTTGAAAGATCTCTTCACTCTGCACAAGTTAGCGAAGAAAGTTGTCCTTGACCGTTAAAACTGATGACGTCACAAAGGGTAGAAAGGACCTGGATCCGCACGGGCGGTTACGGGCGGTTCAGGGGCGAATGGGTTAATCAAAAAACCTAAAAATGGCCTTTTACCAACTTTTTCACCTGATTTTACATGAAATAGACAGATTTGGTTGTTTTATGCTGAAAAGTGGATTTTTTTCAAAAAGCTTGGTACTCTGCTTAACCCATTCGCTCCTGGAGATTTTGCCGAAAAACGCGTTTTGAAGCTAGTCGAGTGGTTTTCTGGTCACTGTCATGCTATAAAGAGCTAAAACTTACCACAAACCGGTTTACAGGTCGTACACTTGGCGGCCTTCTGATCCAGATGCAAAATATCAGCTTACGAAGTTCGGGCATGCGCAGAAAGCAAAATTTCGACATAGTTTTTGGGTTTAAAAGTGACACAGCAGTCTTGACTTTTACTTTCCGCTTTCTCTCCTCCCTTCTTTTTTCGCTTTTCTTGCCTCATTTTTTTTTCTCTTGCTAGGCATTTAGTAGGCTTCATTTTGGTGGGAAGAGTTTTTAGGAAAGCTTTTAGGATCTTAGGATTAGGTGAAAGGAAAGGTAGGTGGGTAATGGAACAAGATTTTCATGGAGATTTTCAGGTCCTTGTCACGTGGTTTTTTGCTTCTTTCTCCAGTGTCCTTGACTGAATTGTGCTCATTCTGGTATGGTTTGAAAGATCTCTTCACCCTGCACAAGTTAGCGAAGAAAGTTGTCCTTGACCGTTAAAACTAATGACGTCACAAAGGGTAGAAAGGACCTGGATCCGCACGGGCGGTTACGGGCGGTTCAGGGGCGAATGGGTTAAGAGACATTCAGTGGTGCCCAACAGGAATGACTGGCTTAGTAATTATGTGAGGTGTCACCTGAAATGAGTCCTTGTGTGTGTTTGTCTATTCTTCAGTGTTTTTTGTCTTGTATGTTCAGCATAATTGTTCAATTTTTTCAAATTGTTGATTATTGATTTTCCTTTGCTACTAATTTAAGATTCATGATCATGAGTAATTAAGGTTAAGAGAACCAAAAAAATATGAATAATCATCCCAGATAAAAAAAATTACTTGAATTATTTAATTCTGACCCCCGATGTAGGCTTCTAAATTAATAATCGAGTGCAACCTGGCTTACACAAGTAATATTTTATTCACATGTTATGTGAGTTAGTTTATTGTGTAAGTCATGTAACTCTTGTGTGAAGTGACTTGTGTTATAATTATTGTGATTGCTAAGAAGTGAGAAACTCTAGAATTTGGTTCTCATTTCTTAGTAGTTATTGTACAATATAATGCAATTTACATGTGCTTCTTTGTGTGCTGCATGTATTTTAAAAGTCACCTGACCGCTAAATCTGATGCTGTTTTCAGGAGGTCATCATTGATGCTGGACAACTTACTGCAAAGCAATGTTTCATAATTTTTTGATCCAGATACTGTATTTAATATCAGAGAAGTTTGTTGGGTGAAACTTGTGCCACTGTGCGGAAGAAACTGGCAATGGTTTTGAACATAATTGTGTGATCGATGTTACTGCTTTGTATATGGATTTTGACTTGTGAGCTACCATTGCTGTAATTGACAATTTTTTTTTCTTGAGTAAAATGGGTTTGATTGATGCGTATGTGTCTTTTTATTAAGGTTGACAAAAGTTTAGGTGCCAAAAAGAGGTGTTGGGTCCTGTGTGTTCTCTGCCAACCACCTTCTCAAATGCCCTGGCTCATCCCCCACCCTCCTTTAAACTTTTTGAACAGACCCTGGTTCTTCAAATGCTGTACAATGCTATCCACCAGATTAATCATTATCCGTTGGATAAGTATTAAGGAAACCAGCTGGATAGTGCTATCCACCTTTTGAACAACTGGGGTCAATCCGTTACAGTATTAGCAACATCCTGGCCCTTCTGAAGGAGTGTGAATATGGGGCGATCAAGGTCATTATACAGTAATTTTGTGATTTATGCTTTATTGTTTCTTTATCTTACAATGTTGATTTTAAGAAAGATAGTGGCTAGAGTTTAAATTTGAATGTAACACAGTTTCAGTAGGCTGGTCAATTTTGGCCTCTCCTTCCATCAGCAACTCCTGGATTACCCTGGTCCCAGGGGTTTTTCTTGAAATTTTTCTTTGGGAAAGAGAGGGCGAGCCACAAAGTGGCAAGGGGAGAGAGAAAAAGAAAAATTTCAAGAAAAACCTCTGGGACCAGGGTACTCCCGGATGTGCCCATAAATAATACTATTTTTAAAGAAGAAAAAAGTGATAGATATCTTAATTAATTTCCCCCAGTTTTTTTTTTGTTGGATTGCATTTTAGCCTTTGCTCAGATCAAGCTCTTTCCCCACATGCTGTGGATGCAAGTTGGACAAAATACCCTTGTGTGTCCCGGGGAGTGGGGGGCACTCCCTTATTGGGCCTAAACGCATATTCAGGGTTATATGCTTCTGGCTTCCCAACAGGGTATAGTTTGCAGGGTCACGGTATACAGTTTCACTATTAAGCGCCTTGAACAGCGCGTCTTTTTGGACTCGAGATCAATCAAAGAATGTGAAGGTTGGTGATCAGTGGTCTATATTTGTGGTATCAACAATGTTTTTTTTTTCCAAAAAAAACTATCTGCATGATGTATTAACATGTATTGTAAAAAAATGAGCCATAAGATAAGGTGCCTTGTCTTACACAGGGCAGTGAAATGAACGATTTTTCTCATACACAGGGTCAAGGTGTGAAAGCCTCGTAGGCGGTAACCGGTCATTTCTCGCCGGTCACGTATTCCCCTATTTTCGAGTTATTTACCGTGCTTCAAGTTCTATAAGCCATAAAGCAAAACAAACGCGTTTCAAATGTAATATTCCTTGTTCTTTAACCCATAAACCAAAACAAGCA